CAGTGTACCCTCCAGGGAGTGGAGACAACCAGTCTCATTCCTCAGCGGCCGTGTACCTTACCGAGAGAGGGGACAACCGGTCCCCCTCTCCGGCAGCAGCTGCTCAACCGGGTTCTGGGGGTAGTGGAGGAGAAGGCAATACCCACTGCCCCCTTCCAGCAGAAGAGCTGGCCTCAGGGCAGAGCGCCGCTGGCCTCTCCCCAACCGATGTGGTTTCGGACCAGTCAACCGCCTGTACTATCCAGCTGTAACGCTGGCTACGGGGCAGAGTGCCACTGGCCTCTGCCCACCAAAACTCACAGCTACCTGCCTGGGGGTGACTGACACCCAATCAGCAACGTGAGACATACCGGACAGAGACCGACTACAAGAGTCATCAGGTCCAGTAATTGTTTGTTGTGGGTGGGCTATTTGACTAACTCAGGCACCGGACGACCCCCCTTTTGCTGTGAGTTTGCCACGAGTTTTTGGAGGGGCCTGTTTGCTTGTCTCATACCCTGTGACTATGGGCCCTTTCCTAATACACTTTAAAAGGCTCCATTCGTGTAATATAAGTACTTTTGTACTCCACAAAGAGAGACCGACCGCTGGACCTAATTCCCTGGAACTGTTTTGGGCATGAAGCCATGCTTGCAGCCAGTCAAAAAGAAACTTCCACAAAACTTTTGAACCCCTGCTCTGATCTGGGTGATTTTTGGATATGTTGTTCACCCAGATCAGGGTTATCCGAGGTTGTACTTTCAACTTTGTGAAAATTTGGTTTTTCTGCCTGGAGATAATGGAGTTACTTACAGGACTTTACTCAATTATCTCCCAAGCAGAGGGTAAGCACTGTGTGCTGTACATGGGCGTGTCACAGACTGTATGTTTGTTCTGATTGGTTTATGTCTTTTGTGTTCCTGTGCCCCATCAGGTCCAGGAGGTGTTCCTCTGGCCTGAAGAATTGTATAAAAGCCAACCTGAACATTAAAGCTCAGATCATCTTGCACCTTCATGATGTTTCAGCTCATGTTTGGGGGATTGGAGAACTACACTCTGGGGGATTACTATAATCACTATACTCCCCTGAGTATAATCACAAACTCTTATAAGAGCTGTTCCTGCTACGCTCTCTGGACTAGGAGGGGCCTACCCACTGGACACTGGATCATGGTTTTGGGTCCAGGGTGGATGGGGGATGGTGAGACCCCAACTAAGCTACGTCGGTTTGTGGGGTTTACGGTGGTTATGGTGTTCCAGTGCAGTGCTTATGGTACTCATAAGTACTAGGAAGCAGCGATTGACGGAGGTACCCGGTCGGGGTGCCAGGCGGTCCATCATAGTGGGCAAGATGTTATAATCAACTGGTGATAGTACCAAAGAAAAAACAACACACTCAGGGTGGCATCGATCATGGGGTTGTCTGTGTGCAACATACTTAGGGTTGAGCCCCTGTGCAAAGGTTGGAGAGGAATCTTTCCTTCTCCCTGTTTCAGTTCCATTGCCACCCAAAGCTTAAAGGTGGAGGGTACATGCCAGTCAGCAATATGGAGTAGATGTGCTGCCTGATAATACGTCACCACCAAGGGAAGGCCCACACCACCTGAGTGTTTTGGCATGGTCAACTGAGCCTTCATGATGTGGGATGTCTCGGGGTTCCAAAGTTTCGATGAGGAGATTGAGAGAAAAGAGGCACTGCGGATAAGCACCAGTTTGGCTTGAAACAGATATAGGAGCCGTGGGAGGACATTAATTTTTATCGCGTTGATTCGCCAAACCAGGATATATATATATATATGTCAGTCCAACGCTTCATGTTGAGCTGTAAGGTGGTTAGGTTAGGTAGGAAATTTAGATGTTATGATTAGGTTAGATACCTCTGTTTTTCAGCTTTTAGTATTTTTTCAGGAAATGTACTGGAGGATTGGAGGAAGGCAGATGTGGTTCCTATAATCAAAAATCTTGGACATTATAGACTTGTGAGCTTAACTTCGGTGGCTGGGAAAGTATTTGAAGGGTTATTTAGGGATAATATTCAGGAATTCATTGAGATTATTGTAAGCAAAAAATCTGCATGGTTTTAGGAAACATAGGTCATGTCAAACTAATGTCATTCTAACTTAATTGCATTCTACAAAGAAGTAAGTAGAAAAAGTGGTTGTGGTCTACTTGGATTTTGCCAAGGCTTTTGATAGGTTAGTGTTCAAACTAAAAGAAATTGGTCTAAATGAAAATTCTTGCTTTTTAGTAGAAAATTGGCTTAAAGATAAAGTTTACAGAGTTGTATCCCTCAAGGATCTCTTGTGGGACCTCTTCTGTTTAACATATTTATAAATGATCTTCAAAATAGGCATTAAAAGTCATGTTTCAGTGCTTGCAGATGACTCAAAACTCTGTAAAATAGTACAATGTGAGCAGGATGTTACTTCCCTGCAGAAGGATTTAAATAGCTAGATAGACAAATAGATATATAGAAACTCGCAGATTAAATTTGATGTAGAAAAATGCAAAGTTCTGCACTTCGGGGTAAAGAATGTATGAGCAACTCACACCCTGTGACGAAAGAAACTTCGCCACTGGGTCTTGGAGGGGACTACTGGCCAGCCTTTTACCCTGTGACTATGGCCCCTTTAATTTATTTTGGCTGAGAGACCCTATTGGCACTTTAAACATTGGTTCAAACTCCTGAATAGTCTAAGTGGCCGCCATTCGACATTCGAATACGGTTGTGGCCATCTTGTTCGCATTGCCTAAAACCGCGAATAGACTTCAGGGGGACTTAGCCGCGAATGCCCTGAAACTATTTTCGGCTTGAAAACCTTGCGGTTCCCTGTCGGTCCTCCAGCGGCACTTAGCTGCAAATCTATGAAACTTTTTTTGGGCATGAAATCCTGGGTTCGCCTGGGCAAAAATATAACTTCCAGAAAATTTCTGAACACCTGATCTGATCTGGGTGATTTTTGGATATGTTGTTCACCCAGATCAGAACTATCAGGGGATGTAAGATGTATGGGGATATGTTATGTTTTGGGGTGTTTTCTAGACTTTGTATAAATGTGTTTTTTTTCTGCCTGTGGATAATTAGGTTTATGCATTAACTACCTTAATTACATCACAGGCAGAGGAGAGGGACTGTTTAATGTATGTGGGAGTGTCGGACATTGTTATACTGTTCTTATTGGTCTGTACAGTTTGTAATGCGGTTCTCCATCAGGTCCAGAGGGTGTGCCTCTGGCCTGAGGAATTGTAAATAAGTCAACTTGTACCAATAAAGCTTGAGACTTGTTCTACCCTTCATGAAGTCTCGGCTCATGTTTGGGGGATTGGAGATCTACCTACACTCTGGGGATTGCTATAATCACTATACTCCCCAGAGTATAATCACTAAGCTCTTGTAAGAGTTTGTTCCTGTCCCTGCTCTCTGGATTAAGAGAGGTCTACCTACTGGAAGCTGGATCCTGGTCTTGGGTCCAGAGGGGCTGGAAGACGGCGAGACCCCAACCAAACTGCGAAGGTTTGTGGGGTCTGTGGTGATTAGGGTGCCTAGTGGAGCCCTCGGAATGCACTAGGAGCATCCGTCAACAGAGGTGCCCAGTCGGGGTGCCAGGCAATCCGTTACAAACCCTAAATGTTAGTGAATTAGGCATAACAACACATGAGAACGATTTGGGAATTGTTATAGACAACAAACTAGGCAACAATGTGCAATGTTAATCCGCGGTTGCTAAGGCCAGTAAGGTATTGTCATGTATAAGTAGGGCCATTATTCGCAGGATGAAAATATAAATTTTTGCCTCTTTATAAAACAATAGTAGGACCACACCGTGAATATGCTGTGTAACTTTGAGCACCTGTTCTAAAGAAGGATATTATGGATATTAATAGCACTAGAAAAGGTGCACAGATGGGCTGCAAAATTAACAAAACTAATGGATCATTTTTAGTTAAGAAGAAAGGTTAACAAATTTAAATCTATTTAGTTTGCAAAAACGGCTCCTCAGAGGGGATTTGATATAATTATACAAATAAATTAAGGGCTAATACAAACTATTGTCCGGAAATCTATTCATTGGCTAAATACTTGCAATAACATAATAGTCAGGGATATAATTTAAAATTTTGGGGGTAATACCTTCTTGATACAAGGAGTTATCTGACTCCCATTCTGGGTTCAAGAAGGATTTTTATTTTCCTAATTTATTGCAAAATTGGAAAGTGCTTCTGACTAATCACATGGTTAATAATGTGATCAGTACTGAAAGGGTTATATATATATATGTATATATATATAACCAAGAGGGCTGCACTCACCTGAACATGCATACATCATAGGGTGCTGCTGGGGCCAAAATATACAAAATACAAAATCCAGCACACTTGCTTATTCACTAAACAATGATTTCAAATCTTAGCGAATGTATTAGCTTTATTTAAAAAAACACCTCCCCTAGGCAAAAAATAACAGGGGTTTAGTTACAATATATGATCATATATTGCATAAGCCTGCCACAACCCATTATCTTTTGCCTAGGTGAGTTGTCTTTAAATAAAGCTATTACAATCTCTAAGATTTGAAATCATTGTTTAGTGAATAAGCGAGTGCGCTGGATTGTGTATTTTGTGTGTATATGTATATTATCAGATCGCTGTAACTCAATGCACGTGGTTGGCAGGCAGAACCCTAGACAGCGACCGGAGTGAGGGCTAGATTGTTGAGGAGCGTTATGCAGCCCTAACGGTGTTGAGGTCCTCCTGTTACAGAACGGCATAGCATGCCCTAATGGCGTCATGGAGTTAACAAATATGGACAGATTTAAAATAAGGTTTTTGCAAACAAGAGATCATATACAGGGTTATTCACTAAAGTGAGAATTCACAGTGAAAGCAAAGTGATTTTAACATTTAAAGTCAAAATATCCAAACTGGAAGAATGCTCTCATTTAGGCTACTTCCACCTTACCGTCAAAATTCACTTTAAATTCTCACTTTAGATTTTTGAGCATGGAAAAAATACAAACATCTCTATTACACATTTGAATGATTTTATTGGATCAGAAAGAAGTTTCCTGTATCTACAAATGGTATCAAGGGCAGCTAAAACAACCTATATTTCCATTTTAGAACATGTACAATCCAATTGTCCACACAGAAAGAAGACATGTCACCAGATACTACTTTATATTAATTGACACAAAAGAAAACATTTGCTGGGTGCAATGTTTATTAGTTCAACACTTTTTGTTACTGTTTGGTAGGTATATTTAGTAATAATTTTAAAATACCTACCATAAAACTCAGCATGCTAATAAACATGGGTAGATAATCTGTACCATTCCAGAGGTAGGACACAATCAAAAGGTGATGCAGTGCACATAATAGGTAATAAATAGTATATCTACTCCAGCTGTTCCCAACCCAATTCTCTAGTCTAGACCAGCAGTGCAGAATTTAGTCATTCCCAAATCTGTTCCTATAAGCATACTAAACCTGGACCACTAGTGTATTTCGGGGACTGTGTTTAGTACCCCTGGCCTACTAACTGGCAATGTACAGTAACTACGGTTGGAAACACTTTCCCCCCCTCTTGGATCAATAATAAGTGTAAGCAGAGAGTTTTTCCAAATAGTTTTTATAGTTTAATCAATAATTTGGTAAACATGCTGGCAAATATTTTGTGGTGGCGGAGCAATGAATTATGTTATTTATGTTTACTAATGAGTGATTTATAGTGATTTGAAAAACAAATTGTTAAATTAAATTTAAAACTGATGATCTGAAAATATTCCACATTACTTCTACTTTCACAACTTTGCCATTTTGTGTTAAAATTTTACAGTTGTCGTTTGATTTCACTCCATGTCATCAAACAAAGGAGAGAAAGTAATTCTAAGATACATATTGGATTAATTAGTACTGGCATGATGACTCTCACTGTCATGAATGTTGAGTTTTATTGGTAAAAATAATAATTAAGATTAGTGGAAATGTTTAAGCTTAATTAACATAAAGGTGCGTCTTGGTGACAGATCCAATTAAAACAGTTTCTTTTATGTTATTTTAATAAAAAATATTTTGTATACTAATTTCAATAGCTAATTACATTGATCATTCGTTTACACCCTTTCACTAAAAAAAGGGAAAGTTAAGCCGATCTAACTGGTTTACTGCCCTAAAATGTCTTTGTCACCAATATGGGAATATCTCTTTATAACATGTTAACAATGTATTAACACACACAACCTTTCAGATAAAACTACTTAAAATAATTATTTTTATGAATCAAAGACCCATACAACATTCATGATATACAATAAAGTCTCTTTGATACCATATCCCTATATACTCTATATATATCTTATTTAGCAATGTATACAGTACAACAGTTGTTGTTGTCTTGGGCAAACACTGGCTTTGGTGTTCCTTCCCAAAACCTCTGTAATTAAAATCTAGGCCAGGCTTCCCCAAACTCCGGCCCTCCAGATGTTGCTGAACTACAACTTCCATGATTCTCAGCCTATTTCATTCATAGAATTATGGGAGTTGTAGTTCAGCAACATCTGGAGGGCCGGAGTTTGGGGAAGCCTGATCTAGGCCATTCAGCTCACCGTCCTAGTAAGCTGCATCCTTAATTCTGTACATGATCCATTTACAAATACATGTGGTAGGTACCCTGTGTAAGAACACTGTATAACAATCATTTACAATGCAACAGCTGGTGTTGGTTTAACATTTTATCATAATTATAAGGAGTTCTGGTTATTCCCATTCATGACAAGGTGGCATGGCTAGACTGTCACATTACAAGGCAATTTGCCCAAACCTACATGAAGACATTGAAAAAAACTACAAGTAATTATATTTGTTTTTGTAAACATAGGCCCACCATTGGAAAATGCTTACAAATGTTATGGCACAGTTTTCAAATAATACTTACTAAATACATATTTAACCATATGCTAAATGATCCTTCTAGGCAAAAGAGTTGGATTTCATTTCCTGGGCTGTTTTATCGATATAACCGCTAATGTCCATTTTCTTGTTCAGTTTGGTAATTTTCAACTAACGAGACAAGATACTAAAGCTATTTAACACTTCCATAGCTCAGAAGTAGTTACTTAACATACAGAATTTAGCCTCTGATGTGTTCTCAAACGTCCTGTTAGCTGTCTGCCCAGCCTGCCTCCACTTATGCAGTTATATTTTTGGACTGCTAACAAAAAGTGTGAGCTGTCAGAGCTTGGTTCCAATAGCAACAACATCCTTTTACTAAACTCTGTGCAACTATAAGAATTGGTAACATTGATCTACTTCAAATTATTCACATTTACATGCTCTTGCACGTTATCCAATGATTTCCAAAGGAGGCACAGCACCTTTAAGAGCACATGATATTCACATCATTTAATGCAAATGGCAAGCTTGAAAAATCTTTCTATATTATTTAATATGGACTGCTGTGTTAATTAATCCTTCACTCTAGCCTGCCTTGATTAATATTTCACATTAAGACTATACAAATATTTGTAGCAAATTAACTTTACTCTTCCACCACAGAAGAGGTTTTTGTCTGAAAAAGAATAGTCTCCTTGTGAGGAGAAAAAGCAAAATAAATCCCACATCACAATACAGTTATTATTACTTTATTTAAGGACACAGACTCCATATTTTGAGAAGGTTTATCCACTTGAAAATACAGGTAATGTAGTTTTTGTCTGATTCCTAGAATGCAGATTTGGCAACATATGAAACTAGCTCAAGTATACCTGGCTATCACTATTTCCCCCTTTATTTCCACACCTTGGATCCTTCATTGTGATTTCAAAACCAACATCCATTGAATCCTTCATCCAGAGATTTCTTTGTACACATAGAAGCTTCCATACTTATGTCTGTGATGGAGACATTACCCAGTATTATGTTTTTTCATTCATGATGCATACGGACATTGTTTAATGCCAGTGCAGAGAATGGATGTACACATTGACTGGCTAAATTCATACATTCTCTTCAGAATGTAAGAAAGACCTACAGATGACCTATTCACATGCCGACAGAATGCACAAAACTCTAATCAGTTGCTTAGAAAAAGTACAATTCTCACCTTTGACATTAGTATAAGACAAATCTCATTTTAAAACAATTGGCTAATATTAGTAAGTAAAAAGGCAATTAAATTATTTTTCTCTTCCTGAATCTCTCTCCCATGTGAGCAGCCATGTTTTCTAAGCTCTGCTAATTTATCGTTAATCCAAACGTATGTTACTAGGGACCGAGGACAGAATACGCTGCAATAATGTACAAGTCGAGCAATTAAAGCTGGCTTAGAGCAGCTCTGTAAGAGAATTATATGTGTCAGAATATTTATAGTAATGTATAAAACTACATTAAAATGGGAAGAGCTGTGTGTGTTTTTCTAAAAACGTTATGTCATGTAATACTCTGAATGTAAACAACTCAAATTGTAACTTTATTAAATATGTACAGTGTATAAATAAAATAGTGGTTGCACCCATGATAACACTATGACTTTTCTTAAATCAATTAGTGCAAAATATAACTTCAATATCACGATTCTATGGATTTCTTTTGTATGTAATAGCTCTCTTTAAACTGGCACAATCATTGATCTAAGAATACTGTGTGTGTGTGTGTGTGTATATATATATATATATTTTTTTTTTAATTAAAAAAACAAAAAAAGAACCATTGATTTTCAGCTATTATAGATCAACTACTTTATAAAGACCCACTATTTTGAGGTACCCACAAGTATCATCTGAATAGAAAACAGTTCTATTGAAATTAAATTTAATTTAGTTGGATGCAGAACAGTATATTCGTGTCTTCTAAAATCAATTTGCTAGTTAACTTCTGAAACACTGCTCGGTTCAGGATTGTTCTTGTACATTGAAGTCTTCTTAACACACAATGATGATGTACAACAGTTATTATTCCTTCTCATTTGTGCTTGGATTTCAGAATATTAACTCAGCAAAACTGTAGGAAAAAATAGAAAGGGAAATTATTTGCATAGGATATTATTCAGAACATTGCAATATCAAGATAAACTGTTACCAGCACTACTAAACAGCAGACAAGCGTGGACAGCACTTCTAAAAACCTGTATTTCAACATTCAACACTGTAAAGACAGACTCAGATTTTTTTATAATTTATGATTTTATTTTGTGATATTTTTATCCTGTAAAAAACAATTATCAATACAGACTATCCCACAAAGATTGACCATTAAAGGATGAGTAGTGTAAATAACTACTTTATAACTAAATCAGTGAAGTACCATTTGTTTTGTAGTTGCTGCAAATGCAATGTAATTTTCCCACTAGTTAATCAACGCCTAGATAGTAGTTGTAAAACAAATGATTACGGTGAGAATATAGAAATAGAGATCTACTTCTAAATACATACAGCAAACAATGAAATGAGTGTGATATTTTTGTGATAATGGTTAAATAAATTGGGTGTCCCTGGTTCCGCACTTTCCAGAGCTAGAAATATAACCAACTTGATCAGACATCCCCAAGCATTGGTGGCCGCCGTGGGATTTTGCCCCAAATGGATATCCCAAACCAAGATGCGTAGTGAAGGGTCCAGCAGTGTCCCTGCCTAAAGAGGAACTCAGGAGATGGAGCGAGCTAACCCCCGGGCTATGAGAAGGAGTTCCAAAGGAGACTACAGGGTGCCCTGGCCCCGGAGTATTGCGCTTTTTCTACAGAAGATGAGCTGGTATGGAAAGAAAGCATATGGTGAGATCTCTGGCACGAGGCCCTGGAGCAGTCTCAAGCTCAAGGGGGAGAGAGTCTTCTGAGTTCAGAACGGCGCAGGCAGAGGCAAACCATGCTGAGGCTGCCTTTACTGGAGTATCTCCCCTGGGAAGAGTGGATTATAGAATTCCAACAGCTGATCAAGAAGGAACTGTGGCTGTATGACGCATACTGGGCACTACAGTGGTACTCTGTCCAAAGATGCCCGTGGATGGCAGAGAACGAGAGACCGACCAGAGAGAGTTGACTGCAATGGCCCTGGTCTACTATGGGAGGCTTTAGAGGAGGACAGTGACTTCGGCAGCACGGAGAAGTCTCGGTATTGGGGCATCCGGGAATACCGTATGGATGCACTGGAGCTCCCTAATGCTACAGGCCTGGGACCAGATATCACATGTCTGGGAGCTATAGAATGGGAACTGGAGCAGGAATACTAGAACCTACAAAACGCAGTCTCTGCCCACCAGTCCTTGAAGCTTTTGGCATGGGAGGGGTGGATGGGAATGTGGTCTCCACCCTTGGAGTACAGGGATGCTGGGCAGTCGGCCCAGATCCCCAACCCTCTAGTATGGGATCCCAAGTCACCCTGATTTTGCCCCTTCAGCAGAGCAAGTGTCTGGTATATGGTGCCCTCTGTTTCCCTCCCCAATGGCTGTGTGTAGCCCTGAGAATTGCCCCCTTCCCCTTAAGCAACCAAACGATGACGCAGGAGCAGATTCTAGCTGTTGCCCTGCCATGCCCTGCCCTGAAGTTATAGCTGGGTGCGTGTGGCAGGAGACTTTCTGAGGAACAGCACAGTCTGGGAAAATACACCAGACTGGTTAGTCTCCCAAGGAGGTGGGAGATATGTGACGAACGCCTCTCTGCCTGGATGTTTGCCATAGGCTCCTGGAGGAGTGTAGACACTAGCCTCTTGCCCACTGACTATCGGCCATTTACAAAGACCATGTTCGGGAGTTAAATCTCCCCAACCACCATTAGTGGCTTGCCCTGGGTGTCCATGGTTCGGCACTTTCCGGAGTTAGAAAAATAACCAACTTGACTGGACATCCCCAAGCCAAAGCATTGGGGTCTAGACAGGTATGCTGTCCCATGGAACTGGGGGGAAGCGGAGTGACAAATCCCCTATTTTGCCTTGCTAGGAACCATTCTCTTCCTCAGTTCGGGAATCCGTTTAAACTTCGTTTTTATGTTACCAAAGTTGACTGACCGCTAGCCCTGATTTCATGGAACTGTTTTGGGCATGGTACCATGTGAGCGGTCGGTCAAATAATTGACTTCCATGGAAATCTTGAAACCCTGAACCGATCTGGGTGACTTTTGGATATGTTGGTCACCCAGATCGGGGCTATTAGGGGATGTAACTTTTGTGGGGTTTTCGTGTATTTTGTGGTGTTTTATAAATTGTGTGTTTTCTCTGCCTGGATATACTTGAGTTTTTAACGGTTCCTGACTCAATTATCTCTCAGGCACAACCCTGTTTTGTGTGGGAGTGTCCTGGGCGTGTTTGCTGTGACTCTGAAATGTAAAAAAGCAGGCCATTGAGCCTGGATTAAGCAGTTCGTCTTACCCCTTCATGAAGTCTAAGCTCATGTTTGGGGAATTGAGAGCTATATTCACACTTATAAGCACTACAGCACTTGGGACTTGGGAGATTCTTCACAGATGTACTCATTTGGAGTATAAGGGATCCGTTTCATGCAGCCTTGTTGCTTTTTCAGGCTTATGGTAGCCATGTCCATGCCACTATACTTGTGGTTCCCAATGTCTGAGTATGAGACTCTTTCAGACTTTAGAAAACAAAATGGTGGAAAGCTGCATATTTGCAGTTTTAGACCAACTATGTTTTACCCTCAGACCTCAGGGTCTGTTACTACAAATTCACAAGACTCTGCCCCTCATTTCACTTGGCTTAAAAATCTATAACTCATTGCCCAGGACTCTTTCCCAAATTCCATAGTTCCTACTCCACAGTCCATTCGTCTTTTACCCCTAATCATCTCAGTCTCCTTGAATGTTCACCTCTCGTCTTAGGTTTCATTCATGTAATTTCCCACTGATGTCTCTCCTTGTTCCACACTTTATGTCTCATTTCATTGCTTTCACAAGTCTCTATCAGGATACACTAATATGCCCAACACGCAGAACTTAAGGAGAAAATTAAAGAAAACCTTAAGCCGTATTACCGAGCCTTAGAACGGCCGGATTTAACAAATAAAAAGAAAAGTACAAGACAGGCTGAGGGTCAGGAATATAGAGAATAGGTAAACGATAGGAAAGCCAAAGGTCAAGGAATAAAGAAGTCAGAATTGTTAGGAAACAAGCCAAAGTCCAATAGATACAGAAATCAGAATAGTCTAACTAGTCAAGGTCAAAATACACAAGAATCAATACCAGAAACGCGCTCTCGGATAATCACAAAGGAAAGCATGACAGGTCACTGAGAAATGGACAAAAAAAATTTAAACAGCCTAAGGTGCTCTTTGATTGGTTATAGAGGTGCATGTGACAGTGGAAAGTGGGTGTGTGACGTCACGCACGTTCCCAGTGGTTAGGGACCAGGGGGTTAACCAAGAACCTTAAAAGGTTTTGACTTGCAGTGGCTGGCGTCTCTAATGTTTTAAGACCCGGCCGCTATGTGAGAAGAGGGGCGCCTGTCAACTCCGAGACCGTGCTGGGAGTGAGACCACAGTAGGAGGTAAGGAATCAACGCCATTTCCATTGCCACGTGTCTGACAGGCACCATAACAGTCTCTCTGCATTCCTTCTTTTCTATATCCTCAATATCCTCTAACTCTTTTCCTGTTGCTCCCTTCCGTCTTTCATTCTTCTCTACACTCCAGCATTGACTCACATCTTTTTGATACCCCCATTGTTCTCAATCTTATATATCTCACCATTTTCTTTCGTCTCTCTTCCATGCTCCCCGATTCTTTCTTTTCAGTTCTCTTTGCTGCTATCTCCCACTGCTCCTCCCCTACACCAAGTTTTCCCCTTCTTTTCCACTGCTGTCTTTAAATTGTTACATTTTCTCTGCCATAGTGATATGCTTCATCTCTTTCTCTCTTCCTGCTAATGGTTTCCCTTTACCATTGCTCCACCTAAACTGATCCTTTACCCATTATTAAATTTTTATCATTCTGCTGCTTACCCTCTCCCAGTGTTGAGCTTTCGATTTCTGTCGATCTGTATTTCTGACACCACCTTCATAAATCAACAATCTCCCCCCTTAGAAATATATTTACATAATGCCATATACTTACACTCAACTGGCATAAACAAACAGTCTGCAGACTCTAACAGCTGATTACTCAAGCATTTGCTCTAATCTACCAAACACTCGTCTTGACAATAACACATATGCATTCTCCCACCTATCCCAAAACACACTTCCATCACATTATGAAACTTGCATGAACATTTATCAAAAGGTGAAACTCACAATCATTAACATGTATGGACTCACATTGAAACCTAACAATCTACACACTTTCTCAAACAGATTTAGAACTTCCATTCTCTTATGTTAACTCTGTGTTGAACTCTGATGACACTACCTGAGGATGTTTGCAATAGCTGTCTACATTTGGAGATTATTATGGCATATACATCATAGTGTTAGGCTCTGGTAGGCTCCAGAGCTCATTATCAATGTGGCCAAGGAAGGGATGCTCCAAGGAGATGGTGCTAAGGCACAGTGAGCTGTAGTGGTTATGTTGCTTAGGATTTAGCATTAACATATTTTCTATATAATAAATACATTCTGGGACAGCTATAGCTTGAAGTATCCCTATCAGAAAACGGATATATAGAGGATCTTTCATTCTCTCATCACATAATAGTAATTATGTTGCTTACACTTTTCTGGAGCATGGAGCTTTTCACAAATCCCTGTGTCCTATTAATGGAATCTTCTATAAGGTATTAGTTACCCATATTTAAAGTATTGCAAAAAGCACACATATAAAAAATACATTTTGGCAACGCTTAATCTGTGTGGAGGTGCGAGTGAAACCGGCAAGAATACTGGAGTTATTTGGATAATATTGGATATAATGTACAGCATTAAATGATTAAAATACTTCTTACCAAGTGAAAGTGGAAATGTTATTTCTACATACAAGATAAATATATACACCGCCCAATATATAATCTGGCTTGAGCACTACTGTTTTTTCGTATATGGTAGAACAATTGGAAAGTGATTTAAAGTTGAAGTTGATGTTCATGATCATTTGTAGCCTTGACAATATAAAATAAGCACACCAATGTTACCCTTGCATTAACTACTGCCAACCAATTTGCTCTACTGAATTAACTTAGACTTATCATGCATTAACTTGTATTATTTTTCTCATGACGCATTACACTACACATGTTCAGTGCAATTTTACGGCTTGTTCACGATTCTGGCTAAACAATCAGGGAAAAACTCCTATTTTTAAAAAAAGAAAAAAGAGGCTGTATAATGCAGAGTATAGTATCTTATTATCTGTTCTAATATGATTTTGTATGCAAGTGATATAACTCTTTTCTCATATCTGTACTGTAACAACTATGCCTCAAATAAAAACAGATTGACAAAAAATATAAAAATAAGCACACCATCTACTAATATGAACCACATAGCGGCCCTTGTTGTTTCATGCTAGAGTCGCACCAGTCTAGGTAACAAGCAATTATTTGAAGCAACAATGGATCAACTTCAACTACCTAAGAGTGAAAGCGATAATACATCCTATTATTTCTTCCTATGTTAACAATTCAGTAAATTATTACTTTTACTGCTTTTAAAGAGTTTTATACCAAATAAATGTACATCTTTTTATAATATATACTACTGGATTAGGAGCCAGTTTTCTTTCTTTAGACCTAGTAGGAACAGCACACGGGAGGTAGGGTGTCACGAACTATGAGTGAGCTGATCTTAAGAGGTTCTGGTACCAATGGGTGAATCCTCTACCACTACTCATTTTTTGTAAGATAACTCTACAGTGTTGCACTATATTTTCTTTCTTCCATATTTTTTTGCCCAATTCGGTAAAGCAGTGTTGCAGTAAATTGGAGAGAGGGAATCACATTTGACTGACTCCACTGCATATAGTACCATTTCATATAGTACCATTTCTGGGCTCTGTAAAATGTGAGTGGGCATACAAAAGGATTTATATAAAAATACATATATATATATATAGATATATATATATATATATATATATATATGTTTTGTACCATCTGCACTATTACATCCTTTTTCTCCTTCTGAGGTGTATCATTAGTCAGTTTGATCAAGAGGATTGTATTTCAAGGTATTATACTCACCTTTTGTAAATTTTGCACTTTAAGACACATTTGGACATGTTGCAAGTTTATGATTGTAAAAGTTGAATTATGGTAATACACAAGAGCACTTTGTTACATTGATAGGTGTTTATTGCTTTTATTGATATTGTAATCCGATTCTTTGTACAGTTGTCTTTACTGTGGCAATTTAGCACTTTGTTGAAGTTGTCATTCACTTAATTTTATGGGGATAAGAAAGTAACACTTTTAGGATTTTTGACATTTGGAAATACTATGCAATTCAAGTTTTAGCATTTTTAATATATTTGTATAATTAGGATGGGTGAAGCGCTCTACTGAGAAAAATTTTTGTTTTAGGTGTATGTAACAAGGATACACAAACAGTGTGGGGAACAGCTTAAAGGGACATCTCATTGAAGTGGTCTGGGTGCAGTGCAATTGTAATTTTTACAGTTATTGAGAAATTGCAATAAATACCATTGAGGGTTAACTCCACCTTTAGTGGCTACTTCCGAGTCCTAACTGACGCTGGACATCTTCACGCTTTGCATGAGGACATCCAGCATTCGCTGAAACCGTATCTGATAGCATTGATTCAATGATGTCCTATGGGGAAGTACTTATGTGATCGCGGTGCTCGCTGCGCATCAGCCCCCACGGCTAAGTTTGGCTATGGAGAAAAGGAGGCGGAGCCTGGCCCAGTGCCAAGGGACACCGGTGCTGGAATCAGGTAAGTGACAAAGGGTTTTTAACCCTTACAGAGCTACGGTGGCAGGGAGAGGGCGCAGGGCACTATAGTGCTAGGAATACACCTTTTTGTATTCCTAGCACTAGTTTCCCTTTAAGAATTCTAGAATATAGGTCTATTATATTAATATTATTTTTTTTTTTTTTAAGTGCTCTTGTTGTACACTCGGATTTTTAGCTTTTTTAACATTTCATCTCCATGAATTGCAAGGATAAAAATGCTCAGTGCCTTGTCCCATTTCTGTGTTGACATTGTGATTTGGTTCCATGAATTTGTAAAACCCTGGCTTAAGGAACTATCAACAATTGGATTGTGAAGTAACTATTGCTTATTATACTTAACCCTCATGCTCAGAAAAATAGCAGATCCCAAGTCATTCCGATATGAGATGAAAAATAAACAAAAAGTGATTTTTACATAAGGCCATAGAAACCTGACCTTTAAATGAAACAAACTCAGTTGTACAGCCCTCTGAAAGTGAACCAATAGGCATCAGACAATAAACACATACATAGGTAGACACACAAGATGTATTAGATATAGAACCCTTGCCACTGTTATACTGGAAGCCTAAGGTGCCATGAGTAGTACTTACATAAAGAAAGGTTCCATAGACATGAAAAAAAAATACTCATCTTGCAGACTTGGAGTGGAACCTGAAAGTTGGGAGTATGAAGCTAGAGGGGAGGTGAGGGAAATAAAGTCCACTGGAAGGAGTAAAGGAGAGCATCATAGAATATAGAACATTGCATAGCCTACAGTTGAATGGAATAATATAGAGCTCAGTGTGCATCTTCCAAAACAAGATGACATGATCACAATTAAGAGAAGCAAAGTGCAGTTAATTACCAAAATGCACTAAGTTGCTGCACCAACCCCAACTCTGGCACTTAAAATCCATCCAAAAAATGTAACCCCCTCATATGCATTCTAGAAAAAAGATATCAGGTTGGGTTTGGTCATGACAATCTGACATATAAATGAAGAGGGCTACTAAGATGTACATTTGCCTTTGAACAATCCACTTCATTGATAAATCTACATTTATATCAAGTCCCAGGGAGTACCATATCCATTGAGAGACTTACAAGAACATAGAGAAGCCAGCCAGCAAATTGAGGTGCAAATCCTATATTCAGTCAATAATCCTATATTATACACACTATTATCCCTATATCTTGCCTGGTAGAGAAAAGCAAGTTTCATATGAAGAACAGGGTAGAAAACCACCTGCCATCCTGTAGACCACAAGTGCAAAGTAATTGGAATAAGATTTTTTTTTATGTTTTTCTTTTCAGTCTTGAGGTATGAAACAAACTATATTTGTAGTTTCAGCAATCAGGGTGTTCTGCTTACCCCCCGAAAGGAGTCAATCCCAATAGTAATGCTGACTGTACTTTCAACACACTAGGAGGGAAATTATTTTGTAGAATTCACAGTTCTTAAAATGAGTGACATGTAAACACTAGTAAGGCCTTTATCAAGGCAAGTGGGCCAGGGTATCATAGCTCCTGGAAATGTTACAAACAACGTTTAAATATTTTAAAAGTAATCTATGGACACTTTTTCCTGCATAAGTAAGTCAGATTGGATTCTAAATATATATTTCACTGGTTCCTATAAGACACACACTCACTGAACCTTATCCCAGGGATACCAACTCCCCCCTTTAGTAGAGTTACTTCAACCCATGTTTCTAAAGCCAGGCCACCATGCCCAGCCAAATAAACTTGACCGCATGTAGCTAACAAATGTATTATCTTATAGACTGTAAGTACTTCTGATGAAGGACGTCACATCATTCTTCGACTTGTTAAAGGCCCGCTTAGGAGCCCAAAAGTTGTCACTATATTTTGTTCCAAAAATAAATGCTGCCTCTTGAAGAAACCATTGAGTGTGACTGGATGTTTGTGTATAATTTCTGGTCATTTTTTGTCTGTTTATATTTTTATGAATGGGGTTATATTCACGTTTTAATGTATCTCCATAGGAAAGATCTAAAGGCCCATATTTTTCAACTATAAAACTATAAGATAAAAAGTATGAATTCGTCTGTAGTTAAATTAGAGGGCTAGTCTGATATTTGGCTTATGATGGAAATTGTAAAATGGTTTAAAATGGGGGATATAACTGTTCTGCAGTGACATTACCTATCTGTGTATGGTGGCTGCAAAATGCACAACATACAGATTGCCTAAACATTGCCAAACACAATCTGGTAACAAAAAGCCATGCAACATGTTAAGGCAGAAGCACATTTAGAAACTTTACACAGCTTGGCCATGTAAGTACCATGCTCACATTCTATCCAGCCTTACACAGTACATACCTTTTAAATATTAGGCATTTCCATCATCTGTAGAGAAGGGAAAATATGCTTGTTAGGGAATACTGTAATATTCTGAAGAAGCAAACAAATATTGGGAAACTGGATTTAAAACTTAAGTGTTTGGTGCAGATCATGCAAAGGATGTCTTAGTATTGCATTGCCAATATAATTTATTCTGACAAAAAAATTTAAAATTCCACATTCCACCAGCTAATTTCTTTGTAAATAGAAATATATACAAACGAGCAAATAAATAATACATATATTATAATCCATTTAAAATATAGTGTGCATTAATAAGAGGATATAAATATATGGATGGTGTAAAATCATATTGAGACCAATATATAGGTAACAAAATTATTGATATACCATTATACAATAGATTTGTGCATTATAATGTTTAATGACATTTATGCAAAGATTATTCAAGCAAACTGAGTAAAGAGAGCACATTTATTGGCTAACATTTGCACAGTACTGTAGTTCTGTTAGCCAATAACTGTGTCATCTTTTCTCTACCAACCATTTTATTCACAGCTGACATAGCATTTAACTACACTGCAGCAAAGTATGCTTGTTATTAAAATATATTTTGCCAGAGCATCAGCCAATGATTAACATACAATTTATAGGCTTCTATAGTCCTATCTCTTAACTTACAAAACGTAACCGTTGTCACGTTTTGTAATGCATCAAGCTATAAGAATAGCAATTCTGATTTCTATGATAATTCACTGTATTACAAAACTTGGAAAAAGCCCAGGAGCCACATCTAGTTTCATATGAAAATCTATCAATGTGCGGTTTTCTCGACACTGTATGTTGGCCTGACTTCAAAAACAAAATAAATCAAATTGTTGTAGTGTATAACATACATTTTCCCTCTGACATTGTGCAAGAATAGAAGATCCTGACGCTAAATAATTGAAATAGAGCCATTCACTGCAGGTATATAGTATCTCAGTAACAATTACACATATTTGAAGTTACATGGGCAGTTTTTGGTCACACTGGGTCATTGACATAAGTGTCAATGCCGCTGGGACATGTGCACATAGTGGCTTAGTTTGCCCTACGCATGCAGTACCCATGAGACTAAACTAGCTGGTTCTTGAACCATGGTGATGGGGTATTGAGGTGGTATGAACCGTATGATGTGTAATGAGAAAAATTACGTTCTAGTGATGACTAAGGGAAATTGCACGGGGATGGCAAATGGGAAAATGGTATGTGAATTGGAGATATGGCATATGGATGGGCTTTGGGCGATATGGCATGGGGATAATATTTGATTGAAATAGAGGTTATGAAAATAGTAATCTAGACTGTAATTGAGGAAATACCTCTGTCTTATCTCACTTTTACCCTTTGTTTTTCCTTAAATGAAATGTCCATAGATGCATTTCCCCCCATCCCTTAGCCCATCTGACCCTAACATATATCTCTCTTCCACAGTCTGATTTTAAACTTACCCAGTCCAGCAAAGCACCCAGAGCTCAATCAGCCGTTCCACTACCATTTGCAACACGTAGCCTTCTGGAGGACTGTTTCCCCTCCCTCCCACCTTCCCCTTGCCCACCCACCCCAAGCTCATTTATAGATAGTCTCCCACACAACTTTCATTCTCCTGAAATGACAGGTGCAAACACTGATCACCACACCCTCCCAATCTTTTAACCCTATAGAATACATACCCTCTCTCCCTGCAAATAGCTATATATCACACACCAATATTATATACTTTGATTTAATTTTAAATTTTTGTTTTTCACTATTTGTGTTTCATTTTCATCTACACACCTCATACCACTAACATGAATCCAAATATAACCATACTGTTATTCTTAATAACCCTTTTCTCAATCCAATTTTGTTCACATCACTACTGCCATAAGCACACACCTCAAACTGGAAAACAAATTATCATACACCACGGCCTGCTCTGTTGCGGTAACTTATCTGCTGAATGCTGGTGGAGAGTTATAAAAAATAGCCGTCCTACCCCCACCTAACAAAATTATAAAGGATCCCATTCATTATATGGCCAAACAAAAATGATGTCCAAATTCCTATTCCTTATGTTACTTGCCCTTGCAAATGATGTGTAGTATAACCCTGGTCCCCCAGCTAATTCTAGTCATAATCTCCCCACTAAAAAAGGCCTCTCTTTTGTGCACTGCAATATCCGTAGCTTACTCCCTAAACTGGATACACTGCAAGCCTGGTGTTCCCATTACAAACCAAAAATCATTGAACGCTCAGAATCATGGTTAACAACTAAAATACCAGACTCCACCATTGCAATACAGGGTTATTCATGTTTTAGAAATGACAGAGCAAATAGAGAAGGAGGCATTGTTATTTATGTTGATGATTCCATAAAGTTTACCCCCTTACACCTTGGATTTCCTTTCTGGCACAATCGAGATCCTATGCAGTAAATCAATCATTGATGCAGGAATCTACCGCCCGCCTAGCTCCCCAGTGCATTCTCTATCTGACATAGCCGATCTCCTTAGTGAAACCATAGCTCAAATCCCCCAAAAAGTAAACAGTTAGTTTTTGGAGATTTTAATATTGATTGGCTGAATCCTAAAAATAATAGTTCTTGCTTGCTGTTTAAGATTTTGCAGCTAACGCAATTAATCTCCTCTCCAACTCGTATAAACATTAAAAGCCATAACCTTAACTTGCTCGATTGGATTCTCTTCACTTCTCCTGATAGAATCCAGGAAGCAGGTGTTCTACCAAACAGTTTCAGTGATCACTGTTTAGTGTACGGCGTACGCAAAATAAACACTACTAAATCCTGTCCCAAGATTAAAATCAACAGGTCCTTCAAAAAATTTAATCTTGAATCCTTTCTTAATGACATCAAGAACCTCCCATGGCACAGATTAAACATTATCCTAGATCTAGACTGTGCAGTTGAATTCTTTCAGTCTGAACTCCTACAAGTTTGGAATTTGCATGCCCCGCTGCGTAAGGTGAGAGTAAAAGGAGCACATATGAACTTGATCACAGCTGACCTCATCCAAATGTACCAGTTTCAGGATTCATTGTGGTCAAAGTTCAAGCGTACTGGCTCTATGAACGATCACTGTGCATATAGACAATGGCAAAATATATGCACAAAACAAACAAAATTGGCTAAAGCCCAATATTTCTGTGAAAATCTGAACAATAATCTATCAAACCTTAGAAACTTTTGGAAAGTCATAAATAAATTACAAACCCCCCCCAATCCACTCCCAACCCTCCACTGTCAAAGTGGATAACCAAACCCTGCAACTTCCCTTAGATGTAGCAAATGCCTTTAACAATTATTTTGTTGGATGCTCCACTACCCTGATCGCCAAGCTAATAAATGACACACAACCTGAAACTACAAATGTGGATCAGGCCCCACTAAATTTGCAAAGACCCAATATAGACAAGTACATTTTTAGACCTGTACCTATTAGTGTCATTAAAAAACACTGTAATTATCTAAAAATGAAAAACCAGTCTGGACCTGATTAAATCCCAACAATGCTGTTGAAGCTCAGTGCGCCAGCAATTGCTAAACTTGTCGCAACCCTAATTAAATTTTCTTTGGTGTCTGGATACATACCCAAACTTTGGAAGACTGTGAGAGTAGTGCCTATCCATAAAAGTGGTGACACTACTTTGGTTTCAAACTATCGCTCAATATCATTGCTCCCAGTATTGTCAAAAATCTTAGTTTGATTGTTGGTAATACTCACGTAGTTGCGTATGGACACAAATTTTTCCATCTGACCCCTGATAATCGGGTTTTTGCCCGAATCACTCCACTACAACTGCCATCTTAAAAGTTTGCAATGACATACAAACTGGCATGGAACAAGGAGACCTAACTGGAGCTATTTTCCTAGATTTTGCAAAGGCTTTTGACACAGTAGACCATGACATTCTATTGTACAAACTTAAAAACTCAGGTACTGGTGATTGTCCACTAACCTGGTTTCGATCATATGTATCAAATTGCTTGCAATATGTGTACATTTCTGACAGCGACTCCCTCCCTCTCCCAATCACGAGTGGTGTTCCCCAAGGTTCCATTCTCGGCCCCCTACTATTTACATCATTTATAACTGATCTGCCTAATGTCTGCAAATCCTCAAATGTACACATGTACGCAGACGACACAAAAATTGTTGCAAGCAAATCCGATCTACCGCAGCTTAAGGCTGTGCTCCAAGACTAGTTTACAGAGGTAGAAAAGTGGATCGCAAAAAACAAACTCTTCCTAAACACTGACAAAACTGTCACAATGATCTTTGGAACAGTACCTAAGTTACACAAATTACACAATTCCCACCTATCCATCAAAACAAATTCAAATAGCACACTGACCGCAGTCCACTCTTTCAAATACTTGTTGTTAGACCCCAATCTATCTTTTAGGCCTCCACATAGAAAAAACCTGCATCTAAACTTTATCCAAAACTAGGTGCCCTGTACATAAACAAATCCTGCCTAAGCTCTACAGTAAAGGAAAAGATTGAACAGCAAATGCTGATGCCAATCATTGATTCTGGGGATGTAGTATATGCACCTGCACCGCATTCCCACATTACTAACTCAATTACTAACTCAATACATTGTATACCTCATTCTGCCGATTTGTGCTACAATGGAATTACAGGACCCACCATTGTGACATGCTAAAAGAACTAAACTGGTTGTCGCTGTAATCCAGACGCACCCTTCATCTTTCCAGCCTTGTGTTTAAGAGATTTTCTGGGAAGCTCCCACCCTACCAGAATGCTCTCCTTGGCTGTTCCCACCTTCTATAACCTCGGATCCAGTACCAGCACTTTATGTAGTCTACCTCAATACAAAAGAAAAGCAGCCCGATCCTCCTTTTCCTACTGAGCACCGCAATTATGGAACGACCTCCCGCACACTTTAAAATCTTCACCAAGCCGGACGTCCTTTAAGAGATCCCTCTCTACATACCTCAAAACAGAATACACATGTTATGGTTGATTATATATTTCCTACCTTTTTTCTATGTTACATTTTGTATACATTGTGTTTTAATATTGTTTTTGTATTTTATTGTACCCTATTGTATCAATGCAATGTTTTGTGGACCCAGGACATACTTGAAAACGAGAGAAATCTCAATGTATGTTTCCTGGTAAAATATCTTATGAATAAATAAAGGGTATTGGGAAGCTGTGAAATGGCAGTGAATGGGTAATAGGTAAAATGGCAACAGGGAAATAACCGTATAACTATCATCAGCTGGATATGGTTACTCTCTCTCTCTCTCTCTCTCTCTCTCATTGTTATCCATAGAAAGTAAAGACGACTAGGGGTAGAGAGGAAAGATGAATGTTTTGGTGATGTTAGTGAGATTATGATTTGTGATTTACTTAGGGTAAGCTTTTTCCATGTTGTGGCGTGGTAGTAGGTCCAGAAGCAGAATTAATGAGTACCTAGGCAGGACAATATATTGGGCTAAGCCCGCAAAATTACACTTCCATAGAAGTGGAAATGAAGAAGAGCAAGAGAGCAGAAATCTTCACAATTTATCAAAGCATTAATTTGCCTCTAAATACAGCATGATAGAGTACTGTGCTAGAAGAATCCCAGTCAGTCCCTGGTTTAAATCTCTCTGATGTCAAGATGCATTAATCACCACTGTATGCTATCTCTGTAATACATGCTATAAATAAATGCAAATCTATTTTTGTGTTTCCCTTTTTCCTGTTCTCACTTCATTTTACAGCATAAATGATTCACCATATGATACCAGGGGTAGAGCGTGCTGCATACCATTCTGTAACATCACAGGCTAAAATATAAATTACATATAATACAATCTAGTAATAATATAGTACAAAAATATACATTTTCCATATTTTCATTAGCAAAATGCTAGAGAAATGCATGTTAAAGAGAAACTATAGTGCCAGCAAAACAAAGTTGTTAGCTCCCGCTCCCCCCCCCCCACCTAATGCGCATGTGCGGCAATGGTCGCGCTCGCATTAGGATTTCCTCATAGGAAAGCAATATACAATGCTTTTCTATTAAGATTCCTGTGACGCTGGATGTCCTCATGCATAGCGTGAGGACGTCCATCGTCAACAGTCAGCTAACAGCCCAGAAGTCCCTCTAGCAATGAGCTGAAGTAGTCTGGTTGCTTATATTGTCACTTTAATCAGTGAATGGTTTGTGTAACGGACCGTTTTGCACAAAAGGGGAAAAAAACGTTTAGGCGATCGGCCCCCTTTCCAGAGATGCAGACACAGCTACTGCAGAACATCAAACACACGAACCGCCAATAAGTGAATGCTCCAAACTCCCGAACGGCATCCAATATAGCACTCCAAATACACGAACAGGAACCATACGAATTGCTGCTACCAGACGAATAGGAAAAGCATCCAAGCGGCTTACACTCCTAGCAATCAATCAGTCTCTATCAGCATTCAGTAAATCCCCCCAAAGACGAGACAAGGCTCCGTGTTGAGGGTCAAGCAGTGGTCTGTTTAATGGGGGCTACCTGCCCAGTATTTATGCAGGTCTCCCACCTGCTGGACACTCCCCTAGGGGACCAAATGGGAGACTGTGACAAGGGACAGACAAGTAGACAAATAGGACACACTGTCACAGTATATTCCCACAATGCATCCTGCCTTCCTCCCCTCTGCCCTGGGAGATAATTGAGAAGTAATTCAATTATCTCCCAAGACAAAGGCAAAACTCAATTACACACGTGGGGACACAAAACCAGTATTATACTTTAAAATACATAAAGTAACATTTATTACATAAAACACAGACATGTAACATATCCCCAGATAGCTCAGGTCTGAGCGCACATTATTAAGCGAATGGCGCTCACACCACACGAATACAGTTTAATCGCCATGTAGCCAAAGTCTTTACAGTCAGTTTCATACGAATGGGCTCCATGGGATTCCTATCTGGGGTATAACACATTCAAACAAAACTACCGAACACCGGGCCGTTTGTGCACTTCCACCGAACAAGAAGGGAGGTCGGCGGCTTCAGCGGTGTTCGCGCAAAACTGTGTCCGATTTTAGTTCCATGAAAATAGGGGCGAACACCGCTGTGCATTCGTATGTTTAAAATGGCCGCGACCTCGTGTTCGGGATACGAATGGCGGCCACCCAGCATTCGTCAATTAAGCTGCGGTTAACCGCAGCTTCAGGGAGGTTAATTGCCGGCACACTCCAGCTCCCAGGTGGTCTATTCATTCGTGCGGTTGTTCGGTAGATTGAATCTACTGAACAACCGGCAGAAAAGCACGAACACAGCTTTTATGCAGGCGAAATAAAGTCTTTTAACAGGGGGCCATAGTCCAGAGGCAGCAGGCGAGCAACCAGGCTTCTCCAATGCAATGTGGCAAGATTGGTCTCGTCACAGTTTGCTTATGACATTTGTGAATTAACAATTTATTCGACACATTGTGAACAATTTCTGAGCTCTTTTTGTTTACAAGAGAAACAGAAAGTAAGCAGAATGAAGAGAAATCCTCCTCCTCCTGGTATTTCTTCATAGGCTGACATAGCACCAACTCGTTACAGGCAGCTTCCTTTTTTTTCATGTTTAAATCTTTATTTCACTTTTTCAAATTACAGAGAAAACACAACACTGTGCATCAGTATAACAAATAAAAATAAAAATAAAAAAAAATAAATAAAAATAAAAATAAAAAAATAATATACAGAAATAGAGAGATACCATTCACAATACAAGATATTCTATTACCATCTTTTACTTTTATACATTTTACAATCTCTTCTAACTTATTTTCGGCTTCAGTAACACAGCTTTTTATATCTTTACACTGAATTATTTTTTACAATAAACATTTCCTTTCTCTTTTTCTCCTTTCTCCCTTTCCTTTTCTTTCTCTTTTTCCCTCTGAGATAATTTATTACAAGAATCAGGATATGTATAAAGTAAATTTTTATCCCTCCCTCTCTAAAGAAAAAAGAGAGAAAAAAAGAAAGAAAAGAAAAAAAAAATATATATAGATAAATATATAAATAAAAAATAAAAAAGTACAATTATAGTAATTCTTCCTTTTATAAGTCTACATTTCCAATTTTATTTAATTTATAGAATTCCATATCAAACGTCTATATCAATCTGTTTTTTCCTTTTTTTTTTTCAGGCAGCTTCCTGAAGTTATACCTACTATTAGCAGAGCTCTCTTGGCTAGCACTCTGGTTGTGATTTGGAGAACATGTTTTTCTTTTATTTAAGTGTCTATACATTTTTATTTTAAAGGAACACACGCAAATATGAATTCCTAACACTATAGTGCTCTAGTCACCATTTAGGTGAGTGGGTCAGCACTGCCAGGATTATATCAGATGGTTTACTTACCTTTCAGTGTCCCCCGTGCAGCTATGCCTCTTTGATTTATATCAGGGGTAGTTAACCTTTTAATACCTCCCGCCCACCTTTGTTAATGGTAAAATTTCTTTACCGCCCACCTTTGCCGCAGTAACTAATTTTATAGTGCAAGTGCGATTTTTTTTTTTTTGTGTCATTTTTTTTTTAGAAAGCAGGTTTTTAAAATAAATGAAATAAAACATGTACCTAAATGTTCTATTTTCTGTTCTATGTGTGTCTGTGTGTGGGGGGCAGTGCGTGTGTGTTTGTGAAGGGTACATAGGGTCTATGCTGTGTGTAGGTGGGTGAGATGTGAAAATCTATCTTAATTTTTTCCCGTCTCTTCTTCTTCCCTTTTACCAGGGTGGGGGGATATAATGCTGCAAGCCCTGGTGGTCCAGTGGTGGCATGTTCACTTTAACCTGTAGCTCCTCCGGCTGCAGGCTGACTCTTTTCCTCCTGCGAGCACAGCACTGTATCGGAGTGTTGCCATGGTAATGCGCGGCAATCATTTCATCAGCCTGCTCGTGGGAGGAACACAGAGCCTCCCAGGCCATTCCCTCCCTCTGCTGGACCTAAGTGCCAGCAGGACAGTGAGTGAGATCTTTGATCTCCTTACCAGCCCGAGAGGGATTACAGCAAGGCTGGCACTGCATGGGCCAGCAGGGGAGATGAAAGGATCCCCCCTGCTGGCCTTGGTCCACGGCCATCAAGGCCCACCGGGTGTTTTCTGCAGAACTCAGCACCGCCCACCTGCAATCCCAAACCCCCTACTAGTGGGCACTAGGGACCAGGTTGACTACACCTGACTTAGATCATCAGTGTTGATGTACTCAGCCAATCCAATGCTTTCCAAGCAAAAACAAACAAACTAACTAACCATAACCTGTATTAAAAGCATGTTTACAATTCACAAAATATTAAAGAGATCTCCTGTCATCAACTCTGTCTATGTTTCTTTGGTTTATAAATGCAACAATGTACTAATTTCGCTGCAGCAATAAACCCACTAAAATGCAACATGAGGAAGACCATGGTTTTATTTTTATTACTTCGCAGTGCGGTTTATTTTACTTACTGATTTTATTTCTATTTCACATTGTAGTTTATTGTGCATGTGTTCCTGGTGACAGGTATCATGTCAACTGGATGCCAGCTATTCTATTGGTTATTATTGAGTATGTCATCACCGTGGCTGGTCATGTGATATTGCATGCTTGGTCTTAGTCTCGTTTGAAAGTTGTTTAGGGCTTTATTTATCTGGTGCCAATTGTATCCCTTGAGAAAGGATGTGTGGTCCAAACATGGGTGGATTCTCCTGTCTGTATACCCATTTGTTGAAACACTGCTATTTTCAATTTTTTTTGTTCATTTGATATAATGTGTTTTAACATCATGCATCTGCATGGGATATTAAAGGAACAGTATAGGGTCAGAAACACAAACATGAACAACTACATTTTGCTGTAGTTGTTCTAGTGACTATAGTGTCCTTTTAAGTATATGTGAGGAATATATCAGTACTATTGCAGGTCTTTTTGAAGGCGTTTTGGCTGTAGCAATTTCTTTACACTTGTATACTCGACACATGATATACTTTTTTTTTAATTGTTATTATGCAAGAACTAATATGATTGGTCATTTTACTTTATTGACATGTATTTGGTATTGTATTGTAGTAAGGACCAAACTTCTGGAATAAAAGGGAATCATGACATGTCACGTGTCCTTAAGGGGTTAAAGGGACACTATAGTCACCTGAACAACTTTAGCTTAATGAAGCAGTTTTGGTATATAGAACATGCCCCTGCAGCCTCACTGCTCAATCCTCTGCCATTTAGGAGTTAAATCCCTTTGTTTATGAACCCTAGTCACACCTCCCTGCATGTGACTTGCACAGCCTTCCATAAACACTTCCTGTAAAGAGAGCCCTATTTAGGCTTTCTTTATTGCAAGTTCTGTTTAATTAAGATTTTCTTATCTCCTGCTATGTTAATAGCTTGCTAGACCCTGAAAGAGACTCCTGTATTGAAAAATGACCATACATAGTGTAAGACATTACTATATCTGAGATTGTGGCTCATTTATTCAGTTCCCTGCAAGGCCAAGATTGTTATACGGACACTTTCTTCTGAAATGGTGCCTCCCCCTTTCAACTGTTATATATGCACCACAACCACTTCAGCTTACTGAAATGGTTATGGTACCAGAACCATATCTCAGCAGCCATTCATTTGAGAATTTTGTCAAACTGACAGAGGAAGGCATCTACCAGCAGAGTTCATAGCTCCACCTTCTAGTCCTGTAAGTCAGAGAGCCAGGAACTACATTTCCTTGCTTGTATACCAATAAACTGGTATGCAACAATAACAAGAAAGAGACTTGTGCTGCAACCTGAGAGTGAATGCTTGCAAGTCCAAAGCATGGTACTGCACTCTGCTGTGCAGGAGTTAAGAGGGATTTAGTTCCACAACATTTTAAAATAATAGGCTGCTAGGAACAGGTTTGTGATACTATAACCACTTGAACAGGCTAAAACTGATCCCATTCTGAAGAAGCCACTTATGGTGAAACGCGTTTATGGTTATTAATTCTGTATTTTACTGTGTATTTTAGATCAATAAAGGTTTTTTGGCTACTTTATTGTACCAATCCTCTTTTTTTTGCACTCTTTATGCACTTTAATTTACCTATTCCTGGCATTTTAACCTTTTTTGGTTACTTTTACTTCCACTGGCAATTTTAAGTTCCAGTACTCCAAGAAATCCGAGGTGGGGATCATACCACCAGCGCCTATCCATAGAGCAGTACATCTGCTCTATCTTTGTGAGTATTATTTTATTTTCTCTACTACTCTCTTAACCTATCACAATTGAGAGCACTATTGCTGCTTTTTATTCTTCTATATTGGAGCCTTGGATCACCAGACGGTGCTGATGGACGTATCGCCGCTACATATCCTATAAGCGGGGATTATACCGCTGTACGCTATCCACACCAGAGCTGGCCATAGCTCCCTCAAATGTGAGTTTTTTACCTCTTCTTATCTGCACATTGAACCACATCAAAATTGAGAGCACTATTGTTGCTTTCTGTCTTTCTTTTCCGAGTTCTGGACTACCAGACGGTGTTGACGGAGACCCCCTCCCTACATATCCCATAAGCGGGGATTATACCGCTGTACGCAATCCACACCAGAGCTGGCCATAGCTCTCTTGAATGTGAGTTCTTTACTTTTTGTTACCTATCACACCCTGAACTTTCATACTATACCATTAGTCGCCTCTACCTCTCTTGTATTTACATATACGGAACGGTCTACACTAGTCGCATCCACAGAGGAACTCTATCAAGTATCCTAGACCATCTATTGGCACCCTAGCAATACTTTACTGGACTATCTACCCTTATTTTGGCGCAGCCCTTCCATATTTTTTTGTATCTATCCACCGAAGGACCAGAGGGGTTTTCCTTCATTTGGGTTGCTGCCTACCTTAACTAATTTTGTGATTACTAGCGCTGAATACTTTTTGTGTTTATTTAAAGTGGATATAGTGCCTAGAACAGGGATAGGTAACTTTCGGCACTCCAGATGTTGTGGACATCTTTCAGTCTTTACAATAACCTATGTTACAAGACAGAAATGCACCTTTAGCTGAACAAGTTCCAGCCAAAAGAATACACATAAAGTGGATTAATGGGGTACTAAAAAGGGCCTAATCCTTATATTAACCAATACACAGAGACAAAGAGAGGAGACAATATCCCTGAAACACAGGAGACAAGTCCCCTCAATTCTAATACCCCTTCTGGAGCAATATATTTGCCCACTACCATGTATTACAAAAAATAATAAAGTTTTATTTAAGATCATTAAAATCTCATGTATAAATTCTATAATACATCAAAGTATTATGGCTAAGAGTGAGAGAACATGGAAGAAAGCAGCTTGAAAAGTGTGTATATCTAAATAGTTTAGCTTGACACTAAGTTGCAAAAATTCCAATAGAAAAGTAGTAAGAAAGTGCTACTTCAGGTTACAAAAAATTAGCAACAATGTCCAAAAAATGATAAGGACAAGCTAGAAATTCATTCAAATTCCCTCAGACTAGTCCACAATAAACCAAAAAAGTTAGCGCTTCACTAAATAGCTATTTATAAATATATGGTCCTAATCATATACTTTAAGTATAAATGGCTCCATATAACGTATCAAAGTGGGTAAATCGAAAGGATAGTGAGATGTAAGTGAAGAGAGTAGAAAATAAAGTAAGGAGGTAGTAAGGAGAGTGCAGTAGGTCAAAAGACCTGGGCTAATTCCAAAAAATCATAAGCAGAGTGTAAAGTAGATTGCCCATATCCTCTCCCCCCCCCCTTACACACACACAGAGTGAAAGAAACCCGACGCGCGTTTCGGCGGTAACGTCCGCCTTTGTCGAGGGTGTAGTAGTGTGCAGACGATCCCCCTTCCTCCCCTCCCTTATATACACACATTTGCATTTGTAATTGGCGCCAAAAAGGAGACTCGTCACCAGAGGGCTGAGCTCCGGTCTTGTTACGCCCACATAGTTAGCCGGTGGGAGGTCTCATATTCATATATGTAAATCAGGGTAAAGAGTGCGCGTGCGTCAGGTCTCGGCATATAGCCGGAGAGGAGCGCAAGCGCATCTTATCCCGGCATCGGAGAAAAACCCCCATGTGGGAAACAAGCAGCCAAGATAATGCACTGTGTGTATATTATTCCTCATTCGCAAAAGTTGGCATTTAGCCAGAAATCGCGCATGTGTGCAGTTAAAGCCCTCACACAGCAGGATACAAATGTGTCACATTGTGTTGCCTTTCAAAACATATAAATTCCTTATGGGATAACACCATATAAAAAAGTAGACAAATGGAGAGTAGTAAGGTGTAATGTACCCATAGTCAGAACACAGAATAGGAATATAATGCAAGCACAAATATATAATGGGATTATGAAGGGAAAAGAGGGATCAATTAGAAAAGACCAGACAATAATAAAGAAATAAGAAAAGCATTTATATAATTCAAAAAGCTTATTTAAGTATATAAGCCCTAAAAAGGTAGGTCCAAATAGTGACATTATCCAGAAAACTGAGCAGAGTCTTGGAGTCAATTCCCGGACAGAATCAGTCAGTTCAAATGAGATAAGTCCTTATGGGTCAATAATTCAATATAGTCCCGATACAATATGCAAAACATGCATATATATATAGGGACGTGCCTATATCTCCGGAGACTAATAAAGGATCAAATAAATGGAGCAAAAGAAAAGCCCTCATTTAAACCCAAGGGTTGTAGTGTCTTAAGTCTATAGATCCACCTAGACTCTCTCTGTCTCAATAGGCGATCATAGTTCCCTCGCCTAGGATGTCTCTTGACCCATTCAAGACCACAAAATTTCAAATTACTAGAGTCACTGCCATGACATTCTCTAAGATGTCTTGAAATTGGTGTTTCGAGGCGATTCCTAGGGGACCTTACATGTTCCATGATCCTTTCTTTAAACGCTCTAAAGGTCTTGCCTTCATATTTTTGTCCACATGAACAAGACAAGAGATACACCAGGCCCTTCGTGTTGCAATTGAAGAAGTTTTTAATCTTGATAGAAACTTTTCCAGTGCTGCCATGGACTACCTTAGATTCCTTCGAGATATATTTGCACGCTACACATCTACCGCAGCCATAGGAACCACATGGAGGATTACCCAACCATGTGTCCCTTGGCTGCGGTTTAGTGGATAGATGACTGGGTACTAGTAGGTCACGAATATTACGGCCTCTTCTGGCTGTGATATTAATACAGGGACCTAGAATTTCCTTCAAATGTACATCATTCAAGAGGATCGGCCAGAATCTATTTAAACAATTTTTTACTTCGGGCCATCCCGTGTCGTATGTGGCAATCATACGAATGTTGCCTGTGTTTTTCAGAATTTTATTCCTTGTTCATGTGGACAAAAATATGTAGGCAAGACCTTTAGAGCGTTTAAAGAAAGGATCATGGAACATGTAAGGTCCCCTAGGAATCGCCTCGAAACACCAATTTCAAGACATCTTAGAGAATGTCATGGCAGTGACTCTAGTAATTTGAAATTTTGTGGTCTTGAATGGGTCAAGAGACATCCGAGGCGAGGGAACTATGATCGCCTATTGAGACAGAGAGAGTCTAGGTGGATCTATAGACTTAAGACACTACAACCCTTGGGTTTAAATGAGGGCTTTTCTTTTGCTCCATTTATTTGATCCTTTATTAGTCTCCGGAGATATAGGCACGTCCCAACATATATATGCATGTTTTGCATATTGTATCGGGACTATATTGAATTATTGACCCATAAGGACTTATCTCATTTGAACTGACTGATTCTGTCCGGGAATTGACTCCAAGACTCTGCTCAGTTTTCTGGATAATGTCACTATTTGGACCTACCTTTTTAGGGCATATCTACTTAAATAAGCTTTTTGAATTATATAAATGCTTTTCTTATTTCTTTATTATTGTCTGGTCTTTTCTAATTGATCCCTCTTTTCCCTTTTCCCTTCATAATCCCATTATATATTTGTGCTTGCATTATATTCCTATTCTGTGTTCTGACTATGGGTACATTACACCTTACTACTCTCCATTTGTCTACTTTTTTATATGGTGTTATCCCATAAGGAATTTATATGTTTTGAAAGGCAACACAATGTGACACATTTGTATCCTGCTGTGTGAGGGCTTTAACTGCACACATGCGCGATTTCTGGCTAAATGCCAACTTTTGCGAATGAGGAATAATATACACACAGTGCATTATCTTGGCTGCTTGTTTCCCACATGGGGGTTTTTCTCCGATGCCGGGATAAGATGCGCTTGCGCTCCTCTCCGGCTATATGCCGAGACCTGACGCACGCGCACTCTTTACCCTGATTTACATATATGAATATGAGACCTCCCACCGGCTAACTATGTGGGCGTAACAAGACCGGAGCTCAGCCCTCTGGTGACGAGTCTCCTTTTTGGCGCCAATTACAAATGCAAATGTGTGTATATAAGGGAGGGGAGGAAGGGGGATCGTCTGCACACTACTACACCCTCGACAAAGGCGGACGTTACCGCCGAAACGCGCGTCGGGTTTCTTTCACTCTGTGTGTGTGTAAGGGGGGGGGGAGAGGATATGGGCAATCTACTTTACACTCTGCTTATGATTTTTTGGAATTAGCCCAGGTCTTTTGACCTACTGCACTCTCCTTACTACCTCCTTACTTTATTTTCTACTCTCTTCACTTACATCTCACTATCCTTTCGATTTACCCACTTTGATACGTTATATGGAGCCATTTATACTTAAAGTATATGATTAGGACCATATATTTATAAATAGCTATTTAGTGAAGCGCTAACTTTTTTGGTTTATTGTGGACTAGTCTGAGGGAATTTGAATGAATTTCTAGCTTGTCCTTATCATTTTTTGGACATTGTTGCTAATTTTTTGTAACCTGAAGTAGCACTTTCTTACTACTTTTCTATTGGAATTTTTGCAACTTAGTATCAAGCTAAACTATTTAGATATACACACTTTTCAAGCTGCTTTCTTCCATGTTCTCTCACTCTTAGCCATAATACTTTGATGTATTATAGAATTTATACATGAGATTTTAATGATCTTAAATAAAACTTTATTATTTTTTGTAATACATGGTAGTGGGCAAATATATTGCTCCAGAAGGGGTATTAGAATTGAGGGGACTTGTCTCCTGTGTTTCAGGGATATTGTCTCCTCTCTTTGTTTCTGAATAACCTATGTTACTTTGAAATAAAATCATTGAGTTCTGTCATTGTATGATCTCACAGAGTCTTTTTTTCAGTGAAAGATCAAGGTAGCCTAGCCAGGAGATAAATGGCAAAGTATGAGAGAGTGGTGCTGATGTGATAAGTTTGGACATCTAACACAGTGAGGGAAAAAAAGTATTTGATCCCCTGCTGATTTTGAACGTTTGTACACTGACAAAGAAATGATCAGTCAATAATTTTAATGGTAGGTGTATTTTAACAGTGAGAGACAGAATAACAAAACAAGAAAATCCAGAAAGATGTATGTCAAAAAAGTTATAAATTGATTTGCATGTAAAAATGTATTTGATCCCCTATCGATCAGCAAGATTTCTGGCTCCCACATGTCTTTTATACAGGTAATGAGCTGAGATTAGGAGCACTCTCTTAAAGGTTACTTGTATAAAAGACAACTGTCTACAAAAGCAATCAATCAGATTCCAAACTCTCCACCATGGCCAAGACCAAAGAGCTGTTCAAGGATGTCATGGTCAAGTTGTACATTACACAAGGCTGGAATGGGCTACAAGACCACCGTAAAGCTGCTTGGTGAGAAAGTGAAGACTGTTGGTGCGATTATTCGCAAATGGAAGAAACACAAAATAACTGTCAGTCTCCCTCTGTCTGGTGATCTCACCTCGTGGAGTTTCAATGATCATGAAAATGATGAGGAATCAGACCAGAACTACACGGGAGGATCTTGTTAATGATCTCAAGGCAGCTGGAACCATAGTCACCAAGAAAATAATTGGTAACACAATATGTCGTGAAGGACTGAAATCCTGCAGCGCCTGCAAGGTCCCCCTGCTCAAGAAAGCACATGTACTCAACTCGCCGTGTTTGGAGGAGGAGGAATGGTGCCTATGACCCCAAGAACACCATCCCCACCGTCAAACCCGAAGGTGGAAACATTATGCTTTGGGGGTGTTTTTCTGCTAAGGGGACAGGACAACTGCATCGCATCAAAGGGATGATGGACGGGGCCACGTACCGTCAAATCTTGGGTGAGAACCTCTTTTCCTCAGCCAAGGCATTGAAAATGGGTCGTGGATGGCTATTCCAGTATGACAATGACCAAAAACACACAGCCAAGGCAACAAAGGAGCGGCTCAAGGAGAAGCACATTAAGGTCCTGGAGTGACCTAGCCAGTTTCCAGACCTTAATCCCATGGAAAATCTGGGGAGGGAGCTGAAGGTTCGAGTTGCCAAATGTCAGCTTTGAAACTTTAATGACTTGGGAGAGGATCTGCAAAGAGGAGTGGGACAAAATCCCTCCTGAGATGTGTGCAAACCTAGTGGCAAACTACAAGAAACGTCTGACCTCAAGGGTTTTGCCACCAAGTACTAAGTTGAAGGGGTCAAATACTTATTTCACTCATTGACATGCAAATCCATTTATAACTTTTTTGACATGCGTTTTTCTGGATTTTTTTCTCTCACTGTTAAAATACACCTATCATCAAAATGACAGACTAATCATTTCTTTGTCAGTGGTCAATGTTCAAAATCAGCAGGGAATCAAATACTTTTTTCCCTCACTGTATTTTGAAAAGAAAAAAAACAAAACACAAAAATAGTATTTTAAATTACTGCTGCATATCTGTTCAGAGGCTCATTGCCCTTGTTTGTACATGGTACAGTGACAATAAAGTTGAATCTGAAGAGTAGATGTCCACGAGACATTGAAAACAAGGAAGTTTTTCTGAAGTAATGGCATTAAATATGCCTTTAATTGTTTTAATGTTGTTTCTCCTGCCCCTTCCTCCATGTCCACCTTCAGTGCAAGATCCTGAGGAAGGGACCTAAGCTGTTGAATAGTGTGACGATACGGACTAATATCGTCCGTGGGTACTTCCACTAACTTGCACAGCTGATCACTATACTAAGTGTTATGACCTGGGCTTGGAGTCCCTGGATCCAGCATTCACATTATAGCAGATCTTGGATAGGTACAGCAAAGAAAGAGACAGACAATCAGCTTCTTTCTTGGTACAAACAGCAACAACCTTTATTTTCAAACAGCAACTGGCAGGCAGATATGTCAGCATGGGGGGAGGCTCTGCATCTTGTGCCATGTGACACATTAAAGGAACACATCAGGCACCCAGACCACTTCTGCCCATTGGAGTGGTCTGTGTGCCAACTCCCACTACCCTTAAACCTGCAACTGTAATTATTGCAGTTTTCATAACATTCATAACATAATTACATTGCAGGGTTAACTCCTCCTCTAGTGGCTGTCTAGTAGACGCTGTGTGAGGACCTCCAGCTTCGCTAAAATCCCCATAGGAAAGCATTGAAAAGCATTGCCGCGCATTAGGTCTCCCCAGCCGGCGTGCAGGATCAGTCTCCCCCGCCCGCTGACGTAATGAAGGGGGGGAGCGGCGGAGGAGGAAGAAGCAGCGACGTGGGACATCGTCGCTGCCTTTGGTAACTGACTGAAGAGGTTTTCACCCCTTCAGCAACCGGGAATTGGGAGGTGGGAGAGGGGACCTGCAGTGCCAGGAAAAGCTATGGTGAGTCCCTTTAAAGTCCCTTTCTGTCACAAACAGATTCCCTTGTACATACCTTGGTGGAAATCTGCCACATCCTCCTTGGCAGCTTTCACTCTGCGAGTCAGGTAGTGTACACTGCTTCATAAATAAACACTTCAAGCACTATAGCACGTTGTAGTGGTAATGGTGCCAAGAGTACCCTGATATTGCCCTTTACTATCATTCAAGTGTTTCTTCATGTCTCTCTTTGTTGCATGGTATTACCCTCCTCCTAAAATTTAAATTTAAAACTGACGGGTGCATCTGTTTGCATTACTGCTTACATTATTTTTATTTTGTCATGCAAGCAGTTTATCTAATAGGAGTAACAATAGCAAAGTATTTCTAAATCTGCCTTGTCTTTCGTGAGGCTAAACAGAGATGGGGAGTGGCGATGTCACATTATCCCTAAACTGGTATACACCATTCTGAGGGAAGATACTTACATGTACATGCACATCTATCTAGCTATAAAACACATACAACTAACTAATCATTCAAATACATATATACATATAATCACCTATACATACAACTAGCTATGCACTCACACACATGCGTTACTGATAACTCAAGCATACAGACGGACATGATCACCCACGATGTGGAGCTGATTTAATTCTCCTTCAAATCCCTCCTGTTGCTCACTGCTGTCAATGGTGAAAGGAAAATCGGGAGGTTTGCTACAATTTGACACTGGTATCTAGCAGACAGCATGGTGTCTGCATTTTTTGGAAGCTAAATCATTTTGGGGCTTCCTTCGGTCTCTCGCACAGCAGCCTAACTAAACATTCTAGAAGACAATTATGTTATATCTAGAGTTGAGTGGACACCTGGATGTTCGGGTTCCCCGGGTCCGGCTGAACTTCGGCAAAAAGTTTGAGTTTGGGACTCGAACTTGACCCCGAACCCGAACCCCATTGAAGTCAATGGGGACCCGAACTTTTGGGCACTAATATGGCTCTAAAAAAGTCCTGGAAAGGGCTAGAGGGCTGCAAAAGGAAGTAAAATGGGGGTAAGAGTAGGACAAGTGCCCTGCAAACAAATGTGGATAGGGAAATAACTTAAAATAACAAAATACATAAAAATTAAAACTAATAATCTTGAACTAGAAGGAGTGTAACGGATCACCTGTGGGAGGTGTATCGTCTGTGTCCTCCGTATCCCTTCAGCCACGCTCCAGTGAGGCCCACGAGCTGCGTTGGGTGCCACCCTGCTGTGAACACGGTTCCTCCTACTCCTCATCCTCCAGAACTGTGCCTGGCTGGACAATTGTGTACCTGGCATATGCTGGTGCAGGAACCCACCCTCTGAGCCACTTGTGAATGACTTGCCTGATTACCATGGAAATGACCCCTCTTCTTCCTCCTCCTCCTGTGCCACATCCTCTTCCATCATCGCCTGAAGCGTTTTTTCAAGGAGACATAGAAGTTGGATAGTAAGGCTGAAAACGGCATCATCGGCACTGGCCATGTTGGTGGAGTACTCAAAACAGCACAACATGGCACACAGGTCTTGCATGGAGGCCCACTCATTGGTGGTGAAGTGGTGAAGTGGTGCTGTTCCGCAGGGCGACTGACCCATGCGTGCTGCAGCTGAAACTCCACTATCGCCTGCTGCTGCTCGCACAGTCTCTCCAGCATGTGCAAGGTGGAGTTCCACCTTGTGGGCATGTCGCATATGAGGCGGTGAGCGGGAAGGCCGAAGTTACACTGCGGCGCGAGAACGTTGAAAGCGCACACAGACGGCCCGCACTTTCTGCAGCAGCTCTGATATATCTGGGTAGTTTTTCAGGAATTTCTGCACCACCAAATACAGCACATGCGCCAGGCAAGAGATGTGCGTCAAACCGGCTAGGTCCAGAGCTGCTACGAGATTTCGCCTATTATCGGACATCACCAGGCCGGGCTTTAGGCTCAGTGGCAACAACCACTCATCGGTCTGTTGTTCCATGCCCGTCCACAGCTCCTGCGCGGTGTTGGGTTTTTGTGCTGTCGTTTCCCCCTGGATGTGCTGAAGTTGGTGGTGAAAGTGTTACGCTGACCGGATGAGGAGGTGGTAGAGGAGGAGGAGGCAACAGGAGGCAAAGAGAAATGCCCTGCAATTCTCGGTGGCGGAAGGACATGCGCCAAACTGCTATCCGCCTCAGGCCCAGCCGCCACTACATTTGACCAATGTGCAGTTAGGGAGATATAGTGGTTATGTGGACCTTGCCACAGATGACGTTGCGCAGTGCACACCTGATTTTGTCCGCCAATTGGTTGTGCAGGGAAGGGATGGCTCCCCTGGCAAAGTAGTGGTGGCTGGGAACAACGTACTGTAGGACAGCCACCGCCATCAGGTTTTTAAAACTGTCCGTCTCCACCAGACGGAATGACAGCATTTCAAAGGCCAGGAATTTTGAAATGCTGGCATTCAGGGCCAGGGATCGCGGGTGGGTAGGGGGGTACTTCCTCTTTCTCTCCAGTGTTTGGGAGATGGAAGCTGAACACTTCCATGGGACAGTGGCGCATGTGGTGGCGTTGCTGCCACATCCTCTTTTTGTGGGGTGGCAGGTGCCACTGTCACTCCAGAGGTGGAGGAAGAGGCCGAGACAGCAGCAGAAGAAGAAGCAGAAGGAGCCTGAGACCTTTCTTGGTTTTTGAGGTGCTGTTAGGGACCAGGAACCAGACAGAGACAGAACTAGATGCAAAAACACCTTTATTAGTAAATAACAAATAAATAACCAAAAGCAAAGTCCAGGAGGAAAGCAGGGATCAGTCAGATGAGCCAGGATCAGGAGAACGGAGAGCAGCGAAGTCAGGAACAAGGCCAGAGTCAGGAACCAGGAACAAACAGGAAACACAGGAACAAGGAGACTTCTGGGGAACAGGAAACCACGCATGGGCAAGGAGGTACTGGGATTAGCTGCTTAAATAGGCTGCACTGATTAGCAGCAGGGTTGATTACTATTCTCAGCAACATACTGAAGGAGCTGATCGTTAATCTCAGCTGAAAACTCAGACACTGAAAAAGGAAGGGTTGCTGTTTAAAAACAGCATAGAAACCCTGACAGGTGCTTACTCCACTGCAGCTCGTGCTTTGCATGTAGATGCCTGGTCATGCAGGTTGTGCTCAGGTTTAGAACGTTTATGCCTCGCTTCAGGCTTTGACTGCACAGCATGCAAATCACTCGTGTCTTGTCGTCAGCACATTGTCTGAAGAATTGCCACGCCAGGGAATTCCTTGGAGCTGGCTTTGGTGTGCTCGGTCCCTGTGTGCGGTGGGCAGTAGTAGGCGTACTGTCTAGGGGATGGCCGCTCCGCTTTTGCTCCCTCTTATGCTGTGCTGGTGCCTCTGTGCGACCACTGCCTCATCCTCCAAACTGCACACGTCCCTCGCATGACCTTGATTCCATGTGGGGTCTAGGACCTCATCATCCTCCACCCACTCCTCAACCCTGCCCTCCTTGCAGAAAGCCACAGCAGTTGGAACCTGTGTTTCGTCATCAGAGACGTGATGCGGTGGTCCTCACATGTCCACATCCTGGAACATAAGTGGCTGTGCATCAGTGCACTCAATCTCTTCCACTTCTGGGGCAGGGCTAGGTGGATGGCCCACGGGAACCCCGCCAGCAGAGTCATCAAAAAGCATAAGAGACTGTTGACTTGTGGCTCAGACTGCTTGGCTGATTTGCAAGAGGGTGAGGTGAAAGACAGATGGCCATGGGCTGCAGGTGCCAACTTTGAGCTTTCAGCAAGGGACCGGGTGGGAGACAATGTGAAGGAACTGAAGGCACTGTCGGCCACCCAATCTACTATCACCTGTACTTGTCCTGGCCTCACCATTCGTAGAGCGGCATTCGGGCCTACCACATAACGCTGAAGGTTCTGTCGCCTACTCGCACCTGAGGAAGGTGTTTCACTTGTGCGTGTAGCTGGCACAGATCGACCACGTTCTCTCCCTGCAACAGGAGCTCCACCAAACCTGTGATTTTTTTTACACCAACAATGTAAGAGTAGTATTTAAGGATTTTATTGGACTGCAAGAAATGCACCGCAGGCCGCAAATGTTCTATTTAGCACAAAAAAGTGTGATTTTTTAAACCAACAATGTAACAGTAGTATATAAGGGTTTTATTGGACTGCAAGAAATGCACCGCAGGCCGCAAATGTTCTATTTAGCACAAAAAAGTGTGATTTTTTAAACCAACAATGTAACAGTAGTATTTAAGGGTTTTATTGGTCATGGTAGAATACAGGGCATGGATTGGATTCATGTAGAATGTATCTGGATTGCTCTATATAGAATAAGGTAAGGGATCTGTAACAGGTGATATCACCTGTTATCAATGGTATTCAGGGAAAGAGTATATCTGTGTATTAATATTATTTACTGATTGATTATATTATGGGGCAGGGTACAAAAATGTAGTATAGCACCCACAAAAATAATCAATGTAGTTTGCAGATTCAACACCAGAATTCTTTCCTAATCTGTCCTGCACAGCTGCAGCATCCTCTCCCTACACTAATAAGAGCTCATGTGATGAGCGGCGCTACGTGACTCCAGCTTATATAGTGGCTGGGTCACATGCTGCACTGGCCAATCACAGCCATGCCATTAGTAGGCATGGCTGTGATGGCTTCTAAGGGCACATGAGTCAAACGCTTGTTGACTGGCTGCCCTGCAGCTTTTCAAAACGCGCCATTAAATCTCCGAACACCGAACTCGAATTGTTACTGAAATGTCCGGGTTCTGGTTCGGGGTCAAAAAATCGTAATGTTCGGTATAACTCTGGTTATATCACATCCTCCCAATGCTGTGACTAAGAATACCATGCAGTGCAAGGGCATACAAAAGTTGCCTCTACTGCTAGAGAAAGCTCAAATTCTTGTAGCCATTTGGCGCTGGTCAGGAGAGAGCTTTAACCTACACTGGCCAATAGTGAAACAAATTATTAGGTTTCATTTTTGTGTTACCATTGTAACTTCTGCTGTAGGCATCTTTTTCATATCTAAAATTTTTATATCAGACAATTCTTTTTTTCCCCTAGCCTTGCATGACTCAAGATAACACAAAGCAATAAAAGAATTGGAACAGTTAAATTAGATCCTTTACTTTTTTTATGTTGGCATGTTCCAACCCCGTCTCCTAAGTTGTTACGTTTTTTTCTCAAAATTACGCTTAAAACAAAAATGCATAATGAAAAGGACAAGTTTTCCTCATGTACAACCTGACGGTTGACAAAGGTTTAGTCAAGCTCCACGGCCTTTATCAACTTTGTCATAGGCTGTACTTACCTCCTTCCAGACTGGCACTCTGTGCTGACTCTTGCACAATTGAGCTTCATTTTACAGGCAAAGTGCAGAATTCCTGGTGCCGCCATCTTGGGAACACAATGAAAAAAGACCCAGCAGGACCAGCACAACGTGGCAATAGGTATGTTGCACCGGTCCCAGGGCTTGTATTGGTTGTGGGGGCTGTAGCGCGGCTGCAGGCCAGAATCCTCTTTAACAATAGACACAGATTATATGCTACCATGGAAGTGGTCATTAGTTGAGGGATTTTGGATAGTCTGATTATATTAAATAATCTCCATCTTTATGTCCTTTCTTTCTTTAATTTCTTCTTGGCTCTTATGAATTTATGTCTTGATAAATAACCACAATTAGAAAACATATGCCATATTCCATTATTTGCAGGTGTTGCAACACTTGTTTAAATTTCTTTTGAATAATGTAAACATAATGTATACATGACAGCAATCGATTTCCAGAAACAAGCGGTTCTTTAATGCTAAAGAACTCAATCAATTTAGAACAAAACAAACATTATATAAAAAATAACATATTTACATTTTAGAGCAATCTAAAATTACAACTTGCCCCCAGTTCACTCAATAAACATCATGGTCTGCGCGCTAGACTATGATTTCTCAGTGAGACTTCATAATGACAAACCATTCTGCAAACTATTCCATAACAAACTAAATGAAACCTTACTAACCCCACAGTAAGATACAATGTAGTATGACAGCTGCTTGCATAAAGGTTTGGCAAAATGAAGCTATATAAAGCAGATTCACAGTAAATGGTCTGAATTCTAATGTCTCTGTATCATACTATCCATGTTTCAAATAGCTCATTCAAGAGTGCTTGTCAGAAATTTCACAATCTGTGCTTTGCTGATCAAGTAGTCACCAAATCGAGGGGTAATTGCAGCAGTAGGTATAAGGAACAATCGATTTAAAATGTGCTGCTTAGGGGGAGATGCCGGACTGCAGAGTGAGCAAGACGTGGGCTGCATGGGCTCCTTGGCTTTTGCTATAAAAGGAACTTTACTATAAAATATTACTGTAATCTGGATATTTTAAGAGACAATTTTATAACCAATGATTTAAAGAGAGTCTCTGATTGTTGTATCCGGCACCAGCTACTGAATTACTTGGTGTCTCACTCAATCTTGACTGCGGCCTATAAGCCTACTGGAGGTGGGGAAATGCGGTCAATTCTCCCCTCCTATGACGCTTTGCTGTTACGGCTGGCTCTGTCACTTCTCTTTAGCCCGGCGGCAGTTATCCCCACTGGAAGGGATCTCAGCTCGTGACAACAAAGACACTTTGCTTGTTTATAACCACTGACTCTGTAAAAAATGTGTACTCTATACAAAATGGCGTCTGCCCAATCTATAACTAGTCTGCAAGTGCGGTGCAGCAATCTTTATGTGAGACTTCATCTTTGTGACTCCTTTTTGCAAGGCTGAACCAGCGCTCACACAACACAAAGGTGACTTCTAAGAGGGATGGAAATATTCAGAAGCCTGCTTCCTCTCAACCTCATAAGCGAAGATAACACTTACCTTGGCTGCGAGCCTCTGAAAGGAGACCTCCTCCATAAAACCCAACACCCTGGAGAAACCCGTGCAGGCTGATGTCTGTCACACAGATACTCATAGGCCTACATCAGCTTGGACACTCTTGGACTTCTGATTCAGATGATGAGCACAGCCGGATCCATGGGCCAATATGGTTGGCTGGCATATGGACCTGGACGTGGTGGTGCAGCTTACTTTTGATAATGTGAACAGGGCTGCTATATTCGGTTTTCACAGAGGCTAGAGTAGGCTGAACGAATATAACCATTACCTCTCTTTTGTTCATTTGACCCTTTAGTGGCATAGCAATGTACTAGACGTGTAATATTTTATTTTTTCTCCTCTCTTCATAATGCCATGTCTACATTTATATGTGATTTTGTCAATGCACAAAAAAAATAAATACAAAAGTATTCTTTGCAATGTTTTGGGCCCCCATTTCACTATTAAAACAGTTAAGTTCTGATGACTTCTATCCAATCAGATTCATATGCACAGCAATTACCACGCCTGAAGGTATTCTATAGTACCAGGAAAACAAAAACGTTTTCCTGGCACGATAGGTTCCTACAGTACCCCCTTCCCTCGCAACCCCCCTCCCGTGGCGCTGAAGGGCTTAAAACCCCTTCAGTCACTTACCTGAATCCAGTGCTGATGTCCCTCCGTCCACGCTCCTCCCGTTGACATCCGCCAGCGGGGAGACCTAATGCGCATGTGCGCCAATGGCTGCGCTCGCATTAAGATTTCCCCATAGGAAAGCATTAATCAATGCTTTCCTATGGGGATTCCGGTGACGCTGGAAGTCCTCATGCATAACGTTTAAGTTGTCTAAGCACCCAGAAGTCTGGTAGATAGCTACTAGAGGTAGAGTTAACCCTGAGAGGTAATTATTACAGTTTCTCAGAAACTGCAATAATCACCACTGTAGGGTTAAGGGACATGGAACATTGCAGCCAGACCACTAAATGAGCTGATGTGGTCTGGGTGCCTATAGGGTCCATTTAAAAACAACACTTCTCTATTAAGCATCACCTTCTGCTTTGAACTACAATTCTAGTTGAGAAAGACTTGAAAGCCTCCAAATTGTCTGTTTGCTTCTCGTCGTCTGCGATTGATCAGCTGCACTGTTGGGCTTAGCTCAGAGCTTCCAGGTCTCAGAGAGGAAACAGAGAGCTGGAAAGTAGTGTATGTAGACTCTAGGTACAAAGTCAAACAGAATTATTACAAATCATCACAGCACACTGTAGTGGTTATGGTACTTGGGGACGTCCTTCAAACTAAAGGACTATTAATTTCCTGATTGTGGATTCTATGGAGCATTTTGGTGAGTAGCTGCTTTTTACGTGGTAGAGCCCGTTTTCAAAGATGTGACTTCTCTCCTTTCCTTTATAGAGAAAAGCAAAATATAAAAAATAAATAAGTAATGGCTTCTCAATTGTGGCTTTATTTTTGTTAAATAAATAAGGTGTAATATGTCCTGTGTTGTTGTTAATCTGAGGTTGTATATACCTAATTTTAGGACCTGCTAAGGAACAGATGATTGTTATTATGTCATGATATGTAAAACCATAGAATTCAAAGAGGGAGTATTTTCATTTTCCCATGACTGTATGTATGTGTATATGCCTGATTCTGATGAAAGTCCCTGCTGGGAGTGAAACGTTGATCTTTTTTTTTTTTTAATGGATGATTAATAAACTGTAAGTTTTAAACCTTCAAAAATCCGAGAGTGCTGATCACTATCTAAATATATTAGAATTTTCCTGGATTTCAAGCACCCGGTTACCAGTTCACTAAAGCGTGAGTGCAAGGACTTTATACATTTTATATATATATATATATACACATATATATATATATATATACACATATATATATACATATATACACACACACATACAATTCTGTTTAGTCAAGGGGCTTGACGAATTCTTGGAGCCAGGTTGCCATAGCAATGCAATATAGAATTTTGCTTCTATGCATGTAAAAAAAAGAAAGAAAGCCAGACTTTTGTTATAACTGCAGGACCATTTTTGCAATGGCTACTGCACTATGGACTGGCTTTGGAGATGATAAGCTATTACCTAAATGGTCAGCACTGTAGCTACAGTGAAAGCACTCAGTCATGTGTCTATATTCAGTGGTTGCTGAATTCAGCTTTGAATAATATAGGACAGAGAATCTACCTCTGCGCAGAAATTGAAGATGAAGGAAAGTGATTCACGGGTAAGATGTGAAAAGACTTGCGCAAATCATAGGACCTTGGCCCTTTTTGAAAAAAAAAAAAAAATTTTTTAAAAATCTGTGTTTAAAATCTGTGTTACTAAGAGTGTCTGCACAAATGCAGGCTAACATGTTTGTTTATTCTTATTTACATATTCATTTCGTGAGAATAGTGGAAAAATTATTTCTCAGAATTGCTACGAGAAAAGGAGAGCGTTATATAGGGTGCAACAAGATTATGGAAGAGGGCATCAGATAAGGAAAGAGAATCACAAATGAAAAAAGTGACTATAGAAAAAATGGGAAGGGGGACACTTTCACAGTTGCTCAAAGCGGGCGTGTCTGCCTAATGAATTGGAAGGCCAGCCTGGCATGAATGCATGTCAGGCTGCCTGCCAATCATGCAGGCTGGCCAACTAAGGGCAAACTATGCAGACAGCACCCTGAGCTTAGCATAAATGTGTCTAACGATGAGTTCGCTCCACGATTTCTAAGGACTGTGCCCTAGCACTCGCTGGTCTGCTCCTAACCTCCTTACTAGCACGCAGAGGAGTGACCTAAGAGAAAATTCTGTAAAATCACCAAAAAACTACTCACATTTATTCTGCTGAATAAAAGATGGATTGTTACCAGTGTCTCCCTGTGTCTTAGTGTCCCCTAGTCTTCCAGTGTCCTCATGTCTCCCAGTATCCCCTAGTTTCTATGTTCCCTATGTGTTTCAGTGCCCCATGTGTCCCAGTGTCTCCTCATGTCCCCTATGTATCACAATGTCTCAGTGCCCCCTCGTTTCCCCATGTTGCCCAGTGTCACTTGGACACTAGGGGACACTTAAGAGACATGGTAACACTGTGAGACATTTTGACACTAGGGGACACTGAGCCATAGGGACAGTGGGAGACATGCGGACACTGAGACACTAGGGACACAGAGACTTGGAGACATTAGCAGACATGGTGACACAGATGCTAGGGACAGTGTCTCAGTGTCCCCATGTCTCCCAGTATCCCCTAGTGTATGTGTCCCCTATGTATCAAAGTGTTTCAGTGCCCCATGTGTCCCCTCATGTCTTCTATGTATCACAGTGTCCCAATGTATCACAATGTTTCAGTGCCCCATGTGTCTCAGTGCCCCATGTCTCCCAGTGTCCCCAAGTGTCTCAGTGTTCCCAGGTCACCCAGTGTCCCCTAGTTTCTCCCAGTGTCCCCATGTCTCCCTGCAGCCTTTACCCCATCCCTCACTTCCCTGAGCTGTAGGTTGTCTCTGCAGGCTGGGAGCTGCTGTCTGGACTCTCTGTGCTGTGTAGCTGCTCCCCCATGGATCAGTGTTTGGAGAGACGCAGGGATATGCTGTAACTACCTATCCCTGCCTCTCTCCACACACAGTGACCCCTACTGGCCGGCGCAGATATTGCAGAGTAATCTCTGTTTATACATAAAAATATACCATAAAATACCATCCAGGTGGCAACCCTAAGAGTAATGTGTAAAAAAAAGATCCCCCCAAAATCAATGGGCCTATTCCATGGCCCTGGGCCTGAAGCTGCAGCTCCATCAGCCCCTATGTTAATCCGGCCCTGATCAAGGCATAGGCTCAACGAGATATCTCAACATGTCCTGTGGTACCTGGCACCAAGAAATTAGCAGCAGATCCTTTAAGTCCTGCAAGTTGTGAGGTGGGGCCTCCATGGATCGGATTTGTTGTTCCAGCACATCCCACAGATGCTCAATGGATTATCGTATGGGGAATTTGGAACCCAAGGAAACACCTTGAACTTTTTGGCATGTGCCTCCTTGAACATTTTTTTGCAGTGTGGAACATTACACAGAGCATAATACTACATCCGCTGTCCTGTCTTCTTTCCATAATGCATCCTGCTGCCATCTCTTCCATAGTTAAAGGATCACTATAGGGTCAGGAACACAAACATGTATTCCTGACCCTTTAGTGTTAAAACTACAATCTAGCCCCCCTGGGCCTCTCATGACTCCATAAATATAGTAAAAATCTTACTGTATTCAAGCCTGAAGTTGCCTGCTCTGCCCTGTCTGCCTCCGAAAAAAAAGCTGTCTGCTGACATCATCAGAAGTGGTAGCCTGATCCAATCACAGTGCTTCTCCATAGGATTGGCTGAGACTGACAAGGAGGCAGATCAGGGGCAGAGCCAGCATGATTCAAACACAGCCCTGGCCAATCAGCATCTCCTCATAGAGATGAATTGAATCAATGAATCTCTATTAGGAAAGTTCAGTGTCTGCATGCAGAGGGAGGAGACACTGAATGTTTGGATGCATTTTAGGCAGCCATGACCCAGGAAGGATCTCTAACAGCCATCTGAGGAGTGGTCAGTGAAGTTATCACTAGCCTGTAATGTAAACACTGCATTTTCCTTGAAAAGACAATGCTTACAGCAAAAAGCCTGAAAGGAATGATTCTACTCACCAGAACAAATTCAATAAGCTGTAATTGTTCTGGTGACTATAGTGTCCCTTTAAGAACGCACATGCACCCAGCCATCCATCTGATCAAAAAAGAAAACAAGATTCATCAGACCAAGCAACCTTATTCCATTGCTCCATGGTCCAGTTCTGACTCCATTGAAGGTGCTTTTGGCAATAGATAGGGGGCATCATGTGCACCATGACTGGTCTGCGACTACGCACCTCCATACTCGACAAACTGAGATGCCCTGTGTGTTCTGACACCTTTCTATCAAGCTCAGCATTACATTTTCAGCAATTTGAGCTATGGTAGCTCTTCTGTGTGATCGGACCAGACGGGCTAGCCTTCGATCCCCACGCACATCAATGAGCTTTGGGCACTCATGACTGATGCCCGTTCACCAGTTGTCCTTCCTTGTGCCACTTTTAGTAGGCACTAACCACTGCATACCGGGAACATCCCACAAGACTTGCCGTTTTGGAGGTGCTCTGACTCTGTCTAGTGATCACTATTTGGCCCTTGTCAAAATCACTTAAATCATTTTGCATTTTTTCTGCTTCTGAAACATGAAATTTAAGATCTGACTGTTCATTTGCTGCCTAATAAATCCCACTCCTTAACAGATGCCATTGTAACGAAATATTCAATGTTATTCACCTCACCTGTCAATGGTTTTAATATTGTGGGTGAACAGTGTATGTTGTCATTCAAGGTGAGGGAGCATTACTGCTCTTGTGCTCCTATACAGGGCATATTAAATTAATTGGGGGATCAAAAGAGACCCAGGATTGTAAGCACGGTGAATAGAAATCAATGATTAAAAAAAAAATATCAAAAAATTAAAATAAAAATCTATAAATGTATTAATTAAATCTGATCTTCATAATATGCTTTTGGAGGAAAAATATCTCTAAAGATTATTTTTATTTAAAGGACAACTGTCACCTGAAAACTATTTTTAATATAATAATCCTTCCATTAAGTTTTGAAAGAAAATAGATATTTTGTTAAAGGGACACTATAGTCACCAGAACAACTACACTTAAATTTAGTTCTGGTGTGTGTAATGTCCCTGCAGACATTTTTATGTAAACACTGCATTTTCAGAGAAAAAGGGGTCTGGAACCTAAAAGGTGTTTTCACAGCTACAGGAATACACGTTTCAAACTATAGGAATATATAGGAAAATTCATCTATACCTTTAGTATATTACAGGATCCTTCAGCCATATACATGCACGTTGGGTCACACTGTTGTTTGAAAACCCCTATATAGTCTCTGTGGTCTTCAATGTTCAATGTCTCCCAGAACAGCAGCTTTGTTAGATCGACTGTCAATTTCAAACAATGTCTGACCCAAGGTGCATTTATAGGATCCTGTCTTATACTAAGGTAGGGATTACTTTTTCTCTCTCTTTTTTTATTTTAACATATACTTAATTTAACAAAATCTATTTCCTTTCAAAACTTGCTGAAATGGTTATTACATTTAAAAATAGCTCTGAGTAGCGCATGGCCTAACCACTATGTCGAGAAGACAGATGCTGTTATAGTTCCCCGGAGAAACTAAAACGGCTCTTCATCTCGATACTTAACGGCTGTAACTCCAACTCGGTGGTGAACTTGCGAGTTGACACAGAGACTGTGCACCATTCTACACTGATAGAAATGGGTCTGGCCCTATCTACGGGGGACTGCAGTTCCAAGGATTGCCTGGAGAAGACATAGTGGAAGTGTCTGCCAGACCACTGATCACTGACGCATGAGTTTCTGTCTCCTCCTCCCTTGGAACTGTGTGGGTTATACCGGTCCCTATAGAAGAGGCTAATCGAGATAGCAAGAGGTTTACAGGCGCAGTGTGTTTGGGCTTGCAGCAAGATGTTGTTGGGGCAGAATGAGGCCACAACACACTCACGTGGACATGGAGAAGCAGAGACAACGAATACAGAAGTCTGAACGCCGGCTAGTTGGCTTCCTCTTCCGACCCCATGAAGGGAAGGACTTCCACACAATAGGTGGCTGGGTCCGAGGGACGGTGGTGACAGCTTATGGTCTACATCAGGGCAGGCGCCTACTTAACAGTAACACTAATAACCAGGTTAAGCATTAGGTGACTGATTCATATCTACAAGTTACCGGTCCCTCATTCTTGGTCCTGAGCCAGTCGAATGACTGAAGCATACTCCAAAGTCTATTTCTTGTCTACGCATTTCTTCTACATTTTTGTCCTTTGTTAGTTTGAGCCCCCCCAAATCAAATCAAAATGATTTTACTAACATTCTCTCCTTCGACGGGTGACTCTTTGCAGAGGGCGGATCCAGAATCAAATCTTGGGAGGGGCACTGGGGGGCTGTAGTGTAGGGGACAGGGGACTCTAGTGTAGGGGTCTAGGGTCTGCAGTGGGGGAATTGGGGCTGTAATTAACGGGTTAGGGGGCTGTAGTGGAGCATAGGGGGATGAGTTGGGGTTAGGGGATTATAATGGAGGGATGGGGCTCTAATTGGATGCCAGACATACACTGGCATACACACACACATAGATAAAAACATGAACCAACACAGGCACACATACACACACCTTTACATACACACATTGTCTCACACACACACACACACACCTACACACAATGGCACATGCACACATACACACACAGATACACACTGGAACACAGAGGCAGACACACAAATACACACACACACTCATACAGATACACACACACATCTACACAAACACACTGGCACATGCACAAAGACACACACATACACTGGAACACAGATGCAGACACACAGATACACACACAAACACACACCTACACATATACACAGTGGCACACACAGATACACACAGAGATTTATACATACACACACTGGCACACATACCTATATATACACACAAACTGGCACACATACCTACACAGATACACATACTGACACACATATCTACACAGATACAGACACTCATACATAAAAATTGGCACACACACAGATACAGACACACATACATACACATTGACACACACACAGAAACACATACCTAAACATACACACTGACACACAAATTGCAATTGATATATCAACCCCCTGCTTCCATACCGTTAGCTGCAGGGAGGTGAACTCCTTGGGCTGGTTGAGGATGATGGGTTGGGAGTCTGCCTGCAGAGCTCTTTCTCCTCCTTCCTCCTCTCTCATAGTTTATTCAGTCCTCCCAGCTCGTGCGGTCAGTAAGCTGGGAGAAAGTAACAGATAGTTAGTCACTTCCTCCCAGTAATCTCTTCTTGGGAGGGGTTCAGTCTCTGCAAAATTTAAAGGGGCCCGGTGTGTTGTAGTAGGGGGGGATTTGCCACTGACTCTTTGTGCTGCTGCGGCCTCCTTCTAGCATGATGTCATCCTGGAGGCGTGTCTCCAGGATCATATTTCAATCCAATGCTTCTCATGAAAGAGCATTGAGAAGTGCATGGATAAAGGTGAATACACTGAGCATGTGTGCTCAACGTTAAGGTACAGTATGAGAGCAAGGAATTTTATGGCAAGACAGGAGGCTTCATATTTGCTTATCTTTCTTTACTGTAACTCCCAGCAGCAAAGAAATAGTTAACAATGTTGTAAAAAAATTCAACCAATCATAACACATGATAGAACAATATAGTGCCACCAGACTCCTCCCACTTCCTCTTTCTTTGCTACTTGCCTCCCAGGTGAGTCTATTCTAATTACGTTGCCTAGCCTCATTATTTGAAATTTTACATTGTCTTAGATTATTTGATGATTTTTATCTGTTAATCCTATCCTGAGATAGCTCTAATAACAGTTTCAGCTTATCCTTAGGGTAATTTCCTTTTAAGAACCTTTTAAAAACCTTTTTGTTTTATTTCACCTGTTCAATGTTTTCCTTTATTCGAGTGATTTACATCCTTCTTTATATTAATCATTTAAGTGGCTTATACCTTTAATTGTGTCAGAGTTTCAGCCGCAAACAGAAACAGCCCATCGGGCTTTCCCTTCCCTCCCCCCCTCCCGTCAGGAGAATCTGTGCAACGGACTCCATTTCCCAGGGGACCGTTTTCTCCTGGTACAACCTTCGCGCCCTTTTCATCACCCTCTTCCCGCCTAACGACCGCACCGCCCCTTTTACTCGCGGCGGCCATTTTCTAATCGCGGCACTCGCGTCTTTTACCCGCGGCCCCTGACCGGATTATTAATTCTGTGGGCACTACTACATTCCTCTACAGGAAGGTAAGTTAATTATTAATTGGCCCATGTATTAAGGATTTGCCACTGAAGATCAGAATACTGATCATAATTTCTTCTTTATCCTTGCAGGTTTTTTTGCTGCTAGCCAAGTCCTGCCTGCTAAACTGTTTGGGTGACCCCCCTTTGTATTACATATTTATACTCCACTGTATAAATTACCTTTATTAAAAATTGTTGTGTGGCTGACACCACCTTTTTTCTTCTGTGGGTGACCCCCACCAGAACTACTGCCAATAATATTTTGTGTGGCTGACACCACCCTGCTTATTTTGTGGGTGATCCCCACTTTATTTCTACATAACCCCACCATAACTATTGCCTATAATATTTAAAAAAAGTGTGGCTGATACCACTTTGTTTATTTGTGGGTGACCCCCACTTTAGTTCTACATAAATTTCTGTATTGTACCGGTGATTATCACCAGGGTCCTCTATAGTGGGTAACCCCACCTCATTGGCTTTCTTATATCTATATATATATATACTATATATTCGTACTAAGTTGCTGTTTACCATTTGTTAAAGGGTGACCCCCTATTTTGATTGTGCCTAATAATTGTGGGTGACCCCCACTGATTCTCAATTCATGTGGGTGACCCCCACCTCTTCATTATTCTAGTTGAGTTGCCTTATCTCTTCATTTGCCAACCCTGCCTTATAATTTTACTACACCTACCTGTAGTTGTTCATCTGCCTCCATTGTCATTTCCCTAATAAACATTATGTCGGAACACCAAGACCCTGCAATTTCTGCAGAACTTCGGGATTGGCTGTTTGCCACTATTGCGGAGTCCATTCCCAAGGCTCTGGCAGCTTATCATGAGCAATCTACTACAGAGGTTCATCCCTCTACACACCAACCCTCTGACTCAGAGGATTCCCACCTTTCAGACCAAGAAAGTGCCCCGTGCAAACGACCCTGGAAAGGGAATAGCTCTACTGCGGGCAAAGGCAAAGCTCCTGCAAAAATTCTCAAACATTCCCAACCATTTACTATGCAGAATCCGACAGACCCTCTAGAGAGCTCTACCTCCCGACTAGCTGGTCATATTTTAAACGACTATGACACCACCTACTCTGATGAGGATCCTACGGTGAATGTGCCCCAGGATTCCTCAACATCAGAGTTTGTTAAGGAAACTTTTCATGTTCAGGATGCTAAGGGTGCCCCTTCATCTAAAGAGCCTGCCTCAGACACCCTCCTGGATGCTTCAGGCCTTCCCTTTTTTGATCCAAGGGTTATTCGTCACTCATGATCTGTAGAATGGGCCCCTCCTGATCACATTGCCAGTTACTGCAAAATGTGGCTTCGCAAGCCCCTCGAGAAAGAACTTAGAAATAAACTGAGGGCTGAATGCCCAAGACCTACTATTCTGTGCAAAGTTGCCTCTACTCCTGAGTTCGACCCCATGCTTGTCACCTTTTTAACTAAATCCGGCAAAGACCCTCGTAAGGGTACTGAACAAGGGTTGAAAGCAGCCCAAGACAAGCTTCTGGACATTTCAGGTCCTATAATCCAGATTTTTATCCTGGCAGATGATGCACTCACTAGCGGTGAATTCGATCCACACACTATAAGAGAATGGGCTCAGAGAGCTCTATGCATATTGGGCAATGCCAACGTGGCAATTTCAATAGAAAGACGAAAAGCGGCACTTTATAAAATTGATGCCAAATTGGTAGATTTAAGCTCTAAGGAATTGGGACCAGAAGCAGATGGTCTACTATTCGGTGACAGTTTTATGCGACACCTCTCCAAGCATGTCTCGGTATTTACCACACTTAATAAAGCCCAGTCCTCATTACGCAGGGTTTTCCGCTACCAAACTCAAAGTTTTTCCGGGAGAGCTGGTCGCTTCAGGGGCCGAGCTACCAGTAGAGCAGCCTTTGCAGGCTACAGGCCTCGACCCACAGACTATTGGTCCTCAGGACCCACGCGACCCTACCACAGACAGCTTTTTAGATCCAGAGGCTCTATTCGAGGATGTGGTTCTGCATCCCTGCGCGGACGCACTGCTTCAGGTAATGGACCTTACTTATTTAAAAAATGTGTCAATTGCAGGTCGATTAACACTTTTTTTCCCAACAGTGGAAACTACTTTCTCAGGATCACTGGATCCTCCATACAGTCAGGGGTTTCAAAATAGATTTTCTCACACACCCCATTCAAAGGCTCCCTCCTTTAGAGATGTCAAAAACAGACATACTAACCTTAGACTCAGAGTTACACAAACTACTAGACAAAGGGGCGATCGAACCTTCGCCTTTCCCTTACACTTTCCTCAGCAACATTTTTCTTGTACGGAAAAAGACGGGAGACCACCGTCCTATTATCAACCTCAAAGAACTGAATCAATTTGTCACATACCGCCATTTCAAGATGGAAGGTATCCATCTTCTCAGGGACCTACTCTGCGTGGGAGACTGGTTCTCCAGATTCGACCTCAAGGATGCTTACCTTACGGTCCCAATCGCACCAAGTCATCGTGCGTTCCTTCAATTTCTCTGGCAAGGCGAAATTTGGCAGTTCACCTGCCCTCCTTTCGGACTTTGCTCCGCCCCTTGGTGTTTCACCAAGTTAATGAAACCGGTCATGGCACTACTCCGCTTTCAGGGAATACGTTCCATCATGTATCTAGACGATATCCTGATTATGGCCCAAGACCAACATTTGCTTCGCAAACACACGCACATGACCTCTGCCCTCCTTCAAAACCTTGGGTTTGTCCTAAATTTCCAGAAATCAGATCTGGAACCATCTCAGATAGTCCAGTTTCTGGGCTTTCAAATAGATTCCGTTCAGGCAACTTTACAACTGCCTTACCCCAAAATAAAAAACATAAAGAAAGAAATCCAAAAATTACTTTCTTCACAGCGACCTCGGCTCCGCGACCTTGCACACATTCTTGGACTCCTGTCCGCATCTATCCAAGCTATATTTCCCGGGCCTTTACACTACAGAGCAATGCAACGGTTGAAAACTTCCTACTTGCATCGCTCAACCTCTTACGATCAATTCATATCTCTGACAGACGAAGTTATCATCGAACTCCACTGGTGGCTTCGCAACATGGAAGCCTGGAATGGGAAAGCGATCTTCGGATCTCAACCCGATTTTATTCTGGAATCCGATGCAAGCCTCTTGGGTTGGGGTGCTACGTGTGCCCAAACCTCCACAGGGGGTCTTTGGTCCCCATCGGAACAGGCGCTCCACATAAATTGCCTCAAGCTCATTGCTGGATTCCTTAGCGATCCGCAGCTTTGCCAAGGACGCCTCCAACTGCTCCCTGATACTACGGAAGGACAACGTCTCCGTGGTGCGGAATGTAAACCGACTCGGAGGATCCGAATCCAAACTTCTGTTCGATCTCACCAAGGACCTGTTCCAATTCTGCCTGGACAGGAATCTGTCCGTTCGAGCGGAATATCTCCCAGGATCCGACAACTTAGTTGCGGACTGGTTTTCGCGTCATTGGAGAGATGCCAGCGACTGGAAATTAGACCCTCTCCTGTTCCACCACATTCATCTCCTACGGGGACCCCTCACACTCGACCTCTTTTCATCTTGTCTAAATCGTCAGACAGACGATTTCTTCAGCTGGCTACCAGACCCTCTATCTCTGGCAATTGACGCTTTTTTACAACCTTGGCCACGGGAGGGAGCCTATGCTTTCCCTCCCTTCTCGATGATTCAACGGACCCTTCACCGGGTCAAAGCGCAAAGGGTCAGGATAGTAATAATCACTCCACTATGGAGGGCTCAGACCTGGTTCCCCACCCTCCTGGAACTATCAATAGACTACCCCATCCTACTACCTCGCTCCTTTCGAGTCCTCAGGAACCCAGTGGGAGATTACCATCCCCTCGCCCTACAGGGCCATCTTCAACTAGTAGCTTGGACAGTTTCAAGGGAGCTTGGCATGTCGCGGGCCACCTATTGCCAAATACTCTAATTTCTGGGATATTTCTCAGGTTTTCACACTGTTGGATTCCTGGCCACCTAACGAGGCCTTATCCCTACGCCAACTCTCTGCGAAATTGGCCCTGCTCCTGTGCCTGGTGTCCTTCTGCAGAGTTTCAGACGTTCAAGCCTTTGACTCTCATGCTGTGACCTTTGCACCAGACGGTGTCAGATTTACCATTACTAGACGCACTAAGACGAATTCCTCTTCAGTCTTTGGTCCCTACTTTCCCGACAGACCGTCTCTCTGTGTAGCCCTGTGTACCCGTTGTTACATTGAGAACACTATCTCTCTACTTTCCCCTACTGGACCTCCTTTTGTCTCTTACGTTAGACCTCACAAACCGGTCTCTTCCCCCACGATCGCACGTTGGATAAGATGGTTGCTTATCCAAGCAGGAATTGATAGATCATTCGGAGCTCACTCCGTTAGGGGAGCGGCCGCATCCATGGCGGATATTTTGACCTCCGCAGATTTGTCAAGGGAATCTACCTTTTGCACTTTTTATTTTAAACCAACACCACATGCGGCTTGTTCCTTTATTCAAGAGCGTTAAAACAGCAAATATGAAGCCTCCTGTCTTGCCATAAATTTAGGGATTATTATTAGTTTACAGTGAACGAATAATCGAAATTTTATTAAAGACAGGAGGCAAATATTTTCCCTCCCTTCGTTCACTCTGGAACCCACCCTCAGGGTAAGTCTCCTGTTCTATGGTTATTGCATTGTACACTCTCTTGCAATTTGATGTGTAGATATACGATTGGTTAGCCTAGTAAGATATAATCCTACGTCACATTGTACCGTTAGGTCCTTTAAATCCTACCAGATAATCTGCTATCATTTTAGAATGCGTACTTATGTTTTTCTCTTGTCCAAGAGACCATACTTTCACGAAGTTTCTCTTCTAGTGTGAAAATTTCAGCTTGTTCTACTCGACTACACGTTTACATGGTTGACTTCACTACGAGTTAAAGCCTCTGAATGTTTCCAGTTTACAGGGTTGATTCTACTACTGATCGGCACCACCAAGAAAGAGGAAGTGGGAGGAGTCTGGTGGCACTATATTGTTCTATGATGTGTTATGATTGGTTGAATTTACAACATTGTTAACTATTTCTTTGCTGCTGGGAGTTACAATAAAGAAAGATAAGCAAATATTCGCCTCCTGTCTTTAATAAAATTTTGATTATTCGTTCACTGTAAACTAGAATAATCCCTAATTACAAGTCATGGGTGTCATAGCTCGGAGGTCTACCTTGAAGTATAATTGTGTCATATTCATGAAAACGCATGAAAAGGGTTGTTTTGCAGTATGTATAATGTTCTGCACTGCCTAATGACTTAATCTTGTACACCTACTTCTGAATTCTACATAAAACTATGCAATCCTTTTCATGTGCTCCCCATCAATATGTATATGTTATATGTGTCCTTGAAAACATGGTGGATCTGGCAACCCTAGCTGTAAGCAAACTACATCCCACTGGCCATACAAGTATTTATTTATTTAATTATCTAATTATCTCTCATTTTTAAACCTGCACACTTTATAGGAGGGGCTTTTATTATTATCTACTTGAAGAAGCCTTTTGAGGTGAAACGCGTTTAGATATTACTATCACTTTATTGCCATTTTTCTTTATTTTCTTTATTTCATTTTACTTCTGCACCTGACCTACATCCACAAGGAACCTAAAGAATCCATAGATGGGGATTATACCACCCAAACGTTCACACCGAGCAGTACAAGTCTGCTCTATAGAATGTAAGTAATTTACTTTACATCCTTACGCTCAATTACATACAGAAAGCACTATATTCTTATTCTCTCATTTTGGGTCGAACAATATCTATTTGAACACTGAACCTGGGCCAGGAACTCTCCAATCAAATACTACTTTGCATATCCTTGATTGGGGATTATTCCACTTCACGCGCATAATATCAGAGCTAGGACCTAGCTCTGAAAATTGTGAGTACGGCTATTTTTACTATTTTAGAATTTTACTCTCGCTGATATACTGTACCATTGGAGTTCCTGTTTCTGTTTCCCTTTCATATATTCTTCACTGGATCCGAGTATACCATTGTGAAGATTCTACTCCGTCTGACGCCTCAGGATTCCCTGTTTCCTCAAAAAGAACCCACCATTACGGACTCTTCATAAGTGTTTTGGACTATTGCTGCTTATTATTTTATACTTACTTTTATTATCTGATATTTTATTTTACACTCTGTATATGTTTTATTATACATTTTAGGCACACTCTTATCCTTTTTTATCTGTTTTTGTCTTTTAATAGCCAGGGGATTATAGGGGACTCCTCTCAGAGAAGTGCTGCCTCCTTTATTTATTTGTGTGGCAGTTGAGCGCTAATTTTCTCCTTTTTCGTAATGTTCTGCACTGCCTAATGACTTAATCTTGTACACCTACTTCTGAATTCTACATAAAACTATGCAATCCTTTTCATGTGCTCCCCATCAATATGTATATGTAATATGTGTCCTTGAAAACATGGTGGATCTGGCAACCCTAGCTGTAAGCAAACTACATCCCACTGGCCATACAAGTATTTATTTATTTCATTATCTAATTATCTCTCATTTTTAAACCTGCACACTTTATAGGAGAGGGATGAAGAATCACACAAATGATCACACAAGGCCTTTCAGTTCACATACAACATATTTTGTATGTACAAATACTCTATTACTATTTATTATCCTGCACAATAATATGTCTTCCATTTTTCTTTTTCTGTGTATCTCAAAATCTATTTTTTTCATGTGGGAAACATTTGAAGAATCAAAATATTATGTACTGATAACATTATTTGTGTTTACAACGAGGAACATAAGAAGGTTGCCTAGAACGCCTGTTTGAGCAGCGACACAGGAGGTGAGTGGGCATAACTAAATGTCAGTACCAGTCAGTTCATTCCATGCCACAACTGCTTGATTGTGATGATATCCCACATCAACACCTTTAATTTTAATATAGTTTCCTGAACTGTGAATTAAAAGGCCCCTTTCATCTGCCCGTTTTAACACCCCACCTTTAAACCCTGCGGCAAAAAGATTTCATATGAAGTTTGTCTCTAAACTGTTTTTTATGCATTTACACAAATATAATCAATATGCCTTAATGTATCTAATTAAATTGTTTTTTGTAAAAATAAAGTAAAATAAAAACCTATGGAAAGACTGATACAAAACTGAGATATACATACAATTGCATATCTATGTATGAAAAGGCTGTAAGCCAGGAGTTGTGAGAGGCATTTTGCAACCTATATGAGCTAACCTAAATTGTGGGACATGGTTATGACTACTGATATCACTAAACAAACTGCAAAGCTGAGGCAAAATAGCCAAGTTGTGATTATTATTATTTTTACTTCAGTTTTGCCATTCAGAATTAATATTTGTTATTCACTGCACAGTCACACTGGTCTCCAGGGTTCACTTCCTTCTGTGGCCACAAGTGATTGTGGGGTGTGTTATTCACAATCCAGTGCTCTCCCCCACCCATCCCCCCTCTTTGGCGATTCTTCCCAAGCACTTCTCGCTGGGGGACACATGCCTCACATCTCACTGGGTTCACTCCTTGTTTAGTGTGTTATGAATAGCACTGACATACAGTTTATTTGCCCTTATTCCATGTCACACAGGGTTGATAATGGCATCTTCTGATACACACTCAGTTGTTTTTTTTTGTGGGTGTTCCTCTGGGTCAGGCTCTGATCACTTGAATCAGTGCTGCTGACCTAGTGATGGGATGTTTACTGCTGTTCTAATATCGCTAATCTTCTTCTCCCCAGTCTGTTTTTCTCACCATAGAAGTGGATGTATGTATATATTAATCATACCTATGTGCTTATATAAATTTGTATATATCAGTGGCGATTTGTGGGTATGGGTGGGTTTATGAGTGTACTTGTGATTTGGGTTTTACAAGTGGGTATGTATTATCCTACATAGATATCTAGCAATATGAAATACGGTTACATATATATAAGTAAACACTTTAGTACTGTGTGCATGCATTCTATCCCTACATGTAGTGATGGTGTCTCCAGGCACAGGTATTAAAAACACATTTTATCACAGTTTTACAATAAGGGTCAATTAAATATGGCATTACGCACAACAGTACCCTTCAAGGGTAGTGGTAGCCAGAAATAGACATCCACATGTGTAAATGCCTTGTGGTAAATAGTCGCCATATGTTCTGTGGTCATACACTGGTTGTGTATAGTTTTAATGAAAATGCAGCATTATTGCAAGTAAGCTATAGTTATGCAAATTAGTGTTGTTACGGTGGTAAGGTTCTGTTACTCAATATTTCGCTGCTTTGAATATGCTAATATCAAGTTTATGAAGTTCTGTTGTATTTTTGAAATACGATCACTCTATTTCTCACTGGTATTAATGAAAATGTCTGTATAGCAGTGTATAGCCAAAATGAAAATTCTACATTCATATGTCTGTCTGCTCTGGGCATAATTCTATATGGTATGGGTGTTGGTTCATGATAGGAATGTCTTTCAGCTCAGTGCTTTCTTTTACTATCGGGTGGTACCTCCGTTCTGTGCATTATTTTGCTACTGAGTTGTGTATGCACTGTGCATTGTTTCCTATTCAAATATCTGCTCCTTGCATTGTTTTGCTATAGATCTGTGTGTTCTTTTGTGCATTGTTTCGCTGTCCTTTTTGTGCACTGTTTAGCTATATAGATGTCTCATTGCTCTGGCTATTTTTTGTTGAACCAATACCAAACAATATTACCCACTATGTGCAAGAATCACTAAATGAGGCTTACTCGGACAGACATATAGATTTACTTCGTCCCCAAGGAGCTGAGCATTTTACTAAAAGTACAAAGTAAGCACAATTGACAAATTATACCTATATCTACAGATAAAGTATTGCAATTCAAAAACAGAAATGTAAAAAACAATGGCAAGTTGATCTACTATTTACAGGGGAAAGAATAACTGCAGGTAAGTATTTAGTGTAAATTACATTAGTCAGATCCTTTTGGAGCCTGCAGTTACTAAAGGCTAATTACAGCCAATATGACCTCTCAGGTGCCTAATATTTGTTCCTCATCTGCTGCCAGCTAGTTCATACAAATCATACAATCCCTCTGCTTCCAAATACAGTTTATAAATACCTCCAGTTGATGATTCAATTTACATAATATCAGCCCTGATACTTCAGCTCCATTAAGAGCCTACAGTTACCCAAGACAAATTACACCCAATATGACATCCCATGTATCAAATGAGACATGGGTTATACAGAAAATCCATTGTTGCCTACAATGCCTTGGCTCTAAAAGGAGTCTACAGATACCTCCAGCTACTCAATGAGGACAGCATTCAACATAGATTCTATCGGCCCTAATACCTCAGTTACATATTGGAGTCTACAGTTACCTTGGGCAAACAACACCAGAAATAACCTGTCAAATGCCTAAATCGTTAAAGGGTTATACTCATCATCAATGGGCTGTAGTGGTTATGATGTGAGGAGTACCATTGCCCTGTTTTCTGGTAATGGAGCAAAACATTAGATCATCCTTTGCCATCACATATTAATGTTTATTCCCCCCTTGCTGGATACTGTACATTTCTGTCCCTGTATTTTGAAACTTTGTCAGACATCTGTTATAATTTGTAAGCTCTGGTTGCTTTGTACTTTTAGTAAATGCTCAGCTCCCTGGGGACAAAGTAAATCTTTATGTCTGCCTGTGTAAGCCTCTTTTAGGGATTATTGCACATTGTGGGTATTCTTGATTGGTGTTGGTCCAAGATACATTCTGTATATAGTCATACATGTGAGTTTTGTAGTGCTGTCTTATTTTTTTCTAAGCAAACTATTTGGGTTATGCCCTTGACATGCAAATATATATTTTCTTATCCTTTTTTAAATTCAAGAGATTAACTCTTGAGCCTGGCTAGGTTATAGGTCAATGCTAGATAATATATTTATATACATATTGATTAAAATATTAATTATAATGTTTTGAGAAATGTAATATTGTTGGTTTTTATCTTCATTGCAAAAATCAACATATGATATTTTGGCTAGTCTGATTTTCATTTTAAATCATATTCTGGATATCTAATTTTTACTTATTTTAAACATGATTTGATATTCATAGAGGGTATACAACAATTAAAGGGACACTACAGGAACCCAAAACACTTCACCTCAAATAAATGGTCTGGATGCAGTGCCCCTGTCTGTTTAGCCCTCCAATGTAAAACATTGCAGTTTCTGAGAATGTTTACATTGCAGGGTTAAGTCCACCTTTAATGGCTGTCTTCCAGACAGCTAATAGAGATGATTCCTGGTGCCTAAAGGAGTGAGAGCCGCGCATTAGATCCCACTATGATGTTGTGGAGGGAGGAGACCTAGCCGGTGACAAGGAAGCCTTGACGCTGGAAAAGGGTAAGTGAAAAAAGGGATTTTAACTCTTTGCTCACCAGAGAGTGGGAGGGGGAACTAATAATTTAGGGAGAGGGGCACTATAGCATTAGGAATACAGGTTTGTATTCCTAACGCCATAGTGTTCCTTTAACCATAATAATGCTATTTCAGGGCTTGAATTATAAACCTGTACGAGAATGTTCCTGAAGCTGGCATTATTTATCTTTAACCCCTTAAGGACAGCGGGAATTCTATAACGTCCTTTTTGGTGTGGTTCTAAACGCCGGAGGAAGGCATAGAACGTTCCAGCCGTCCAGGGGACTTACCTTACCCTGCCGATCCTATCCCATCCCGGTCACGATCCTGGTGTCATCCTGGGAGCTCAGGCAGCCCTGCTCTGACCAATCTGGCCCTCACCGGGCCATGTGATCACATGGCCGGAATAGCTGGCTTGAGCAGTGCCTGCAGGGGGACAGCCTGAACTTTCAGGCTGTCCCCCTAATGCCTGCAAAAAAGTTTTTAAAAGTAAGTGAAAGTTAATAAAGTACATAAAATGTACTTAGATCATATATATAGTGCATATGTATATATATGATCTAAGTACTTTTATATACACATACACAATCCATTATTCTAAGTGTATTTTATTAATTTATATGTAATTATATATATTAATATTAAAATACACTTAGAATGATGTTAATTATATATATAATTATACATATAATATACAAACCCTTGCCAAAATTAGTGTTCAAATTAGTTTTTTTGCATTTTTCACACAAAAATATGAACGCAAATTTTGGCCAGTATTTGTGACTAAGTGGCTTCTAAAAATACTGGACATACCCCATTTGTAATACCTTGGGTTGTCTACTTTTGCAAATGGTATGCCATCATGAGATTCATTTTCATTCCTGGCTACCATTTGGTCTCAAAGGCAACATAACCAGTCTGGCAAATTTCAATGTGTATAAACAGAAACATGTAATGTGCTATATTTGACCCTGTAACTTTCCAAAACACCATACATTGTACATTGTGGGTACTGTGTTACTTGTGAGACATCGTTGAATACAAATATGTGTACTATATTGCAGAAACAGCTAACAGAACAACAACAAAAAAATATAACATTTCTTAATTTCTCAATAATTTTAATATTTTATTCATATTAAATTATGTTTAATATATACATTTTTTGATGTGACATGAAAGCCCTGTTTCTCCTGAACAAAATTATAAATGATAAGTGTGGGTGCAGGTAATATGAAAGAAGTGAATTACACTTGAACAGACATATAGCGCAAATTCAAGGTTTTGTTTACGTTTTATTTTGATCACAACTTGTACAACTGCCTCAGTCTTTAAGGGGTTAATAAATGTTTCACTGTTATGTTTCTTAACCACGTATACATCACATGGTGTGCAGTGCAAGACTTTAATACCTCTTGACGGCATAGAGTTAAATCCCTGTTGGTACCAAGGAGTCCAAGGTATCACTGGATACCTTAGGGCCACGGTTAGTGGGCCCAGACTGATAGATGAGCTATGTGCAGTGCTAATAGTAATCGCACATCCATGGTAGTGATGAGTCTGCCTCCAGCCCATCAGAAGCTTAAAAAAGGGATCACAGGTATAATTTGATAAATAAAGGTCTAGTCTGTAATATAAGGCCACAATTTGTGGCCTGAGACTGAGAAATTAGATATGTGCAACACTCACAGAGGCTAAGTGATCACACTCAGACGTATGATTCACACACTACATTGTGTTTACTGATGTCAGCAGAAGGAATCCTAACATAGAATTAAAAGGTGGAATTAAGCTGTGGGATTGGGGATGGATTGGGAGATTGATTATGGATAGGATTATGGTATGGATTAGGGGTTAGATTGTGGGTTGGATTAAGGGTAGGATTAGTGGTTGGATGAGGGGATAAGTTATACATGTAGGACATTAGTAGCAGAATACAATTGTGGGGTGTTTACAGTCAAATAAATAAAGCTTGATAAAGACCTCATTTGGAGGTCAAAATGTTGCTGCTTGTAATATGCACTGATCTTCATTAAATCTACCTGGACCGTTTCTTTTATTTCACATTGGTCATAAACATGTCACATCTCAAAAGAGCCTTGGTCTTTAAGGGGTTAATATATTTCATGATTTTGTAGGGTTGGGCTAAGCTTAAGTTCGTCTGCTGCCTCGTCAGTGTCTCTTCTCAATACAGTTGTTTAGAGAGCACGAAAATATGTGATGTGTAAAAATGTAAAAATAAAAAAACATCAAGAAATATGTCTCAAATACCTTACAAATTAGTTACATGACTGCAAGTTATGTATTATGTATAGCTGAGCTAACAAAAACAATGTAAGAGTGTTCTAGTAATCTGTGCTAAAATAAATATGACTATTTCATTTCTTTCTAGCCTTTAACCCCTTAAGGACCAAACTTCTGGAATAAAAGGGAATCATGACATGTCACACATGTCAAGTGTCCTTAAGGGGTTAAAATGACAAATGTTCTTCTATTTGCATATGCAATGGTTTTCTAGCGTTTAAGCTGGAGACTTCTTAACTTTACTACTACAATGGTTGGATATACAGGAACAGAGGGAATTGGGGGGTCCTGCTCAAAGTAGTTTACATTCTAGGTGTATACCCTCTATGGGGGGGTTAACAATATCCTTAATATAAAAACATGAAGTGCAACTAATCAAGGAATAAAGGTTTATTGAAAAAAATGATTAAATAAAAACATCACAAACAGCTGATATTGAGTCCGTTATTAAAGAAAATACCTCTGCTTAAGAATTAACATTTGCTCTTTAATCAATACTAAAATGTACAAATATATTATATTTTGAAATGTAATAAAAGTCTATTATGTAAAAACAAAACAACCACCTGCTGTTTATTACCATATGCTAATACTAGGGATCCTGATTGAAAATAAAGAACAGATTTGACAAACTGCTGTCGGTTAACAGTATCCCAAACTGTTAGAACAAATACCTTTGCCATTTAAAAATGTTGTAATATTCACAAGGAAAGCAGGAAAAGTGCAATAAAGAGTGCATGGAAAATCTCAATTGGACCAGTATTTGAATGTGGGCCCTCTTCAGTTGGAAATGTGTTGATGTGTTAAATCAGTGCACATGTTTACAAGGTTGGATTTACTTGTACACGTTAGAACACCTATAAGCAAATACATTGCCTTTATTATGAAATGCACATTCTATGCGGTTTTACTGCCAATTTAAACCTGACAACAGAAAGTGTCAATCAAATACTGGAATGTAGTAAAATCACTGTATGTTCTGCTCACATGTTTTCAAACAGAGCAGAATACTTAAGATATTATAAAAATATAGTTTTACTAGATTCTTCTGTCTCTTGTCCTAAGCAATCTTCAGCATGCACATCATCAAATGTCTTATTCTTCAAACCTTTGAAACTTGCTTTATCGGGGTATGGCACAGTAACTAGACCAGGTGGCATGTACAGAAAACTAGCGAAGAGTGAAGGTGGTTTAGATTGGTGCCCAAAATGCCCACTGCATATTTCATTTAACAGCAGGTAAACTGAAATGCAGCAAAACATCTAAAAACAAGCAAATGAACTGATTCCAAAACTGTAGGCACAACATAATGTATCCAGAGTTTTGTATTCACTTGACTTATATGAAATGGACTTTAAATTAATTATATATGGAGGAAAAATCATAAAAGCTGCTGTCTCATTTCAGAGAATTTCCCAGTGAAGAAAATATGCAAACATATTGTTGTGTATTATCAGGGCATGTACAAAAATGTAATGACTCTGGGGATGAGTCCTACCTTTAGTTTCCAGCTTGAGTTGTTCTGCCATTAAGCTGTCCAATCTGTTGCCAAGTACAAACGCAAGAAACGAGAGGATCAGGGCATCTAGTATCCCAATAATAGCCAGGATGTATGCCCAACGCACAGAACATGCACCAAGAGAATATTTGTCTGTCTTTTCACCGCACATACGCCGAACCTCATCTGCGTCCCAGCCATCAGGAAAGATCATACACCCAAGAACAAGGCAGGCAGCTGGACATGAAAGAGAAAACATTAAAACATTATTAGTGCTTTTAGGTTTTTGAAAAATTGTATGTGATTTCTGAATAGGCTGCTTGACTGAGAAATCTAGCAAGTGTAATACAATGTCTTGATTTTATTTCAACTTTTTTTTTTTTATTGTTTGTGTTACTGTTTTGCTTTTTTCTCTGCATGACTAATTTCAAAATAGAGGACAGAAAATGGTGTTGCCCAAGAAGCTTACATTCTATATCGCTTAACTATTAATACCATTAACTGTCCTTTAGTTTCCAATTGTTGCTTAACTGACATGTAGTGGAAATCTGTTTGTATTCTAGGGTTCCAACACCACAAAAAAAAAAAAATGAACAAAATGAGAATGTCAATATTTATATCTTGTAATACCTCTCTTAAAAACAGTATGATCCAATGTATATACAGGTGTATTATACAGTACTTGTATATAACAATCAAAATAAAAAAAACGACTAGATCACTGAATATCGGATTTGCCCATCAAAGTAGAAGAAATTTATATTTAGGGATTTATTTACTAAAGCAAAAGAAATGTTAGCAGATCATGTAATGGGAATATCACAAAGAGAACTCAATTCCTTTATTAATCCCTTAAGTACCAATGACGGAATTATTCCATCATGGCAGTCCGTGCCAAGCAGACCCATGACGTAATAATTCCATTATTTACTAAAATTAATGCAAAATTGCTGCTAGAGAGCAGAGAGGTGGATTGGAGAGTTACTTTGTGTGCTGCTAGTGATTAAAGGACCACTATAGGCACCCAGACCACTTCAGCTTAATGAAGTGGTGTGGGTGCCAGGTCCAGCTAGGTTTAACCCCCCCTTTTTTTTTTTTTTAATAAACATAGCAGTTTCAAAGAAACTGCTATGTTTATAATGGGGTTAATCCAGCCTCTAGTGGTTTTCTCATTGACAGCCGCTAGAGGGCTTCAGCGCTTCTCACTGTGATTTTCACAGTGAGAAGACACCAGCGTCTATAGGAAAGCATTGTGAATGCTTTCCTATGGACTGGCTGAATGCGCGCGCTGCTCCTGCTGTGCATGCGCATTCAGCCGAAGAGGAGGAGAGGAGGCGGAGAGCTCCCCGCCCGGCGCTGGAGAAAGAGGTACGTTTAACCCCTTCCTCCCCCAGAGCCCGGCGGGAGGGGGACCCTGAGGGTGGGGGTACCCTCAGGGCACTATAGTGCCAGGAAAATGAGTATGTTTTCCTGGCACTATAGTGGTCCTTTAAATTGTATAATTAGAATTAAACCTTTAACCCTTTTCCTACCCATTGATCACTCCATGTGAACATTATACAGATCACAGTACTATACTGTGATCTGTTTTTTTGTTTTTTACACTCAGGGGTTATTTTATTAATTTATTAATAATTTAATTTATTCATTTTAAATTGGTAATTTACTTAGTGATTTACTTAGCTGGGGTGAATGGACGTTAGAGGGAAATTGGGAAATCTAGTATTAGGTTAGTCAGGGGTTAAAAGAAAAAAAAAACACTGAACAGTACTTTTTTACGATAATAGCGAGTGTCTGCAAGAAGTAATCCACAGTATGACAAATTGTTTACAATTTGACCCTAATTTTCCACTTAAATCAGAAATTTGAAAGCCTGTATATAATCCCAAAACATCTGTATAGACGAGTTCCTAGACTAGAGAAAATAGTATGGTCTTGTTCATAATTTGAATTGATGAGCTACTTATATTTAAAAATAGATGCGGCCTTTGTGGAGTAATTTACAAACATAACCTTCTGAAGTGCTCCAGAATGTTACAAAAGCACTTATTCCAACTGCACTTGGCACAAACTAACATAACAATGGCCTGATGATAAAGATCAAAATATGGCATTTAAGATACCTTTAGGTGTCTTATTTAGGAAATGGTAAGCCTTTAAAGGGATAGTTTGAACAAGAAACCTACTAAAGTGCTCCAAAATGGGCCCAGCATCAAAATTCAAAGTTTGGAAAAAAACTGAAATAGCTGTGTCTCATATATACCCCTTAAACATTCACAAGGGAGTATTTCACTACTCAGAAGACATAGCTGAGAGATATATTAGCTGTTAAACTTCCGTAGCACATACAAGGATTTTTTAACCCCTTCAGCCGAGTGGGAGGGGGGCCCCTAATGGTGCGGGGAACCTAATGACCCTATAGTGCCAGGAAAATGAGTTTGATTTCCTGGCACTATAGTGGTCCTTTAAGGCCGGCCCTGTTCAATTAACAGTGCAGAAGATAAGAGCATATAAAGTACACACACTGTCTTATAAGAGCTGGTTAAAAATGAAACAATTTTTTTAATGCAGGCTGTGTGCATCACAGCCAGGGGAGGTGTGGCTATGCCTGCATAAACAGAAACAAAAGGGATTTAACTCGTAAATGACAGTGAATTGCGCAGTGAGACTGCAGGGGCATGATGTATACATTACAACTACTTCATTAAAGGACCACTATAGGCACCCAGACCACTTCAGCTTAATGAGGTGGTCTGGGTGCCTGGTCCAGCTAGGTTTAACCCTTTTTTCTATAAACATAGCAGTTTCAGAAAAACTGCTATTTTTATATTAGGGTTAATCCAGCCTCTAGTGGCTGTCTCATTGACAGCCGCTAGAGGCGCTTGCGTGCTTCTCACTGTGATTTTCACAGTGAGAAGACGCCAGCGTCCATAGGAAAGCATTGTGAATGCTTTCCTATGGACTGGCTGAATGCGTGCACGGCTCTTGCCGCGCATGCGCATTTAGCCGAAGAGGAGGCGGAGAGCTCCCCGCCCGGCGCTGGAGAAAGAGCTAAGATTAACCCCTTCCTCACCCTAGAGCCCGGCGGGAGGGGGTCCCTGAGGGTGGGGGCACTATAGTGCCAGGAAAACGAGTTTGTTTTCCTGGCACTATAGTGGTCCTTTAAGCTAAAGTTGTTTGGGCGCTTATAATATCTCTTTAAAGCTTTTTATCCTGTATCATTCTAGAGCAGGTAGAGCAGTCCGCCAAACCTCATGTCTTATTTGCATGTAAACGTACCAGCTTAGAAGTTGAATAAATGGAGCATGTTAAGATTCATCATTTTCTCCCACAGATTTCCAGTGAATGCTCCATCTTCACAACCATTAAAACGGAGGTTCTCAGGAAATATTGTAATTGACATAAATCTGTACTCCATTACCTAAAGTATTCGAGCATGCTGTAATTAAGGAATTAGATGCCAAAAGAACAAGTAACAGAATATCCTGCCAAGCACTACAAACTACTTGTTATGCAAATCTTAATTTGTGCCGTGGTGTCCATAAAATTCCAGATGGAATGTCACTGTTATCAACATGTAAGTGGATTTGTAATACTCAAGTGTAGCTAGGAAAACTGTGTTTAACAAACAACACAACACACATAAACTCAGGGAAAAACACCACACAACCAACATATTTTCCATTACAATAACAGATAATACAAATCCAACCAGCAGCGTGGTCTCCTGGCCATATAATTAAAGGACCACTATAGTGCCAGGAAAACAAACTCGTTTTCCTGGCACTATAGTGTTAATAGCCCCCCCCCCACCCTCAGTGTCCCACTCCTGAAGGGGGAGGAAGGGGTTAAACTTTTACCTTTCTCCAGCGCCGGGCTCCCTATGCGCTGGGGAACTTTCCTCCCTCTTCCGACGTCAGCACTGAATGCGCATGCGCAGCAAGAGCCGCACGCATTCAATCAGTCCATAGGAAAGCATTTCTCAATGCTTTCCTATGGACGTCAGCATCTTCTCACTGTGATTTTCACATTGAGAAGCGCCTCTAGCGGCTGTCATTGAGACAGCCACTAGAGGCTGGATTAACCCTATTGTAAACATAGCAGTTTCTCTGAAACTGCTATGTTTACAGCTGCAGGGTTAACCCTAGATGAGCTGAAGTGGTCTGGGTGCCTACAGTGGTACTTTAATAAACAAAGATAAGATAAGATGTCTTCTAAAACGTAAATCGTTTATGAATACATTGAGTTGGTGAACAGGACTATTTAAAAAGACAAACTGTAAATTACAAAGGACATTGTGGTGTATCTGTTGGTAAGCTGCAAGAGATCTATAGCTAAACAGAAAAGCATTGAACAATTCCACCCCAGAAACCAAGATGATAATCCTGGTTTCTCAAAGTATGAGCAGAACAAGCAGTAAAACAGTTTGAAAATTCCAAGGGCAAAACCTGTGTATTATACATACAGATACAGTATTCAATTCCTGAGTTCCTGGGTCCCCGAATCAAATGGGTCTATGCTATATTCAACAGGTAAAAGAAAGTGTGATAGAAGTAAAAATGTATATACAGAAATGGAGAGTTTTAAAAACCATATACATAAATAGTTAAAACTTTCTTATACCGGTATAACATGCAAATAAAAAGAAAGAAATATATAGTGCAGATGGTATTGCATGGATAATTTAAACAAAATTCACACTAGCAAGAGCCTGAAAATACTGGCTCAGTAGAATACTCAGTAGAATACACCTTTATGCCCTTAAGGCAGCATCTTCCTTGTTGGATTCAAAGCTCAAACACAAAAATAGGAAAGGCACACCAATAGTATAGCATGTATCGACTTTGCAAAGTTGGTAAACTGGCTTATAATATTAAGCTCACCTTATATAGAGCCTTTAAATCCCTGGCTCTAAGTTGAGCATTATTGTGTCAGTTTGTTGTGTGACACTCCCCTTAGATAGCTTTTAGGGCTGGAAATCAGAGTAGACACCAGATTGTACTAAATTAACAATTTAATCAGCCAACCGAGGAAGCTATGAGAAGTGAATGCTTTCTGGCATCTACATATCATTTAGAAAATTCTAATAAGAGCAATCCTTTTTAAAATCATTTATTGTTTTAACTGAAAGCTGAATAAATAGTTAATTTAGCATGTGATGTTTACTGTGGTTTCCAGCCCAATGAACCAGTTTAACCCCTTAAGGACTGGACTGTTTTTGCGATGTTGTACATTTGCGACCAGGCATATTTTTACACTTTTGTGGTGTTTGTGTTTGGCTGTAATTTTCCGCTTTCTCATTTACTGTTCTCATACAAATTATATATTGTTTTTTTCAGGACAAAATGGGCTTTCTTTACATACCATTATTTATATAATCTCATGTATTTTAATTTAAAAAAAAAAAAAAAATCTGATGAAAAATTGAAAAAAAAATACATGTTTTTTGACTTTTACTTGAAAAATCTTTTACTCCTCTACAAAAGCGAATGAAAAAAACTGCTAAATAGATTCTAAATTTTGTAACACCCCACATGTACATATTTTTTTTAAAGTAGACAACCCAGGGTATTCAATATGGGGTATGTCCAGTCTTTTTTAGTAGCCACTGGCCAAAGTAAGCATTCATATTTGTTTGTGTGTGAAAAAAGTAAAAAAACTAAATTGAACGCTAATTTTGGCCAGTGTTTGTGACCAAGTGGTTACTAAAAAAGACTGGACATACCCCATTTGCAATACCTTGGGTTGTCTTCTTTTGCAAATGGTATGCCATCATGGGGGTAATTCTCATTCCTGGGCTACCATACGCTCTCAAAGGCAACGTAACCAACCTGGCCATTTTCAATGTAAAATATTTGACCCATATATTTGACCTTGTAACTTTCAAAAATGCTATAAAACCTGTACATGGGGGGTACTGTTTTACTCGGGAGACATCGCTGAACACAAATATTAGTGTTTAAAAACTGGAAAACGTATCACAACAATTATATCATCAGTAAAAGTGCTGTTTGTGTGTGAAAAATGCAAAAAAAGTAACTTTCACTGACAATATCATCGCTGTGATATGTTTTACTGTTTTGAATCACTAATATTTGTGTTCAGCGAAGTCTCCCGAGTAAAACAGTACCCCCCATGTACAGGTTTTAGGGTGTCGTAGAACGTTACAGGGTAAAATACAGTGCTAGCAAATTAAATTCTCTGGAATTTCGGCCTGGGTTGGCAGGCAGGTCCCTCAAATTGCAATCAATAAAATTACTGAATTATGTAAAAATATTACATAAATACGCACGTAGAATTTAAATATATATGCATATTTATATATTTGAAGTCTACGTGTATATTTATATAATTATTTATGTAATTTTGTATATGGACATATGTATATTTCTTATTATTTTTATTTATTTTTATATACATAGATATATATACAAATTCATTCTAAGTGTATTTTGATATAAATATATATATATTAATTTTAAAATACAGTTAGAATAAAATTTCATATAGCTATATAATTTTTTTTAAATTTTTTATTATTATTTAAAAAAAATTTTATTTAATTTAAATTACTTATTATTTATATTTTATAATAATATATATATACAATATATATAGTTATTATATATATTATATATATACGTGTGTAATTTAATTATAAGTGTATTTTTATATTAATATAAGTACATATCAATATAAAAATACACTTAGTATGACATTATATATATATATATATGATATATAGCCATATATTATATAGATATAATATATGGCTATATATCATATATACACATATATAATTATTATTATTTTTTTAATTAACACTAACTTTATTTTTTTTAATTGATTTTACACATGCAGGGAGACTGTCTGTCAGCACAGGCAGTCCCCCTGCAGGCAGACACATGGACACCTATTGTGACCATGTGATCGCTCTGTTGAGCGATCACATGACCACAGGGGTCCTAATTCAGTGTGGGGAGACTGTCTGGGCTGCAGGCAGTCTCTCCACAATGGGAGCAACGCTGATCGCCGCCGGGGGAACGACGGCGATCAGGTAAGCAACTCAGACCGTTAGGACGGTTCAGGACCGTCATCGGTCGGCAAGCCAAAAATGCCGATGACGGTCCTGAACCGTCCTGGGTCGGGAAGGGGTTAAATATATACTGCTACCTTTATTGAGCAATATTTATTGGTACAGTCTAATACAACTGTGCAACTCTAAATTATTTTTTTAATTTAATATCTGCTTAAGTTAATAAAATATTTTGATGCCTTATTTTAGTTTTATTTGTAAGCATAGTCCTTTACACAAACGTAAACCTGCTGCACATGTTACAAAACACAACAAAACAGGGTTGTCAAAATAGCCTGTGGACCATTTAAAAATGTAATGATTATGCACAAGTACGAATACCAAATAGGGGCAAAACATCCAGCTGAGTATGGGCCATTCGGACTGCAAAATCCGGACACTGTTCACACAGACAGACTATAATTCACAACACTACTAGTGAAAATAACCTTATTCGTAAAAAAAAAAAAAAATTCCACAAAAATATAAAAAAAAACAATGCACCACAGCAAAAAAAAAAAAAAATGCAAGTGAGCCTATGGGTATGGACTAAGGGAAACACTAGGTCCCCCCGTGTTTTTTAGTTATAGCCCCCACCTGCTAACCACTGCTGGGGGTAAGGGAGCATATGATCAAAGGTGGACAGACATGGTGGCAAAAAGGTAGGAACTCAACAAGGAGTGGGACGCGTTCCACAAAATTTCACATTGACAACCTTTAAAAAAAGAATGGTTCCTTTAAATGCGCATATATAATTCATTAGTTCTGCCAAAATTTATTTTCAGGTGATAGTTTTCCTTTAAGCCCTGCCCACTGTCAAACATTAAGCTATCCATTGAAATGTAGTTCCTGCTTTTGTATAGTTTTGTGTAACAATATAAAAAAAAATTAAAACGAGCATATAGTGATTAATACCAAAAGAGAGAGGATTAGTGATTAATGCAAAACCTGCAAGCTGACAGAGTGAATGAACAGGCATTTCCAGGAGCCTTTGGCTATGCCTTTCCCTCCCAATGGAGGGGTTGTAACTCTGCATTAGCCATAACAAGTCATACCAGTGACTGAAAATGCTCACTGCACAAGGTAAAAGCCTGATTGAGTCTCAAACTGATTGAAAAAGACAGCAACAGGAGACTCTAGGTAGCATAACCTACGATAACATGAAATGTTATGATGCCTAGAGTGTCCCTTTAAAGAAGACCCACCATTGTTTCAGTTTCTTCACCTCCACAAACTATGTTCAATAGCCAAAAAACTACAGATAGATAGTTGGACAAGACATTCAATAATTCATGTAAACGAAAAAGGCAATAATAAATGAATAAATACAGGCATGAAACAGTTTCATCACATAAAATAAATAAATCACTGTGCTGCTGAGAATGAGAGAAAGATCTCTCCCAATGCTATGGATAAAAATAAACTGATGATACTTGATTCATCATATACATTTACAATTGAGCAATTCTTATTCATCGGATTGTTGGCAAGTCATCTCAACAGGTAATAGGAGTAGGTGATGTGTAGAGTCCCACAAGGGGAAACCAACATCAGGAGAGCTCCACTGTATAAGAAATGAGGAAGGGAGGCCCTACCTTTAATCAATCTAAGGATTAAAAGGGATTTGCAAACAAAAGATCTACTAAGCGGTTCCAGTTCCCCTAGTGTCCGACTGTCAGGAAGGTAGTGTAAACGAGGTTAGAGAGAGAGAAGAGGCACAGGGTCCCCAGAGAACAAGGGGCCGGGTAATCTACACAAAAAAATAAATAAATTAAATAAACATCTCGATTCACCCTAAAAGTTACCTCGACACCGTGGAGCCTGTCTACGGCGTTTGAACATGCTGAAACGCGCGTCGAGTGTTTTCTTTTTCTTTAATCTCTGCACTTGGTAGCACTTTTTTATTTTTGTTACCACTATGGTTATTGATTTTTAAGTGTTTATTTATTTATAACTTTAGTAGGGAGAGTTGGTTCAGGTAGACAATAGTGGTTAGACCACGGTGTCGAGGTAACGTTTAGGGTGAATTGAGAGATTTATTTAATTATTTATTTTTTTGTGTGAGGCTTTTCATCTGCGTTTAGACCTGATTACCCGGTCCCTTGTTCTCTGGGGACCCTGTGCCTCTTCTCTTTCCCTAACCTCGTTTACACTACCTTCCTGTCAGTCGGACACTAGGGGAACTGGAACTTAGATGCTAGCTAGTACTCCAGACAATTGATCCCCTGGGCACCGTTTAGTAGATCTTTTTTTCAAGTTATAATTTTTGTTTGCATATCCCTTTTAATCATTAGATTGATTAAAGGTAGGGCCTGCCTGCCTCATTTCTTATACAGTGGAGGTCTCCTGATGTTGGTTTCCCCTTGTGGGACTCTACACATCACCCACTCCTATTACCTACATATTTTGGAGGGTTACCCCCTCATTGGAGCTCCGTATTAGGTGGTTACAGTGACTTGTATCCGGACTCCTGACCTGCACTCTGTTTACTTTATTTCTCCATTTTGTAAGTCATCTCAACAATTTGTGAAGTGTTCCTGGAATAAGAAAAATATTAGGAAAAAAAGATTACATGTCTGATAATGATATGGAGGTGTATTTACTAAACATTGAACTGTAGCGAGCTGAAACCCAAATGGTAAAATTTGGTGAAAAAATACGGATTTAAAAAACTTCAACTCTTGTCACAGCTTCAGGACTGTAGTCTAAATAATGTAAGTCGATTTTCAATTAACTATAGTTCAGCGATTAATGAATAAATCCCCCATATGTTAGGATTATAAGTAATTATTTTATTCTTTGGTACTTATTCATATATTGTGAATATTCATTAGTCAAACCCATTTACTTGACATAGTAGAGTTGCACATTTAATATGGAAACTATGGCACATATTCATAAAGGACAGTATTATTCAGAACCTGGGACAGCAACACATAAACAAACCTCTAGCAACCATTATATCTGTGTAACATCTTTCCAAACAAAGCATACACTGATCAGCCACAACATTAACCCCTTAAGGACCGGCCTGTTTTTGCGATGTTGTACGTTAAGGACCAGAGCAGTTTTGACACTTTTGTGGTGTTTGTGTTTAGTTGTAATTTTCCTCTCTCATTTACGGTTCCCATACAAGTTATATATTGTTTTTTTCAGGACAAGAAGGGCTTTCTTTACATACCATTATTTGTATCATGTCATATATTTTATTTAAAAAAATTAAATAAAATATGGTGAAAAATTGAAGAAAAAAAAACATGTTTTTGGACTTTTACTTGAAAAATCTTTTACTACAAAAGCTAATGAAAAAAACTGCTAAATAGATTAAAAATGTTGTCCCGAGTTTAAAAACTGCTTTATTGCTTTTCTTTGCAAGTTATAGGCCTATAAATGCAAGTAGGAAATTGCTGTTTCAATATATATATATTTTAAATTTATCAATAGTGACATTGTAACACCGTTATCTGTCATAAATCCCTGAATCACACCTCACATGTACATATTTTTTTTAAAGTAGACAACCCAGGGTATGTCCAGTCTTTTTTCGTAGCCACCTAGTCACAAACACTGGCCAAAGTCAGCATTTATATTTGTTTGTGTGTTAAAAATGCAAACAACGCTAACTTTGCCCAGTGTTTGTGACTAAGTGGCTACTAAAAATTAAGTGGCTACTAAAATTTGCAATACCTTGGGTTGTCTTCTTTTGTAAATGGTATGCCATCGTGAGGGTAATTCTCATTCCTGGGCTACCATACGCTCTCAAAGGCAACCTAACCAATCTGACAAATTTCAATAATAAAAAAAAGTAAAATCAAGCCTGATATTTGACCCTGTAACTTTCACAAACACTATAAAACCTCTACATGTGGGGTACTGTTATACTCAGGAGACTTCGCTGAACACAAATATTAGTGTATCAGAACAGTAAAATGTATCACAGCAATAATATCATCAGTGAAAGTGCCGTTTGTGTGTGAAAAATGCAAAAAAGTCACTTTCACTGACAATATCATCGCTGTGATATGTTTTACTGTTTTGAAACACTAATATTTGTGTTCAGCGAAGTCTCCCGAGTAAAACAGTTACCCCCATGTACAGGTTTTAGGGTGTCATAGAAAGTTACAGGGTTAAACACAGTGCTAGCAAATTAAATTCTCTGGACTTTCGGCCTGGGTTGGCAGGCAGGTCCCTCAAATTGCAATCATTAAAATTACTTAATTAGGTAAAAATATTACATAAATATGCACGTAGAATTTTAATATATATACATATTTATATATTTGACAACTATGTGTATATTTATGAAATTATTTATGTAATTATGTATATGGACTTATGTTTATTTTGTATTATTTTTATTTATTTATACATAGATATATATATCATTACATTCTAAGTGTATTTTGATATAAATATATATTGATATCAAAATACTGTTAGAATAAAATTACATATATATATATATAATTTTTTTATTATACAAAATTATTTTTACTTTTTGTTATTTATTTTTATTAACATATTATTTATAATTTATAATAATATATATATATATATATACACACATATATATATATATATATATATATATACACACATATATATATATATATATACATATACATATATATATATATATATATATATATATATATACACACAATATTTTTTAATACATTTTTTTATGTCCTGAAGAAAGTTCTATTAGAAGTGAAACGTTGACTGTTGGAATAAAACCTGAGAAGTTTTTATTTACAAGGCCCAGAGTGCTGGCTTTTTTCATTCATCTATACAATATATATAGTTATTATATATATTGTATATATACACGTGTGTAATTTAAATATAAGTGTATTTTTATATTAATATACGTATATATAAATATAAAAATACTTAGTAGGACATTATATATTTGATATATATACATATTATTTTCTTTACACTGATTGATTTTTTTTTTACTTTATTTAGGATTTTTCACTTGCAGGGAGACTGCCTGTCAGCACAGACAGTCCCCCTGCAGGCAGATACACAGGCACCTATTGCAGCCACGTGATCGAGTGATCACGTGGCCGCGGGGAGACTGCCTGGGCAGACAGGCAGTCCCCCTGGACTGGGAAGAGCGCTGATCGTCGCCGGGGGACCGATGGCGATTAGGTAAGTAGCCCCAGACCGTTATGACGGTTCAGGACCGTCATCGGTCCCCAAGGGGATGTTTCCGATGACGGTCCTGAACCGTCATCGGTCGTCAAGGGGTTAAAACCACTGACAAGTGAAGTGAATAACATTGATTATATAATCACAATGGCACCTCTGTCAAGGGTTGGAATACATTAGGCAGCAAGTTAATAGTCTGTTCTTGAATAGCTGAAGAGTTGAATCCCAAAACGTTTGTTGTACCTTTGTATGTCCTTCAAATAAATCACTATTGTAGCATTCTGTGCAACCAGCATATCCATGTAGCGCTAATCTCTTTATGTGACTGCCGCTCTGCCCTAACTAAGATCATCAATTATATGATCTCAGCCGTCTATCCAATGCTTCCTTATAGGGGAGCATTGAGGGCTAGAGTGCATACCCAGCAATCACCGCTTTAATCAACATCTCCTCATTAAGAAGAAGTAGATCAATGCATCTCTATAGAGGGCTTCTGAGTCTCCAAGCTGTGCATGAAGATGCCTAAAGTTGGGCCTGCAAACATTGCAGGACTGCAGAGGAAGGCCCTCTAGTGGCTGTTTAATAGACTCCTGAGAAGAAATGAATCAGAAGTGCAAAGAACGAATAAGCCATGCACACAAAATTCCAAACGGAACTCAAGGATATCTCTTTGGACAGGCAACAATAGAAAGGCAATTTATAAAGATTTTTGAGTGCAGCCATAGTGCGATTAGATGTGGGTATGCAGAGCATGAGCTGTATGTCTCCAGATTTAGCCATTGCAACAAAAACATTTGATAAACCTCCATGTACACAGGTTTTTTTTTTTTAAAGTGATAATACTATGCCTGCTGTACTTTGGGGCTCAGTTCTCCAAGATTTAAACAGACTTCTCATAATCAGAAAAACCAAACAAAAAAAACTAAATGTATTATTATTATTGCTCCTGCTAGCCAACCAGACAATATACATTCCTACTACTGTAATCCCATAACTAATTCACATAACATATATGTTGCATCACTTTTCAATCATAAACCTGTTTCATCCTGTTAGAAACCTCAGACATAGAGAAAAGATGAAAGGTTTGTCCTCCAAACAAGCCCCATTAAATATACAATTGACTAGGGAGAGACCTTTGAAGTCTGGACATATGACGCAGGAGACTAAACCCTTAAGGTAACTTTTGGTTCAGAATATTTTTCTACTTGTGTTGAGGTTGTTCTGACTGAGAAAACATAATCCCACCACCGATTAGAGTGCTTGCTACATGCACAACCTTTTGTTGTTTGAAATATTGGAATCAATATAGTTCTGGAGCTTGTCCTAGCAGAAGAAAGTAGAAGTAACTTTTACCCCTGTGATATACCGGTACCCAAAAGGACTCCATGAAAGTTGATACAATATAATCTTGCCTTCCAATGTCTAATAAAACCGCATACAATGCTTCTACAATTTTTACAGATAGCTTACTAATAACGACTCCAAATAAAGGTCAACATTATAGCTAACATCAGGAACAATGCACATTTCCAGTCCTAGACACAGGAAGGGGACTGTATCAGTGCTTGAAAAATTAGCACAAAAAAAAAAAAGTTAGGAGCCAGTTCAAAAAACAAAAAAACTATTAAGGTTTAATTTTCAACAACAAAAATAAAATTCTTAAAGGGACACTATAATCACCAGAACCACTACAACTTAATGTAGCGGTTCTGGTGTCTATAGCCTATCCCTGTAGACTTTTCAACGTAAACACTTTACATTGCTGCCTAGTAACATCTCAGACGGCCACTAGAGTTGCTTCTTAGTCCACAGTGCTGCACAGTGTGTGGCACCTACATTCAGCGTCTCCACTCTGCATGGAGGTGTTGAATGCTCTGCATAGAGATGCATTGACTTATTGCATCTCTAAGAGGAAATGCTGATTGGCGCAACGTTTTGTCGCATATGCACAATAGCCTCCCCTATGGGAAAGCCATGGAGGCAGGGCTAGCCAAGGCAAAACCAGCATGGCATAGGAAAAAAGGTGAGTAGAAACACCTTACCAATGCGGGGCTGGTAACATAAGCAAATAGATACACTCACTGACAGACAGACACACAGACAAACACACACACACTTTCTCTCACACTCACAAATAGTTTTTTATTTATTTTTTATGTCCACCCAGCCTCCCTAACTTTGTCAGAGCTGGAGTAGATAATTTCCCTGGGGTCCAATGGGGCTTCTGTAATCTTCAGGCTCTTCTTGCTCTGCTCTCTCGCGCACTTATGCAGAGGCCGAAGTAAGGTCATGTATGAGCTTTCAGTAACACAGTAGGGTGTGCAAGGAAGAAGAGCAAGAACTGAAGGAAGATTTCTGCTCCCCTGGCCAGCCGACTCCATGCTCCTTTGGCTTGACAAACACCCATGGCAATCTGGCGTCTGGGATTTGCCGAGCCATGGACTAAATGATAAAAAAAAAAGAGAGAAAAAAAAAAGAGTGAGGTGTCTTGGGCAAAACAATGTTTTGGAAACAGAAACAGAACTATACAAAAGAATCTAGATTCAGATTTTACTTTTTAAGTAATGTACAAGGCAAGAGAACGCAATAATATAGGTTAAAATATTGGCTGGTTAGAACTGGGAAACTCAGGTTTGCATATGTTGGTAATAATAATAATATCCACACTTTGTGGTGTCAAGCTCCTTTATGTGATTTTTGCACTATAATTTAACTTTGCAAGTCAAACCTCATTGTATTTTTATCTTTTAAATTACGTTATACAGCAAAACAAACTATCTTTTGCACTTTTATAACCACGGGTTTTCTTATTTTTTGTAGAAATAATTCAGTCCCAAAAGTATTTATGCATTCATATGACCATGGAGGTTTTAAATTTGATTACATTCTTAACTAACAGCTTAACCTCCAAACGTAATAATTGGATTCACATAGCAAGCCCACTGAATGATTGAGATTTACCGCCTCATAGAATGGAAGTATTATCAGCATTCTGCAGCAGCTGAATCATAAACCAAACCAGTAAGAGAGCAAAGGGATGGTACAAGCTATATGAAAATCTTTATTTTATTCCATCTAATTGAGAATCAATAAATAATTTTAAAGCTATACTAAGATATTCATCCCTATTAACAAATACTGTCTGCAAAGAAAATAAACAAAAATCTTTAAATACACAATTTAGTTAATTCATAAATAACATAATAATGTAATTCACTCCATGATCACACTAATCACACTCTAGTTTCAGTTACAAAATCCCATTGTAGCAATAGTATGAAACATACAAGGGAGGTAAGTGACTATAAAAAGATCTGTTACAATAAAAACACTACAGCTCTATGCAGATGAATACAGGTGTACACATTTTATTGAAATAGTATGAAAAGTTCATGTATATACCAATCAGAGAGTCGCAGAGACTAGTGACTGAGGATTTAAATCCTTATACAAATGTATGGATGGTTACAGGATAAAAACTCCCCTTTAATCCAGCCCCTGTGGGTCCGGCAGTGCTGGCCGTCGCTGATATGCCTCCTTGGCTGAGATTATCAGAATTGATGATCTCAGCCAATCCACTGCTTTTTTGGATTGAATCAATGCATCTCTATGGGGAACGTTCAGCGCCACCATGCTGCACTGTGCAACACTGACCCAGGAAAGCACCTTCAGTGGCCGTCTGAGTGGCTGCCACTGGGGGGTGTCCCTAGGCAGCAAGGTAAACACCGCCTTTCCTCTGAAAAGACAGTGTTTACATTAAAATGCTTGCAGGGACATACTATAGACACCATTAAGCTGTAGTTGTTCTGGTGACTGTAGTGTTCCTTTTAAGGAAAGAAGAAAGGGTTCAGGCATTCCTAAGCTCAGCGAGGCAAATTTTTTGGGAACACAGTTACAACAGCATTTCGACCCACAAAGGGTCATTGTCAAGCTGAACACTTTCTTCTTTCTTGGATTTTTAACTTGTGGGTTTTTTTGCTAGATCATGGTTTGGTTGCAACTAACTTAAAGGACCACTCTAGGCACCCAGACCACTTCAGCTTAATGAAGTGGTCTGGGTGCCAGGTCCAGCTAGGGTTAACCCATTTTTTAATAAACATAGCAGTTTCGCAGAAACTGCTATGTTTATTAATGGGTTAAGCCTTCCCCCTAATCCTCTAGTGGCTGTCTCATTGACAGCCACTAGAGGCGCTTGCGTGCTTCTCACTGTGATTTTCACAGAGAGAGCACGCCAGCGTCCATAGGAAAGCATTATGAATGCTTTCCTATGTGACCAGCTGAATGCGCGCGCAGCTCTTGCCGGGCGGAACGGAGGAGGAGAGAAGAAGGAGAGCTCTCCGCCCAACGCTGGAAAAAGGTAAGTTTAAACCCCTTTCCCCCTTCCAGAGCCGGGCAGGAGGGGGTCCCTGAGGGTGGGGGCACCCTCAGGGCACTATAGTGCCAGGAAAACGAGTATGTTTTCCTGGCACTATAGTGGTCCTTTAAGCTTAATAGATTGAGTGCAGTTCATCCAAATCTGGTTGGTTAATTTGGGTATTTAAGTCATATGGATTTATTAGGCAATGCATTTATTTCACATGATTTTTTGAAACCTTTAATGCAGGGTTGGCAACCTTAGGCCACCAGACTACATATCCCATAATGCTTCTATAGCCATAATGCTGGCAAAGGATCATGGTAGATGCAGTACTAAGTAAAGCTGCTATGTGAGAGTGGTCACATGATGTGTGTAAGTGAGCCTGAGGTAACAAAACCAGACATGAAACTGTCCTGTCCTAAACACAAAAACTGTAAAATGAATGACAGATGTTGTGTAACCAAATCTTTCAGTTATGAAGACCATAACTCATTGTTATATAACATTTCCTGTTACAATAAATATTAATAATCCGCATCAACTGCTATGATTGAAGTGAGGTTTGCTAACAAAGATCCTGTCAGGAACAGACATTTTTGTTCACACAAGAAATATACTAACTGCTGGCGAAGAGGATGGGATTTGTTAAAACATAACATAGTTCACAATATCTGCAGTGCCAAAGGTTGCCTACCTCTGAATTAAACGAATAGATTTCGGGAATATATTAACATGTATTCCTAACCCTACATTGCTACTCTATGTATTTAGGTTTCTAGCCCTCATGAGTGTTTAAAATGCAAGATTTGTGCACTTTATATCCCACAGCTGCGGCCCCCCATCTCCTCGACTAAGATCATCAATCCCATCAGAAAGCATTTGGAGGCTAGAACACATGTGTGGCAATTGCTGGGCAAAACAAATTACGTCTATGGGAAGCATTTGATTGACTAACCGTGTCTAACTCTGCCGGTTCTACAAAATGGCAATGTTTTACAATGCAAGATTGAAAGAAAAGGGGCACTCAACCTGGACCACTTGATTAAGAAGACAGATGAATAAACCACTAAAACGTTCTTATTAAGGATGAGTAAAAACTAATCAGTTAATTCTTCTACCTCTACCAGGCTTCCAGTCTCATCTCACACAATTTGTTCTCCCATTGTCTTCTGTAACCCTTTATCATATTCTTCTAACCCTACAGCTACCACAGGTCATATACTACATTTTTCTTACCATATGATGCAGTTTTTTACCCCAAAAGTTAGGGTAAAAAACTGCCTGCATCCTATATTCCAAGTGACACCTGGTGCAATGTCCAGGTGACCAACAGGAGGAAAGCTCAATGTACGGGTATCCTCTTTGTAGCGTGGCTTCTTTATCCTCTACCAAGCCTAGGAGGACGAGGCTTGCTGGGAACAGTGGGCATCTTCATGCTAGACTGTGTCATAAAAGATAAAGATCCTCTTCCGTATTCCACAAACACTTTAAAATAGAAGGCAAAAGGCACAAGGATGAGGGAAATGGTAAGGGGGTGTAAGAGACACAAAGCATGGTGAGAGACAAAGGGGTAATGCAAAACACACAAGGGGATATGAGACGCAAGCGGGGTACGAGAGACACAACTGGGGGATAATTAACACTTAAGGTGGCGGGGATAAGGTACAATAAAGGTGGGTAAGACATTAATCTGCAATCTCTCCCTGTGTGCCTATAAATGTTTGTCACTGTTTACCCAATGTCCTGACAAATATGCTGGTGCTTTACAAATAAAATGATATTACTTGCAGCTGCATATCTTTATATCACAAGAAAACAATTCACATGAAAACGTTAGTAGCCATTAAACATAAACTGCATTCCAAACTGATGACCATCTGCTTCTTCACAATAGTATAGCGATGCCAAGAAAAACTAATATCAAACTCTGAAGAAATAGTTAATCTGAAATATGCTCTACCTTATTTACATAACTGTGAACATTTCTACTGTTCCTCTCTTGCAGATGTCATGCAGGCCTGCTTAAGAATATTATAATATAATTATTCAATAAAAATACACTTTAAACACAGTTAGCAATACCAATCATGTTTACATTTTTGCGCTGAAAAGATTTACAGTAGTCTGACATTACAAAAGGAAAGGCTTTTATTTCATTAGATAAACAATATAAATATAACCCAAGTGGTTCTGTCCTTGGTCCACTACTATTCTCGATCTATACTGCCTCCCTTGTTAAGCTTCCAATATCACTTCTATGTGGATTACACACAAATCTGTCATCTCCTGGTGTCTCACCGTTCCTGTTAACTTGTGTCCCTGACTGCCTCTTTGCTATTTCTAACTGGATGGCTGCTCATTTTCTTAACCTGTCCAAAACAGAGCTTCTCATCTTTCGCTCACTCAAGTTTTGCTACTCCTGTGTCGGTTTCCCTCCAAGTTAATGGCACTGCTATTACCTTTACCTCGCAGGCTCGCTGCCTAGATGTACTCTTTGACACCAATCCCTCTTTCACCCCTCATATTCCGTCACTCGCCAAATCCTCCCGCTTCCATCCCAAAAACATAGCTCACACCCACCTCTATCTATCTCTGGCTAAGGTGCAAGTCCATGCCACTATCATTTCTCGCCTTTACTACTGCAATCCATTTCTCATTGGTCTTACGCATCCCCATTAAAGATTATATAATGAACTCGGCGACAAGTCTAATCTTCCTGTCCGCCCGCACCTCCCATGCCTACCCCCTCGGTCAAACAATACGGAACTGAACTCAATCCCATCACTCTGTGCCAGGATGCAACCAAACCAGGAGCAAGCACCAGGTCCTAGAAACAGTAAGCATTAAGTACAAACCGATTTAGGCACTCCAAGGTTCAGAAATGGCAAATTTATTGAATCGCAATGTAACACAATGTTTCAACCTACACTGTCATTGTCAAACGTGTCAAACTTGACAAAGACCGTGTAGGTTGAAACGTTGTGTTACATTGGGCTTCAATAAATTTGCCATTTCTGAACTTTGGAGTGCCTTACCCGTTTTGTACTTCATTCCCTCTCTGTCAGTCCTTACACTGGCTTTCCGTAAGATTTAGGGCTCACTTTAAAATTAGGTGCTTGCTTACAAATGTTTTGCTCCTACCTACCTACTCTTACTGATACACAAGTATGTCCTGTCTAGCCCCTACACTCTGCCAGTGATCTGTGTCTATTATCCGTTCGTACTCGCACCTCTGACACTCAGTTTCAAGACGTCTCTAGCGCAGCGCTGTTTCTAGGGAACTCCTTCCATGCTTTGGTAGATCTTACCCAGTCTCCATTCCTTAAACAGATCATTAAAAACTTCTTTAGGAAAGCATATCAATTAATCTGTTAATAGCTTTCCCTCCCCCCACCTTGGCAAACTACCCTGCTCCTTCTCCTGCAACTGTGCAACCAAAAAACTAACCCTTCATGGTAAACTATTCTAGTAAACTACTTATTCCCATACATAATACATCCTTACCTCTTGGATTACTTTACCCCACTCCCTCTAGAATGTAAGCATGTTGGAGCTTGTTTGAGCAGGGCCCTCAACTTCCTCAATTCCTGTGTTTCCAACTTTTCTTGTTGCAAATTCTTGTCTGATAGTCCACCTATTGTACAGAGTCACGAAAATTAAATCTGGACTAATACAAATGACTAGCACATGCCATATACATCAAGGCAACTCACAGGGTATTCACTAAGCGACGGATTACAACTTAAAATTTAAAAATTAAGTCAAAAATGGAAAATCTGTGACTTTTTGATTTCAAGAAATTTTGGCCCTTAATTTTGTAATACAAATTTTAATTAGCTAAAATTCAAAGTTTAATGATTAAACCGCCATGACTGCAATTTTGCTCTCTGAGAGAATACACTGGACCCTACTAGTTAGCATCCATCGGCCGGGGAGTGCAGTAAAAGGCAGGTTTACTTACCTGAAGCTGTCCCTCCCAACTGCCGCCATCTTCTTTTTGCACGCAGTAGAAAAAATATGGTTCAGCACTTCTTCAAAATGCTCAAGTGTGAAAATATAACACTGAGGTCTTGTGATGAATGAGACGTTGCCTGAATCTAAAAAGCTTTGTCTTTACCTATATGTCTATCACAATAAAATAATGCAGCTATTATGAAGGAGAGCTGAACCATATTCTTTACTATTATCTGTTTGCCAGACTACAGATCTGGGATTTACAGAACCTTTCGAAGGTACAGATTTCATATAAGTTGTACTGACCACTATCTACTTATACATATTCCTAGACCTTATTTGGCACCTGGCGCTTCATCTGCCTGCTGTAGTCTCACACATGCGCGAGAGTACAATACTGAGGACAATAAAGGAACCCGAATCCTACAGCCATCAATTGTGACCGCTGCTGGGACTTGACAAAAGCTGAGCTAAACTTTTTGTCACACTCAGGCTAGCCCATAAGACAAAGTAATCACTACTTTGTCTTATGGTATCTTTGGATTACGTTGAAAGTTTAATGAAATTCCAGCGCAGTCAGCATGAGTACTTTATAAAGATTTATGAAATACTGAGAAGTGACAGAGCAGAACAGCCTGTTAACATGTCAGGAAAGATTATGCTTACTGTTGTATATGCAGTAATACTGGTCCTTTAATAGACTTATTTTAAGCAGTATAACAGTGCATCCATAGCCTTTTCACTGACGATATTCATCTATAGTAGTTATGATAAATAGACTCTTTAATGATTACATTAATCTGTAGTGGTTATGGTAAATAGATTATTTAATGATTACATTAATCTGTAGTGGTTATGGTGCATGGAGTGTGCCATTAAGGGAGGGGAGCAGGGAGTGACTTCTCAATTAAATCAAAATATATTATACAACAACATAAAATAAAAAAGGAACAAAATAGTGTTGACATGAGGAAAGAAAATCTGTCGAGATGTGTAGTTCTTATTGTAACTAAACCTGGCAGTATCCACACCAACCTGCCCCAGAAACTCTCCAAGATCTTCCTTGATGTAAAGCATTAAGTGACACCTAGCAAACAGGAATCTTTGAGGCTGCAATAGATAAACTAAACACTGTCGACTGATAAAAACCTCCAAATTTAAATTATTCTCAAAATGCCTCAGTAAATTAGGTGGTTACCTCTGGCATAAATCAGTCAGCTGCCTCTTTTTGGCAATACCTCTAGAGACACAACCTGCCAGGCACTGAAACCTGCAGATCCAACCATTCTAGGGCAGTGAGTCAGAGTTAAAGGAGCACTATAGGGTCAGGAACACAAACATGTATTCTTGACCCTATAGGGTTAAAACCACCATCTAGCCACCCTGGTCCCCTCATGCCTCCCTAAATATAGTAAATCTTACTTGTATTCAAGTCTGCAGCTGCATACTTTGTGCCTGTTTCCTTTAGACCTGTCCACTTACTGCTGACATCAGCAGAAGTGGTAGCCTGATCCAATCACAATGCTTCCCCATAGGATTGGCTGAGACTGAAAGAGGCAGATCAGGGGCAGAGCCAGCACAATTCAAACACAGCCCTGGCCACTCAGCATCTCCTCATAGAGATAAACTGAATAAATGAATCTCTATGAGGAAAGTTCAGTGTCTGCATGCAGAGGGTGGAGACACTGAATGTTTGGATGCATTTTAGGCCATGACCCAGGAAGGATTTCTAACAGCTATCTGAGGAGTGGTCAGTGAAGTTATCACTAGGCTGTAATGTAAACACTGCATTTTCTCTGAAAATACATTGTTTACAGCAAAAAGCCTGAAGGTAATGGTTCTACTCACCAGAACAAATTTAATAAGCTGTAGTTGTTCTGGTGACTATAGTGTCCCTTATATGGAATGTTTCACAGTCATAAGTAATGTATATTTATATATAGTATGTATATACAGTTGTAAGAAAAAGTATGTGAACCATTTGGAATGATATGGATTTCTGCACAAATTGGTCATAAAATGTGATCTGATCATCATCTAAGTCACAACAATAGACAATCACAGTCTGCTTAAACTAATAACACACAAAGAATGAAATGTTGCCATGTTTTTATTGAACACACCATGTAAACATTCACAGTGCAGGTGGAAAAAGTATGTGAACCCTTGGATTTAATAACTGGTTGAACCTCCTTTGGCAGCAATAACTTCAACCAAACGTTTCCTGTAGTTGCAGATCAGACGTGCACAACGGTCAGGAGTAATTCTTGACCATTCCTCTTTACAGAACTGTTTCAGTTCAGCAATATTCTTGGGATGTCTGGTGTGAATCGCTTTCTTGAGGTCATGCCAAGGCATCTCAATCAGGTTGAGGTCAGGATTCTGACTGGGCCACTTCAGAAGGCGTATTTTCTTCTGTTTGAGCCATTCTGTTGTTGATTTACTTCTATGCTTTGGGTCATTGTCCTGTTGCAACACCCATCCTCTGTTGAGCTTCAGCTGGTAGACAGATGGCCTTAAGATCTCCTGCAAAATGTCTTTATAAACTTGGAAATTCATTTTTCCTTCGATGATAGCAATCCGTCCAGGCCCTGACGCAGCAAAGCAGCCCCAAACCATGATGCCTCCACCACCATACTTCACAGTTGGGATGAGGTTTTGATGTTGGTGTGCTGTGCCTTTTTTCGCCACACATAGTGTTGTGTGTTTCTTCCAAACAACTCAACTTTGGTTTCATCTGTCCACAGAATATTTTGCCATTACTGCTGTGGAACATCCAGGTGCTCTTGTGCAAACTGTAAACGTGCAGCAATGTTTTGTTTGGACAGCAGTGGCATCCTCTGTGGTATCCTCCCATAAAATCCATTCTTGTTTAGTGTTTTACGTATTGTAGATTCGCTAACAGGGATGTTAGCATTTGCCAGTGACTTTTGTAAGTCTTTAGCTGACACTCTAGGAATCTTCTTCACCTCATTGAGCAGTCTGCGCTGTGCTCTTGCAGTCGGCCACTCCTAGGGAGAGTAGCAGCAGTGCTGAACTTTCTCCATTTATAGACAATTTGTCTTACCGTGGACTGATGAACAGCAAGGCTTTTGGAGATACTTTTATAACCCTTTTGAGCTTTATGCAAGTCACCAATTCTTAATCGTAGGTCTTCTGAGAGCTCTTTTGTGCGAGGCATCATTCACATCAGGCAATGCTTCTTGTGAAAAGCAAACCCACAACTGGTGTGTGTTTTTTATAGGGCAGGGCAGCTGTAACCAACACCTCCAATCTCATCTCATTGATTGGACTCCAATTGGCTGACATCTCACTCCAATTAGCTCTTGGAGATGTCATTAGTCTAGGGGTTCACATACTTTTTCCACCTGCACTGTGAATGTTTACATGGTGTGTTCAATAAAAACATTGCAACATTTCATTCTTTGTGTGTTATTAGTTTAAGCAGACTGTGATTGTCTATTGTTGTGATTTAGATGATGATCAGATCACATTTTATGACCAATTGGTGCAAAAATCCATATCATTCCAAAGGGTTCACATACTTTTTCTTGCAACTGTATGTCGATTACAGAACTGCTGACAAATTGCTGGTTTACACATAAGCACACTTGTTGACAGCCATGTATACTGGTTGTTAACTTATGAACGGTCTTCAATAACTCATCACAGGGAGACAGACCCAATGTAATCACTCTGACAAGATTATTTAGTTACTTAACAAACTAAAGTGAGAATTCAAAGTGCATTGCAACTTTAAGGGCATCTAAACTTCTTTACTACAACAAAACAAAATGTGGAACGCACACCTTTTGAATATATAACTTCATCCAGAAGTTAAAGCAGCACATATAAAAGTTTATATTATGAATAGTCACACCTCCGACATCCGAAAACACAAGTCACTGCAAGGATATACTCAGCAAAAAAGTATGGACGACCATGAAGTATATCATAAAACACGTAACATTTATTTCACACTGTAGGACCAGAAAAAAAATCACAAAGATGAGATACCAACACTAAATAGCAGCACTGCAGTGTCGAGACAAAAATAGGGGAAACAGCAAGTGGATATGCTTACCTGGGATGTATCCGAAAAAAATGCAAAAAACCCACACGTGACAGTTTTCATTTAAATCTGCATGATTAGTATAGCTGATCCCCTCCCCATGATTAACATCAACTCTGGAATGCTCTGTCTCATTCTTTATTATAAAAAGCACATTCAGGGCTCTAATGAACAATGCTTACGTCTAACTTGCCTACACGGATTACATTTATTTTACCATACACTGAATAGAAATTCAGTGCAAGAAACATACACTGTTTAACATGCGCATATTGAAAGGGTTAAATGAAACCACAATCCTAAAATGTTAGACCAAATATTGTGCTGGTGGATGAATAAACCAGCAGGCTATTGTTGTTAATATTGCTGTGAACAGCCATTTACTTTTCTTTCTAGAAGGTAAAAAGCAGCACTTATGGATATTTTTTTTAAATCCATGGCGTCAGTGAAGCATATCACGATTGCTTTAATACTTAATGACCATGGAGAATCAGTGCTTGTTTACTCACTCACGCCTCATCTTTCTATTTTGCAATGTAATGGATTAAAAAAAAAAGTATACAAATGATAGGACTGGTACAATAGGAAAACAACAACAAAACAAAAATAATGGTGATCATACGTTTTCCAAGCGGAAGCAATGCTCAAGTTAGCCAAAATTAAAATGTGCATAATTAGATTCTTTGAAGGCCCCTTCAATTTGTCTGGGAACATTTCCAACAAATAGTATTAGGAAAATTAGGGGAGCTCAACCACCTTGATTACTGATCTGATCAAGGTTTGCATTTGAGTAGGGCTGGAAGGGTGAGCAGGGCAAGAAAATATTAGATATAGTGCTGAGCTCACTACTATACTGCCACTAGGATGAATTGTATGTTCTGTAAATTTGAACTAGTCTTTGATGGACAAGGAACCATCTCATTAGTATTCACGATTCGTCCCTCAGTGTAACACATTCCAAAATACACCTTGGATCTGTAACAAAGCTTTAAAACATTTAAAATGTTTTCCCCAATTCTTGCTCCCAACTTTGCATATACTTCAGTTTCCCTGGGGTGTGCAGCTGTACTAGGGAGAAGTAAATAAGAGACAGAGGCTTATGTTGACTCTGAATACCCATGCTTAAAGGGACACTATAGTCACCAGAACAACTACAGCTTAATTTAGTTGTTCTGGTGAGTATAAAAGCGCCCTTCAGGCATTTTAATGCAAACTGTCTTCAATAACTCATTACATTGCCCCTATGGACACCTCCAAGTGGCCACTCCTCAGATGGCCACTGGAGGGGCTTCCTGGCTCAGTGCTGCACAGTAAGCAGTCCCGCCGTTCAGCGTCCCCAAGCTCTGCATGGAGACGCTGAATTTTCCTCGTAGAGATGCACTGATTCAAGGGGGCGGAGCCAGCGCTGGACACAAGGTGAGTTTTAAACTTTTATAGGAATGCTAAGGGGGGCAAGTCACCTAAATGGTGGGTTAAACACTACAGGGTCAGGAATACATGTTTGTGTTCCTGACACTATAGTGATCCTTTAATTTATGGAACCGGGAAAGTTCCACATCTAGGATTTTTTTTTGTGAAATGCAAGTATGTGTTTAATCGGTAAATAAGGAACAATTCTCTGAGTGGAAGAGAATGTTCTGATTGAAGTTCATGAAAGAGTTTGAGTCCAGTCCGGAAGAAAAAATAAGTTTGGTATTGCTACAAGGAGAGTGCCAAATAAATATACAACTGTGGGTAAAATCATTTCAATTGCATTTACATGCTGCCCCATTCATAATTCTAAATCTGTTCAAGATGCAATCAAGACATCCAATTTATATAGAAGCTTATGATAATTTTCATTTAGTAAGGTATACCTTATTTTACTAAGCTGTATGCCTAGCTAATAACACAGGATTTGTTCTCCAATCAAAATGGTAGATGGACTTTAGCTGCTGAAAAACATAGAAGTGAAGAATTATGGAAGTGCTTCAGTCTTAATGATATTGTTTCTTGTTTTTTGTTGTTGTTGTTGAACGAACCTGCCACTAGATGATAATCTTTCAAATTTACATGTAAATTGTGTGAGTGCAAACTTGTATTTTAACTGAGAGTGCACATATGCCCAATGCAATCTCTATATTTGTTGTGTTCTAAATTGTGCCAAAAACAGTCACCTGTTAGATAAACTAAGAGAGTGTCCACATTGCAGTAAGGGTTGGAGCAAGCAATTACATGCTCTTTGCCTCAGAAAGCCCTTACAGTACAAAGAAAATTGTGGGAATCAAGCAATCACAATAATTTTGATCCCTGCCACCTAAAAAAACGATTGGCTTGCTGTCCTTTTAGACTCAGAATTTTGTAGAATTATCTTAAAACCGTTAGTGTTTTTGTGATAGTATTGCTTTAAAAAGGTTTAGTAACAAACATCACTGTCGCTTCCTACAAAGTTTTAATGAGATATGTGCATCAAGAAAATACCCGCATTTTGGGGGTTGAATTTTATTTTCTTAGAAGGGGGTCTCCACACAACCTATTTTACAAATAAGTATATTTTTCACACTGTACAATTCTGTGGCATCTATAGGCATTTAAAGATAACCATACTAATAAGTATAACACTACTCTGTTCCCACTAGGGTGAAAGTTATCACTGCCAGCGATGTTTGATGTTGATTAGCCACTGTTGCTACTTAACTAGCTGAAAGAGAGATGTCTGTAGAAAGATACAATTTACCCCCTATGCCTAGAAAGACATTAAGGGACTTACATTCTACTTAATGAGAAAGAAAAACATGGTGCATGTCATAATCTGGCAAGAGATGAGAGCTTTATAATAGAGGTGAAGTGGATCATGAGCTCCTGACCTGTGAAGGTTTAGTGATGTTGTAACAGTAAACATTTAAAATGCTTCCAGTAATATGACAAACCATATTAGGAGTTGTTTCCTGTGTCATGTTCATATCACCAGACATGTTATATGCCTGTTCTTAATGTTTTTCAGCTATGATGCACACAATATAAGAACAAGGAAAAACATCAGCCATCTTTTCCATATCTGCTATAAGATTCACATGCTGTTGGGAAGTACATGAATAGTGCTTTTCAACACTATTTCACTGAATTTATTAACTGACTTATTTCCTCTGGAAGTATGTGAAATCTGCATATTATCAGATAGCACTGTCCAGGTATAAGTAAATGTAAACCCTTAATAACAGTGCTAATAAGTATTGATGTATCTCTCCCGCAGTAATGTCTCTTCTAATCACATACTGGCTGAGATCTCTAAGCCAATCCTATTCAAATGAATAGAAGAAATTGTGAGTACACAGACATGTATTCATCACATGGACCAATGTTCAATAAGTCTCAATAAAGTTTAGTACGCACAATGCAGATGCAGGAGGCATCTCATTTTCTATAAAAAAATAAGTGAAAAAAACGGAAAATAACTGAAAGCTACAGGTGCCGTCTAGCCTTTTGCAAATAGTTTGAAAATATGTCCAATTTGTTTCTTCTACAGTGAACGGAATGCGCTCACAGAATCATTCACATTACAAAAAACAAACATGGAGAGATTTATCAAAGTGTTTTTGGCACCTTTCCATCTAATTTTCAATACATTTTGGTGCAGTTTACTAAATCTGTTTAGATTTTCACCTGCTGCTTTTTTTGCACCCTAATCATCCTTTCTGAATATGTGCCACTTTTTTGCAACAGATTTATGAATATTTCCGCCACTTTTTCTGACAAAAGAGTGGCAGAATGTTTAATCCGCTATCAATTTGGTGGTCTTCTAAAATGGAAATCTCTGCAAAAACTTGAGGAAGAAAACTATCACTTTTTAGATAGCATCAATAAATAGTCAAAGCACTCTGATAAATATATTCTGTCAAAACAAAGTCTTGTTTTTTAGACAAGTGTGCAGTCTGAGCATCATCACACAAAAAAATGCAAATACGTGAATCATTACTTATTAATTGCAACATACATGCCATTCTGATTGACTTCATTTTAATCTAATTGTTTTTATAAACCCTGACAAAAATGTATGTAACAAGGAGTAAAGATGGCCTTGAACTGTTTATAGAACTGCATTTCCAAAACCATCAATTTAAAAAAAATGCCAGAACAGAACAAAGCTTCTTGACTAGAAAATAGATTTTTAAATGTATCACAAGAATAAAAAATAACGTTATCCTTATTCCAAAGGTCACCTAAAAGATCTGCCAAAACCTTTAGAACTTTCAAGTGGGAGGGGCAACACTGCATTAGGTATCCTAACATTACTTCGCAGTTCCAATTTGGCTACCACCTGCACTCTTCAGTGTATTCTTTTTTGGAATAAATGCAGACTATTGAGAGGTTGTGGGGTGATGCAAACTAACAGAGTGGTACCATTTACAATAGTATCTAGCTTAGTTTTTGTGGATGTGGTAGGTAAAAAACAGATTATGCCTTATAACAAATTACAACATTTCTGACCACCAGTCATTAACACATTTCTTTTTACCGTTATTATATCCTAGTTATATGTAACCACATGCCGCTCTCTTCCCATTAGAAAAAAAAAAATCTTAAATTTGGTTGTGTTGCAAAATCTACAGAGAGTCCTTACTGTGAACAATACCAAGGGTTTTGAGTCCACGATGGATCATAAATTCTGAGTTTTGTCATTAAGTTTTTTTTTCTTTTTTTAATACAGGGGAGCTGGGGACAATATAACGAAAAATATTACGTGAATAAAATACATCGCCAGTCAATCTCAACATTCCACAATGGAATATTTTACACTTGCCATGCCAGGCAGAATTCCAGCCCAACTACCAACTGAAGAAGCATCATTTAGGCAAAACATGACTTCTCTTTGTCCTCTCTAGGGTGCAGGGGGTCAGCCCTGCCTTAAACTGGGGTCTTTCATACAACTGTTATGTGCTTTTTACGGTGTGAGTTCCCTGTGAAGTAACTGTGTGAGCATCGCAAAGGCATTCTGACCCACACAGTGATGTCCCAGCAGCCGGGCTGGTACAGCAATGGGACCCCAGCTCGCCCCCAGCTGGTCTGCACTCACCGGAGGAGAGCTGCATCCAGGCGCAGATCTTGTACACCGTGGCCGTGTTGCAGAAGAAGAAGAGCACGAAGGACACGATGCAGGAGATGATGAGCGTCATGGACAGGCCGATGAAGAACGAGGCGGCTTTGAAGGCTCCCGAGGGGATGGACGAGAAGTCCGTGAAGCTGCCAGTGCAGGTGAGCTCCTTGTTGAATCCGCTGCCGATGCAGTAGTGGAAGAGGCCGAAGTAGCCCGCCTGGGGGGTGTCCACCCCGTCCCCGATCCAGTACGGCTGGATGAAGCACACGATGTTGACGATGGCGAACAAGATGGTGAAGATCGCCCACAGCACCCCGATGGCCCGCGAGTTCCGGATGTAGTTGGCGTGGTAGATCTTGGCCGCCTCCTGCGGGGACAGCATGGCGAGGTCACCCTCCGGCATCCCGACCGGCAGCCGCTCACACACACACAGCTGGGGAGACGGGGCTAATGGTGGGCGGCGGCGAAGCCAGACACAATCACGGCCGCGCTGAAGGGAAGGGGTCCGCTCCGGGGCTGCGCCGCGTCATTGAGGTGCCCCCTCTGAAAGCCGCCGTCACGGTCACTCCGGTACCCGAACCCGACCGACCGCTCCGACCCTGAACGGTCACTGCGACCCGCTGCAGCTCTGCATCTCAATGTGTCAGGGCGGACTGAACCACCGGGCACGGGATGGGAGGGGGGCACAGGCTGGCTCCCACCGGCCGCTGACTGTGGAAATGACAGAAGGATGATACCAAGCGATGTGGGTACGCCCGCCTGTGCACCCACCCCCCTAAACCGCCCTGTGTGGGAGCTGCCGGTGCTCACCGCATGCTGTGTGTCAGGGCGCGGGAAGTGCGAGGAGGTGTGATGTGGCGCTGTCCATAAATAGAAGGACGGTGCTATTATAATGTTATTATTAGCGTGCTGGGAGGATGACTCTGGGTCTGATGGGTAAAAACATGTATACCACCAGCACCATACCTGTGCTCTCCTACCAATCTGCTCTCAGGGCAGATACAGCATCCCAGCATATATCCCATTTAATACATACAGTACTCATACTATGCTGGTTCAAAAACTGTTTTGTTTTTTTTTAAATTGTGTTTAAAGAGGCAAATTGTAGTGTGCCAGTTACTACTGCAACCACATACAGTGAAAGTGTCATTTTGTGGAAATTATGCCACTGAATTAAGAAAAAACTTGTCAAATTTTTTTTTCACGTTATGCTCCATTTTCTGTTAAAAATGTATATTAAATATTTAGCGTGCAATATCACGCTCCAGTTGCGTTTAGGCACTGCTAGGGAACATAACTCCAAGGAGGAGGAAAACAAAAACATTGTTTTAGGTTCAAGTCTCCCACAAACTGAGTTCAATGGCAGAAAATGTCAAAGTATTATTTTAATGAATGACAGGGGGCTAAGATGGAGATGTCCAGTTCCCACAAACAAGTGGGAAAAACATATTTATACATAAACATAATATTAAAAACCCTGGGAAATAAAAGTTCTCCGTTAAATACTCTTGCTTATTGCTCCAATTCCAGCACTATCCCCCATATTGATCTTTACCTTTTAAAATGTATTTGTTTTTTTTTTCAGATTGAATAGCTTCTGCAGGTCAATACAGTTTGCCTTCTGGTACTCAGGATTAGATGTGTCCATGTCACATGGACAGCTAAGACTGATCCGAGCCATGCTCATAGTTGCATAGTCAAAGGATCCCTGTACAAAATATAAACTGGGCTATGTATGAACACATTGCAGTGTGGTGTGGCTGCTGTCAGCGTATAAATCCCATGTGACGAGTAGAACTTTAGCTGTAGGATAAACTTATTCCCTAAACTTCTTCTATACAGAGTTTTATGGGATACGATCAGATGCCATACACCAAAATTAGAGAATACTGCAGACCTGCAGCAATTTCAGTATTTCTGATAGAGCAGTCAAACACTAATCAGTGTGCATGGTCACACAGGAGATACCTGGAAAAATAGAAGACAGTCAATTTACAAGTAAATAAAAAAAGGGTGAGGAAGCCCCATTAAAAGCCTGAATGGATAAAGCCCACAGTTGGGATGACTGCAGGCAGGGAGAGGTGACATAAGATTCTACTTGCAGGCAGAGAATCAAATTAAGACTCTCACTAGGGTGCAGACTGCGCTGACTCAAATCCACTTAACAACAGGTGCAGTGAAGCAGGACCAGAAAATCAAAACACATATAATAGAAAACAGGAAAAATCTTCAGTAGTTAAGTTAATGATTAAACAACTAACTTGGATCCTGTTGCCTCCCCAGGTGCCAGAAACTCCTGTTACTGAACTAAGGTTGTGCAGAACCAAACTCATTGGCTGATGGGACCCAGGTACATTTAAAGTGTTCCGTTAACAAAAGCTTGGGCAAAGTATACTAGTTATACCTGTGGGACTTTAATTTGATCCTCACCTCAATTCCCTTGCCATCTCACACCAAAGGAGCCATCAAGGAAGACTTGTCCAGATATCTGTGGGTTACAGGATAGAAACATAGAATGTGAAGGCAGATAAAAGCCATTCGGCCCATCTAGTCTCCCGAATATTCTAAATACTCTTATTAGGTCCCTGGCCTTATCTTATAGCTAGGATAGCCTTATGCCTATCCCACACATGCTTAAACTCCTCCACTGTGTTAACCTCTACCACTTCAGCTGGAAGGCTATTCCATGCATTGACAACCCTCTCAGTAAAATAATACTTCCTGATATTATTTTTGAACCTTTGCTCCTCATTCTGTTTTATAGAGGATAATATGTGTTATTAAATTCACGTCTCATTTTGCAATACATCCATAGGTTAATATTTATATATATATATATATATATATATATATATAGCTCTGTATGTCTAGGCAGGGCCGGCGCGTCCATAAGGCGGTCGCCTTAGGGCGCACCGGCTTTGGGAGCGCAATATGTCAGTGACCAGCAGAAGGGAAGCGAGTATGTCAGTGACCTGCAATATGTCAGTGACCTGCGAGGCACGAGGGAGCAGAGCAGGGAGATCACAGCTCCCTCGCCGCCTCTGTTTCTACCACAGCCGCACGCCTCCCAGCAGCCACATTGGACCCCAAGGACAGATCCATGCCAGCATGGCAAGTGTAAAATATTCCATTGTGGAATGTTGAGATTGACTGGCGATGTATTTTATTCACGTAATATTTTTCGTTATATTGTCCCCAGCTCCCCTGTATTAAAAAAAGAAAAAAAAGAAAATGTTTAATTATAAAAATAATAATTAGTGAGTGTATGTGTGAGTGTGTGTGTGTCTGTGAGTGAGTGTATGTATGTGTGTCTGTGAGTGAGTGAGTATATGTGTGTGTCTGTGCATGAGTGTGTCTGTGAGTGAGTGACTGAGTGTGTGTGTGTCTGTGAGTGATTGTATAAGTGTGTGCATGTGAGTATATGTGAGTATATGTATTCACGTAATATTTTTCGTTATATTGTCCCCAGCTCCCCTGTATTAAAAAAAGAAAAAAAAGAAAATGTTTAATTATAAAAATAATAATTAGTGAGTGTATGTGTGAGTGTGTGTGTGTCTGTGAGTGAGTGTATGTATGTGTGTCTGTGAGTGAGTGAGTGAGTATATGTATGTGTCTGTGCGTGAGTGTGTCTGTGAGTGAGTGACTGAGTGTGTGTGTGTCTGTGAGTGATTGTATTAGTGTGTGCATGTGAGTATATGTGTGTGCATTTGAGTGTATGTGTGTGCATTTGAGTGTATGTAAGTGTATGAGTGTGTCTGTCAGTGTATGAGTGTGTTTGTCAGTGTATGAGTGTCTGTGTCTGTCAATGTGTGTTTGTGAGTGTCTGTCAAATCAGTGAGAGTATGTTTGTCATTGAGTCTGTGTGTGACTATCAGTGTGTCTGTCAATGAGTGTCAGTGTGTGTCTATCAGTGTGTGTGACTGTCAATGAATGAGTGTGTGTCAAATCAGTGAGTCTGTGTCTGTTAGTGACATCTGTGTGTTTGTCATTGAGTGTGTGTGACTATCAGTGTTTATACACCACTGAGTGTAGAGTGGCGGAGGAGAGGGGGTACAGGAGCTTCTATTTCCAGTACCCAGCCAGACTGAGTAGAGGTGCTCACTGAGAGAGCACTTCCTATCAGTCCGACCGGGTACAGAAAACTGAAGATCCTGTAGGGGATCCGCTCCGCTCGGCAACGCTACAAGAGAGGTAGAAGGCACATCAGGAAGGGGAGTGTGACCACTAAGGGGGTGGGAGGTGCACCAAGGGACAGGGAGGGGAGGGAAGAGAAACACCAAGGGACAGGGAAAAGAGGGGGGAGGGGAGAGGAACACTAAGGGACATGGAGGGGAGATGGGCCCTGTGTCTAGGGGAATATTCACTAAGCATGGCTTAGGTAAAACTAATTATTTTCCATCACATATATAAACCAAACATTTTATAAAAAAGAGGAAAATAAATTATGTAGATTTCATTCTGTTTTATATGCCTGTGGCCTCAACTTTGCACTGTTTGTTAATTCACCACAAATTTATTTTTCCTGATTATGTATGCACTTTGAGAAAAAGTAATGAAAAAACTAGAAAAGCTACAATTTCTGGGGAAATTGTGTGAATTGTTCTTGCCTCCACTAGTAGTCTACAACTGGAGTGGACTGAGTAACTGGGTGGAGTGGCTTGAGTAACTGTGGAAAGGTTGGACTGGGCAGAGTAACTTTATGGAGTGGGCAGAGTAACTGTGTGGAGTGTTTGGAGTGATAGTAAAGATAGTAAAGATAGTAAACATTACACTAACCAATTGATTGATCAAATTTAAAAAGTGCACATGGCAAGCTTTAACCCCTTAAGACCGGAGGGCTTACTATTACGCCCTATTCTAAGCGGCTCTAAGCGCCGCCGGGCGTAATAGTATGCCCTCTGATCTTTTCCTACTTACCCCCCGCGGCACGTCCGTCCTCCTGGAAGCCCCCCGGCCATGTGAGAGTGGGGTCCTTGCGAGGACCCCACAATCACATGGCCGGGGGTAGCTGGCTGCAGCATTGCCAGCAGGGGGGCTGCCTGTAATGACAGGTGGTCCCTCTGCTGGCTGAAAATAAAATTAGATAAAATAAATAGTGTAAAAAAAATATATATATATACTTAGATCTAAGTATATATATATGATCTAAGTATATATATACACATATACATACACACACGTACACCGTCTAGTTGTATTTTATTATTAATATATATATATAATTATATATATATATATTAATATCAAATTACACGTAGACTGATACTGATTAAATAAATATATAATTATTGTTATATATATTTATATATAATATAAAAAAAATAAAAATGTAAATACGTTAAAAAATAAAATTAAAAAAATAATTAAAAATAAATAATTAAAAAATATATAGATGTGTGTTATTTCGTTCTAACTGTATTGTGAAATTATATATATATATATATATATCAAAATACACGTAGAACGAAATAATATATATATATCTATATACATAAATATATACGTATATATCACTATATATATACCTATATATAAATAAAAATATTTTAAAAAAATGATATAGATATATACATATATATACACATACGTATATATATATATATATATATATATATATATTAATTCTACATATATATTTATGTAATATTTTTACATAATTAGGTATCTTAATTAATTACAATTAGCGGGACCTGCCTGACAACCCATGCCGAAATTAAAGGGAATTTAATTTGCAGCACTATATTTAACCCTATAACTTTCCAAGACACCATAAAACCTGTACATGGGGGGTACTGTTCTACTCGGGAGACTTCGCTGAACACAAATATTAGTGTTTCAAAACAGTAAAATGTATTACAACGATGATATCGCCAGTAAAAGTGACGTTTTTTGCATTTTTCACGCACAAACAG